TGGATAATCGAGTGGAATATATCTTTTGAGAACTTGGTGGCTGTGCAAGTGGTTATAGTTTTTGAGAATTTGTGTTAGATATTGCCGATAAAGACCCTAGGGTCCGGTAGATATGCTGTCATTTCCTAAAACCGTCAACAATCAATTTATCATTCGCTTAAATAAAGTAACAAATTGATTTTTTAAGTCATATCGCCGTCTCAATTGAAGCCAGTTCTGGTTATAATACTAGTAAGATACTGAAACAAGAGGAGCCCTGGAATGAGACTATTATGACCCCATGACAAGTCGTGGGGCAGCTTGACGTACGGCCGGGGGCCAATTGAGGCTATATAACCCTCATTCCCAGTATTTTCCCCCAAAGTCGACTCTGACCTCTTCAAACGCTATCCAACTTCGTTTGCACAAAAGGAAGTCATGTCTTCACTTTCTCAACTCATCCTTCCGATCGCGGCCTATTACAACCTTTTTTCCTTTCCGTTGGTGCTTTCTTCTACTTAGCCAATATCCCTTGTCCCCAAAGAGTTATTCTATCACCCTTGATGTACATTCCCGCCGGTGTATCCTTCACCACATCAAATTGGTGGCCGGGAGATTTAAACAGTCTATGGGGTCTACTTCTCTGCATTTGGGTGGGACACTCTACATCACTGCTATTTATTGAGGACTTGCGAGTATGGGAAGACGGCGATTACTTAGACCGCATTTCCAAGCTTGCTCCTCACATCCCCGGCAAATATTACAAAGGATTAAAGCTCTGGAATAATCCACTGCTTCTCGGGACGTCTTACCAATTTGTGAAAATTCCCAAGTCAACTACAAGTTCCTCGCCATCGTTGGCCAGATTCACAGTGATTCGCTTGGGGAGAAGTTGCTGCATACGTGGGGATGTGCCTATTCCCACATAAAATCATGGATCTTCCCTGCAGCATTTATGCCTCTCCGGATAGACGAGTTTGGCCCGTTACACTAGTCTACTTCCGACGTTTTTATCGTCGCAGATTGTTCCTGTCACCATCCGAGAGACATTGCTGCGATATTGCGTTCGTCTGCTGGTGGACATTCTCCGCTGTCGCCATGCTTGATTCAGCACACGCTGCACTCTCGCTAGTTTCTGTCAGTCTCCTTCGTTTTGATGAACCATATGAGTGGCCGCCGATTTTCGGACCACTCAGCCAGGCATGGAGCATCCGACGCTTTTGGAGCAAGTTTTGGCACCAGATAGTTCGTCGAACTTACACAAACTACGGTGAATGCATTTCGCGCAAGATATTCCGTCTTCAGCCTCGCTCGTTGCCGGACAAGGTTTTCGTTATATTCATGATGTTTTTCTCTCTGAAGGTCTCTCATGCTGCTGTTTCGTGGCAGCTTGGTGACCACTGTGGTTGGTCATTGGATATATGGTGGTTTTGTGCCAATTTCGTTGCTGGGCTTTTGGAGGTTATTGTGACGCAGTTGTTTTGTGAGTCTTTATGAAGAAGATTGGACAGAAATCCCGATTAGGTTGGTTGGATGAAAGTATTTGGAGCAGAATCTGTGGGTTTATTTGGGTGTTTTCTTTCATGTTTCTGGAGTATTCCAAAGTGGCAGTATCAAGCTCTATTGCCATCTTGGTGATGCGTTGGGACAGACAAGATAGAGTATAGGATAAACGTCTTCAAGATTTACTAGTTGCGTCCACCAACGGAATTGATGAATTCGATTGAATTTGTTTCATCCACTTCCCTCAAGGTCTTATTCTCTGTTGTGGGTGGGATACCCAGGGCAAGATTTTAGCAAGCGGAAGGATAATCCTTACTGTGCTTCGTTGTCTTATTTGCATATCATTCGATTGTGAATGTATTGTCGAATGCACCCTGTTAGATTCAAGGATTGTACGCCTTGTAAACCTGCAAGCCCGCCTGGATACTCTGCACACGAGACCGAACAAAACGGTTAAAGAGATGGCGACCCAGAGCGGTTACCATTGACTTACATCGCGTCTATCATTCCACCGCGGTGACATTCGACGGCGAGCCTCATCAAATTCGGTTTTCAGGATGACAGCCGATCATGCCAGTATTTATAGTCCCGTATGCGCCTGTCCACCTTGCCACAGCGCAATATGTTTTTGTCCAATTCCTAAATAGCTCATATCAAAGGTGCCATAGTAACAATATTCGGGTATAGATAGCCCTGGGCACTATCGAGTTTATAAAACTATCGATTTAAAATGGAGAAATAATCTCATGCTTATAAGGGCTTGTACACAGGTTGGCGCGATGGACCCAGAAACCTGCCGTATAATGGATAGGAGATGGTAATCAGTATGAGATGGAATTTAAAGGATCCTAAAATCCGATATGTATGTACATGGCTCTCGTATAATGCGTAAATAACTGATAAACATGAAATAAATCAAAGACAAAAAGCAAAAGATTCCACCTAATTTACGCAGAGCCGTTGGCTGCCTCCTCGTTGTCGAACGCGTAGGGACTTTTGGGGTGCGGTGTAAGGATAGCAGCGGCAGGGATGAGGGAGCAAGAGGGATTGAGCTCAGACCAAAGCCAGGCTTGTCCAAGACAGAGACGTCAAGGTAGCCGTTGATAGAGGTGGCTCATTCAAGAAAAGGTTACCAAACACAGGCTGGACGGTGTGGCCATCAGCAGAGTTGGCAAGGTACTCCTAGGAAGGGACTGTTGGATTGGGAGACGACAAAGTGGTACGAGTAGGGACCGGAGGCGTGGGGCACAACGGGAGATCGTAAGCAGCAGCCATGGCAGAGACGCGGGCAGCTCGGTCATTCCACCAACCCATCACATCGGGCTGGAGGATGTCGACATTGCACGGCCCTCAATCAACTTGCGGAAGCCGTAGCGGGAGTACTCGTGCTCGCCGGTGGTGAAAGTGACACTGGGGTGAGCGCGCTTGAGGAGATGCTTGGCCGTCGAAGTCTCAGGTGAAAGGCACTCCCTCCCACCAGTCAATATCGAGCCCAGCAGCTTCGCAGCACTTTACTAGCTGGATTGTGTAGTTGACAGTCAAGGACATGTAGCAGTCCACGCGGAGAGGGAAGTCAGCACCGACTTTCTCGCGCGCTGCTGGCGCAGGTATTCAACGTTCTTCAGAAGACCCTCGGTACCCTCGTCAGGACCGTGGGGCAAAGGCGACCTTGGCGCCGATGAAGCCGGCAGCCTTGCAGACCGGGCTCGGGACCAGTGCAGTAGAAGTTCAATCTAGTCGAGTTGCACCTCCAATCATTTTGTAGACGGGCTCGTTGCGGATCTTGCCCTGCAGATCCCCTGAGCCAAGTCAATGACCGAGATCACGGCGACGGGCAGACCCTTGCGGCCATTAAACATGGAGGCGCGGTACATCTTCTCGAAGAGGTCGTTGGTATCGCGGGGTCTGTCGAAATATAGTCCGTCAGTAAGGCCCATTGTTCTATGTATATGAGATGGTATACATACCGGCGCCAATCAGGAAACGGTTGAAGTGTTGCTCGGTCAACCAGCATGCAGGGGGACCCCCCAAAACCAGTTGCAAAGCCCTTGGTGCCATCAGTGGCCTCAATCTCCACGCAGAACGATCCCAGAACATTGATGCCCCATGATGTTCGCGAGCCACGGAACTGTGCCCATTTGGTCATAGGGGTGGAGATGTTGCTGTCGATCAGCCAGTGGCCTCCCTTGACCTATGTAGATAGTTAGCATACAAAATATCAAGACCATTGACACCTCAGAGCTCTTACATTGTGGTAGTCACCGCCGGAGCCAACACCGTCAATGATGAAGGTGCGAACTGCCTTAATGCGAGGAATTCTATTCATTGAACCCGCATGATGTATGAAATGAAGTCTCAATGAAAAATGACTCAATATTTGTCCACGAGAGAAGATAGAGAAAGAGAAATGAGCAGAAATCCAACAATTGCGGGGGATTCATGTCTATTTCAACGAATTCCACATGCCAGGGAGCTCGGTGCATTGCTACCCCAAGAGACGGAGAAACGGCGACTCGGAGAATTTGTTGCGACACATGTTTTTTTTAATGCGGGCTATATGCGGACCGGATAAATAAACTCTTGGAATCCCATAGAGTTTATGGGTTATAGTTTTTCAAATTTCAAAAGCCTTGGATGGGGAATTTTCTGAAGAACCATTTGGGAATTTCTCACGACCTTAGGGTTGTTCTCAATGATTATTATTATACCTGCACAAATTTATTATTAACGAGATTGTTATGGTATCAATATCTACCAGAATATCTAAAGTACGAATATATGATTCTATTTATCACTACATATGTATGTATAGATCTGGATATATCTTCACCGTCGATATAGATCGGGCAGCACCATAAGGTGATGATGCCAATTCACCCCGAAGTAGACTATAGTGACACATTGACAATGTTGGGCTAGCATATTTTGCAAAGAGTTAGCAGCTTCGAATCTTCAATTGAGTGCAAAGCTTGATATGTACAATGTAGTGAGGTGTAGGATTCGAAGCCACTTTTATGTTTGTATAAGGTGCCCGGTAAAGTTAACGCGTAGGAATCAAGACACAAGTACCTAACGCTCTTGTATGTACTTAACCTGCATTCCTTTGTAAGCAACCAATATCCTCATAGCACATTAGAGCACTACCCTATTAAACCAAATAAAACTTGCAGCCACTCCTGTGGACTGGCATTGTTCACTGATGTCTGTTAAACCGTTTGCGCACCCATTCCCCCCTCATTGTATAAATTGGTTGCTGACACTTCCAAATAATAGCATATGTTGTTTACTGGATTGTAATTAAATATCAAAAGAAGAAAGAAAGACAAAAGAAAGAAGAAGAAGGAAGAGCTAAAATCAGGGGATTCCAAAAGCGGAAAATGCTGGGTGCCACGACTTCTGCCTGAGGCCACTTAGCTCCATGGTCCGACCATTTCTGCTTCTTCTTTGCTTTTCCTTCCGGATTCAATGACTGTTGCAAAAGTAAACCCAAGAGTCCAAGGCCCCATCTATCTTAAAATATATTAGGTTACCCCAGCCTGTGAATCGGCCTTGCATCATGCTCGGTCCCTGATAGGGCGAATTGCTACCTCGCTAAATCAACATGCCGAACACTGCACTTCCCGCCCAGGAGACCCCATCCTCCAATCAGCAATTCGCGGACCCAAACCGAGATCAGAGTGCAGAGTATTCCTCGGATTCTGATAACGATCATGTTGGACTCAATGGCTCCACAAGAGCCTTGAAGCGAAAGCGGCCCCTCACTGTCTCGTGCGTACCTGAATCACCTCCGGCTACCCGTGTTTGCTTATGGAACATAACCCCGGCTAACCCTACCAAGATGCGAACTATGCAAGCAACGAAAATTCAAATGCGGTATGGCATAAAATGATTCTAGGCAAATATTTACTTTTCTAACATTGACCCACCAGACCGAATACAACCGAGCTGTGGCTGGTGTACCCGAAATGGCCAGCAATGTGAATATAGGGAACGAAAGAAGCCTGAGGCTGGAGAGCCGGGTATGGAAAGGAGTTAGAACAACGACTTGTAAGTAAGTTGGGATGCAGGGTCTGTTCGTCATCTATTTCATGTCTCACTCGTACCTCAGATCGATTGGAAGATATTATCCAATCGCAAGCTCGGCTTATTGAAATGCATATCCTGCAAAGCCAGTCTTCAATGGGCCGCCAGCTACCCCATACAGGGCCTCTTTCATATAGCTCTCCATCCGAGCCCGTCAGCAGTCCACGGACCCAGTCCTAGTACGGCTCTTTACTTCAACGACCCTGGGTCTGCTGTGACCTGCCCCTCACGCCGAGCGGATGTGTCTACCAACAGTCCATCAGATGGCCCTGTGAGGAATACCCCACATAATCATCTGCAACATGACATGTCAATGGTGCCAGTCGGCCAGTTGTTACATGCTCCAAAACGCACATCATGATTATGCAGGAAACGATTCGTCTTTGAAGGTTCCCGTCAACATATACTCAAACCAGGAGCATTCTCTTACTGACCCCGATCTGGATCTGCCACCATATGATTTGCTCTATGCTTTTGGTAGATCTCTATTTCGAACATATCAACTCCTGGTGCCCGATCCTCCACCGGCGAACAACTCTGGATACCTTCTTTGGCCCATCGCCACTAGACGAGGCAGACCGAATGGTGCTATATGCAATTGTGGCAACAACTCTGCGCTTTTCCTCTGACAACAGGCTTAATGACCAGAACAGAAAAGAGCTATCATGACTCGTCCAAACAAAAGGTCGTCTTGTATGGCCTGGAAAATTTCTTCGGTCAAGGCACTTCAGGCACTCGTGATTTTAGCTCTTGATTTGGTTGGATCATCCAATGGTCCACCAGGTTGGAAGCTACTTGCCCTGATCACCCGGTCTGTAGTTCAGCTAGGGCTGGCTGTGGAATCAAAGTCTTCTCTTATCAACCCAACTTATCCCTCAATCTATACTCTGAGAGCCGTCACTCTTTCAGAGCCAGACTCTTGGATTGAAGATGAGAGTAGGCGTCGTTTGTTCTGGATGGTGTACTTGCTGGACCGATATTCCACCCCCGGCGACCTGCGTTCAATTTCGCCTTGGACGATAGAGACATTGACCATAGAAACTCACTTGCAAGGATGATTATTTCATGAAGAACCAGCCTGTTGAGACACTTAGCGGTGGTTCCAATGCTCCAGTGACCGTGCGGATTATATCAGTAAAGCCGAGAACTGGGTCTTTCGGTCTCTATGTTGAAATCTTGGGTATCCTCTCACGTGGTTCACCTGTTCTTGAAACGGCCCGTGGATATCGGAGCTCTCTCCGATGTCGAGGATTCCCAGCGGCCACCTATGTGAAACTCGATAGTGAGCTAGTCACTCGTGGGAGTTCAATCTCCCAGCTGAATATGCCTACGAAAACTCGTCCCGACTGTTCAGTGGGTCCAAGCATGGCCGGGCTACGCACAGCGATTGGGTGCAATTGCATGCAACATACCAAACGTGAGTACATCGCACATCTTGATCGTTCTGTTCCAAGAAATTAACGAGTCAACCACTCTAGAGCTGTGATTCGTCTGCACTCCTCGGCAGCATACCCGACAACCCGATCTCCGATCTTCACGCCCTCATACAGTGCTAGCCAGCGATGCCTGTTAGCCGTCGAAAACATTCTATCAGTAACAAGGTTCGTTGTAGAGCACAGCATGCTAGACAAGATGGGCCCGCCCCTTCGCCTTCACTCTCTGGGTCTCAGCGCGCCTACTCCTCGTCCACGGTTCAACCATTGCACATACCGTCAGCCCCGATATTATCTTTTTTGTGGACACTCTATGCCAGTTAGGAAAATACTGGAAAGTCGCCGAGCGATACAGCAGCATCCTTCAACGCGTCCTGGACGAGTACAATGAGTATCAGCAATCGACCGCCATAGACGGCGAACGATCCACACCATCAACAGTCAAGATTCTCGCCGATATGCGTCGCTGTGCATTCGACCTGGACTTTTTGATCTCGCGTCAACCACGTGAATCACCTGCCGACAATGGCATTGGCGAGAGCCACCAGCCCCATCCACCCCCGGCGTCAATACCCGCCCGCAATTTCGCACCCAACGAACTTGAGTATCTCGATGTCTTTGGTTTCTTCAACGTTCCCCGTGTTCCTCCTGCGCGGGCTCCTGACTTGACTACTTCCACCCACTTGGAAATCCCAGATTCTGTGCCAAATCCGATGTCAATTCATGGATTGACGGACGCTAGCCTCGCGGCTCCGGCCGGGTCAGTAGCTGTTGGTGGTCATTCCTCCAATACGAATGAATTCAACATCACCAACTACTTGATTCCGACGCCGGAGACGGATTGGCTGTTCCGACCATCCTAGAGGCACAATCTACACCTTGCTTGCGCCTTTATTGGTTGCTTTTTGTCTAATGTTCGATGAAAACATTCCCCTCCGGCGAACACCGACGTCATGTGAAGACTGAGTGCGGTGGCGAACTCATACCATTTCCACCGTATTAGTTCAGCTAAACGGCCCTGGCATGCAGATCACCTTATAGACTCGACAAAGAAGGCATGTTAGCTTCTTGGGTTTTGCGGTCACTATTGAGTACACCTCGAATCTCTTTCTCTCTTCCGGTGTTGAGATGGCTCTGGATTTTACAGAGTACGAGCATGATATTAATAGCCAAGAGCGAATGTCACAATGGAAATTCGTGCCACCTTCTACCATAATAGATTTCGAAAAACCTATCATGGGGATTTTCCTCACTCCATAGCCTTCTATGGGCAAATTTTGCGTTTTCGTCCTCACAGCCTCTTTCATCGGTAAGGTCGATTTTCTTTGAGGATTTCGTGCTTCCGCTAATTTGGATAGAAAATCTGCTAGTCTGTTACTGTATCTCAGTACACGTCCTTCTGCCCCTTTTACCTTCCCCAAGTCCATTGAACCCCCCCTTGTTCGAATAAAGCACCAACGTCTGTGGAAAGTCAAGCCTCGTTTTCAGCGACTCATATCCACTTTCTCGCAGGGAGCCTGGATATAGAAGGAATGGGTCAAAAGAGAGAAAGAGTCTGAGAAGAAAGCCAGTAGATTGAGACTGGTGTGCTTTTCAACAAGTTCCAAGAGGAATTATGTCCTGATATAGACCACATGGGTGCTCAGATCTTGGCATCATGGGTGAATGCATTGCTTCTCATGTAAACCGAGACCTTGTGATCTGCGATCCATGCATTGAGAAACGGTATATATTATCTTACCAGAGATGGTCACCAAAGCCTACGCCATACCACATCCAATGCATTGCCTGTGCTATACTGGGAAGGATCTTAACTTGATATAGATACCACTGCCGCGTGACCTAGGACTTAAAGCGGGCCCATTTCAAACTCGCAACCTTCCAAGGTTAGAACACACTCCAGTGTATGAAACATATTGTGCCATCAGTTCATCCCTCGTTGGAAAATGGTGAGCTATCAACACTCCAGTAAAGCAATAATTGAAATGATATTCATTAATAATACATTAAAAAAGCTATCCGCAAGAAGGTTACGATCCCATCCATTGGTCCGACGCGAAAGCCATCAGCAAGCGCGTAGGTTCGTATCTTATATCGGTGTGTTGATCCCTACGTGTCGAGACACTGTTCTCTGGGCGAAGGTAGAGACGAAATCTCAGCCGCTGCTTTACTGGATTTCTTTGCAAATCAGCTGCAGCATCTGTTGCGTAATGATTTCTGCTTGTCCAGTTGGTTAGTCCCTCTGACCCTAAGACGAAAAAGGGGACACCTTGTTAGATTATCTTTTCATGGTTATAGAATGGAGATTCACTCTACTTCTCACGGCATCATTTTTATTTGAACAAAACATGCAGTTCTAAATAACTAGTGATGAGGATTAGTCAACCGTTAACAAAAGAAAAAGAAGAGGCAAGACCAGGTGAAATCAGTATCAATCTAGCATTTGATCTTCCATCGTGCGTGCCAATCAATGAGCCCTTTTTGCTGAGAGCAAAGCGAGAGCATAATACTCATTCACATAGTCATACAAAAGAAAGCGCAAAGTGAGAGCAGAGATGGGAGTTCCATTTGAAGTGTTAACTCCTACACATAACATACACATGAAAGAAATGGAGACCAAGGCATCCAGAAACAAAGAAAAGCAAGTGAAACGATGCAAAGTACAGGGCTAAGAAACTCCATCGAGAACACTCATTTCTACTCAACACAAAATTCAAACGCGTCCATTACGCGTCGGTACTGGGCTGCAGTCGGACGAGGACCTCCTCGAGGAACGCGTCGAGAACAGCATCAACACCACCGCCCATTTCAACAGGGCTCTCCATATCCCAGTGGTGGAGGCTGTTGAAAGCTCGAGCAATGTCTTCGGCAACCTTCTCCAGACCATGGTGGATGCGGACACTGCGGTCGAAATCCTTCTCCTGTTCTGGGGTAGCCGGGGGGTCGTTAGGGTTGCGTCCGGGTTCAAGACGGACGAGATGGTTGCGGCGGCGGTCCATGGCTGCACGGAGGGCCGGGAGGATCACAGTTCCACAAGCGGTTGCTCGCTCAGGCTCAGGGAGAGGTCGGGTGGAACGCTTTTGCTCACTGGAAGTGGGGGGTGGGAGGGGTGGAGCGGTGGGGGAAAGCATGGTCATCCATGTTTGCTGGTGCGCGCTTAGACTTGAGTCCGGAAACTGGCTTTGCGTGTTGCAGTGGCTCTGTGTGTCTTGGAAGAGCGACTTGAGGGATGCGCGGGGACTGTGGCTGGTGTCCCAGAGGGGGACCAGCTTGAGGAATACGAGGAGACTGTGGCTTTTGTCCCAGAGAATCAGCAATGGCGCGAGAAAGTAGAGATGACTGGTGCAGAATTTGACCAGATGGGGTGCGGTATTGGTCGTGAGGGGGGATGTTGGAGAGTTGCTTGGAAGGAGTTCCCTGGTTACTAACCGCGGAGCCAGGTTTGGCTGAAGAAGTAGTATCAAGTTTGCCAGGGTAGTGAGTCGCTGCCTGTGCGTATTGTTCGTTTGATCCCCTTGTGGGAGGGGTGTCTGCTATGGGTCTGCTAGCCACTGGAGGCGCGATTTTGCGTGAAGGGAGTGCAGTCTGGGATGGGCGTTGCTTGAGAGGGGAAGATGGTGCAGAGGGAGGAAGGGGGTTTTGGTGGGAGAAACATTGAAAGCAGGGTTTGGTGGGTTTGCTGTCACTTGAGCGTGTGACTGGGTTTGGGGTGTTCCGGCTTGTCGGGGTACCGCATCACACAGATCCCACTCCTCTGTCTCATTTGTTCGTACATTGTTGTCGGAACCTTTGACAGTAGGGCGCAACGGAGGGGCATGTGATTTTCCCACAGGACGAACAGTGCCGAAATCCCAGAGGTCTTCCTTTTCCTGGGTTCTGTCCTTTGCTGTTTGATCGGCTTCTCTATCATCATACCCATCATATTCGTCGTCGTCGTCTTGACCCCGATGAGTTATTTGCCAACGCTCTGCGCGCTCAATGAGTTCTGTCAGGTAGGTTGTTCTTTTGGCACGCTTCACAAACGGATGCTCCAGAAGCTCCTTGGCTGATGGCCGCTCCTTAGGGTCTCGGCGCAAGCATAGTTCAACAAACTGCTTGAAAGGCTTACTAAAATCGCCTACCAATGTTGGGGGCGGGTTCTTGGGAATCAAGAACAGCACTTTCATCGGGTGAATGTCGGCATAAGGAGGATCACCACAGGCCAGTTCGATCGCCGTGATGCCCAAGGACCAAATATCGGCCTTGTAATCATATCCAGATTGCTTGATGACTTCTGGGGCCATCCAGAACGGAGTGCCTACAAAGGTATTTTTCTTGGTCATCGTTGCCGACAGTTGTCCTGACACGCCGAAGTCCGCCAACTTGACTTGACCACTCGCGCTGAGAAGGATGTTGGCAGCTGCGATCAAAAGTGTTAGTCGCTACACATCGCCATTTCAACTAAGTGCGGTCTTCGTACCTTTGATGTCTCGGTGCAGCTTCTGGTCACTATGGAGATAGTCCAGCCCGCGCAGAAGCTCCCTCAGGATAATGGCAATGTACTCCTCATGGATCACACCAGGTCGCAAGAGACCGTGGCAGCTACCACCAGCGCAGAATTCCATGATGATCCACAGGTTGGACCCCTTCAAGTATGAGCCGTGGTACTTGGTGACATAGGGCGACTTCAGCTCAGACAAGATGGCAATCTCCTTGATGATATCGTCGACATCATCCTCGGCATTCTCGACATCAATAATTTTGATAGCCACTGATTCTCCGGTGCGTCTATCCAGACTAATTGTTCGAAACGGGTCAGCTGTTTATTGTACCAAGATGTTGATATGGAAGGTCTTCGACTTACCCTTTGAACACCTTACCGAAGCTTCCACCACCTACAAGATCACAAAACAGTCAGCAATCATATGATTATCATGACCCATGACCCTCAAGGCCCAAGGACCGAAAGACCTACCGATGCAAGTTTGCTTGGTGTAAATGGTTTCCGGATCGATGGGAGGCGGCATTGTGGCGATTTATCCAAGTCGCCGGAGGACAACGATGGACATGAATCAAGCTTTAATCTCTCGAGGCTAATGATGGGTTGTCAGATTCAAGACCGGCAGTCGCCTATCATAAGGATGGAATGTGGGGCTGGGCCGTACGTGACGGCACCTTGAGAGTGGGCTCGGGATGGCTGTCTGGGATGGAATAGCGTTACAACCCGATCAATCTGATGCGATTGATAAGATCGGTGGAATACCTTTCAAGATTGCAAGATCTCAGGACTGCAAAGGAGAGAGAGAAGAGAAGAGATGGCGTTGATTGTTGTGTTAATTGATAAGACGTCAACTGGTAAACAAAGACAATTGTTCAATCGGAGCAGGCGCAGCGAGGGTGATCGTGAGACTGCAAATCGTTTGTGGCATACTCTTCACGGCACTCATCTCACTCCCCGGATTTCTCAGGGATATCCATGTCGTCTGCCCTTGCTTGTTTATCGACGCGGGGGGCTTATTTTGCCGCTGCTTATCTGGGGGCGGTGTATCTATGGCTTTCCGAGTCCAATTACAATATTGTAGTATCTGCGACTCGAGTTTCAGGCCGGAAAGGCCTCAAATGATCAATTGGACTTGATATTGGGAGTTGAAATGTAAATCCACTATATTCACTTCCCTGAAGTCCCACCATTTTAACTTAATCTTGCATTTTCTTTTGGAAATATTCGAATGGAAACATATTAAGACTCATGCATTTAGTAGAATTGTAGATTGTATAGAAGAGACGTTGTTTCGTGGGCATAAAAATGTAAATTATATGAAGCTTGCTATAGATCGGCGAGCAGATCGATATATAAAGCCCATAGCATACGGAGGCATGATTATACAGATCGAAAGACCTAGCTGCATAATATTTAGTTATTTTAAATGCTCAACATACCATATGAGAGAGATGGTTAGACTATAGTAGGGCACGAAAAGCACCCGCAACACAATACAAAGGGTTTCCTTTTTAGGAACATCAAACCAACCAGTCTGTCAATATTCCAACCTGATCACATTCCCTCATGTAGAATGGCTCTACATATGTACACTACTCATACACTACTCAGTTTCTCTCCATACTTGTCATTGCTTTTTTCTGTTTCGTAAATTGTTACCATATTGATTCATGATTCATTTGCATGCTGTCCAGGCAAGCTTTGGTATTATGTATACTCTCACATCTAGGACTCAAGGTTGGCAATGACAACTGGAGAGCCTGGTAGATTGAATGATATCCCCGGAAATGACGAAACCCAGCTTGGGAACAAAGGATGAGATCCCACGGGATCCAATTCATTTCCATCAACGCCTTACAGAAACCCAGAAAACATTGCAGCGTGATGATAAGACTGAAGGATCAAGAAAGCAGGAGGTTTACTCTTCCAGATATCCAATCATCACCGTGCCATTCTTCAGTCCTGCATCTGCAATGCTGGTGTTAAGTTGATCAATGAGATTGCGCCCCATGCTATTTAGGTCAAACTCGACCCCGGCCTTGTCTTCCAAGGGAGGATCGGCCTTGAGCCATTCATAGATTCTCTGAACGGGATCCGACAGCAAAAAGCGTCGAATAACTCTGCCAGACGGGTGTCGGAACTGAATGCGCGTAGTTGTGGCCGGGTCCGCAGCAGGTTCGGTGTGCGGTTGATCGCTGGGAATGGACGCGAATGGGGAGGCTGCGGCAGCTGGCTCCGGTTCGTCCATGACGACATCTTCCTCACCGGAAGCCCTGCCCTTGCCCTTAACATTGTCCGTACTGCGTGTCAAATCATCAGGGTCTTCGAGCGTCGGACCAGCTTCTGCTGCACCCCCAAGACTGTTTCTCATTGCCATCTCCATCATCTCCTCCTCGGTCATGGCATCAACGCTCTTGTCTTTCTTGTCGGATTTGCGCTTGGCCACAGGGTTGCGCACATTGTGGTTCAAGCTGTAGCGATCGAGGAATTCGTGAAGTTGCATGAGAAAGTCGGCAGGCTTGACCAAAGGCGGTCCGGACCAGATCTTCATTTGTTCACCAGTGCGAGGGTCAACAATAGCAATGTGGGGGTAATTGTCGGAGACGTCGCTTCCCTGGAAGTAGTATTGGAGGTAGGAAGACGCGCGGGGGTCATCTTTCGAGTACTGCAGGAAGATGAAATGCTCCTTGACGGTATCTTGCACCCCACGGTCCTTCCACAAATCGCGGTTCAGAACCTGACAGTCAAAGACTGATGCATCCTGGACATTGACAAGCAGCCATTTCTCGGTCTCCTTTCCCTCGTCGCGAGCCACATCCCAAGGCAGTCGTGACATGATCTCGAAGGGAGGACGGTACATTTCGGCGAGCATATTGGATTTAGATGACGCATCCGACGCGCCCCCAGTAACGGCAGAGAGTTCTTCGCGACGGGTTTCATCACCACCGGTCCATATCGAAGATGGCTCTCGCTGATTGAAGATTCCGGCTCGACCTAGAGGAAAGTGTCAGTTCAAGGTACTGGGAATTTTGGAAACACAAAATAGCACCCACCTCCTCGGTTACGAGCTCGTAGTTGACTGAGAATATTGGCGTGCATGTCTTCGCCACTGTCATAGTCCGCGCCGGGCCCCACCAAAGTCTCTGTTGTCCGAGCCAACGGCGCTCTAACTTCATCTTCATTATCTGGACCACCTGGGCCGCCATACATTTCCTCCTGAAGGCGTCGGGCCATAGCCTCGTCGTCATCGAATGTTGGCGGGACGGAGTGTTGGGGGTATCGTCATCAGTGTCCGAGTCAATATTCACCACCTCGGAATCGTCTGGGATCCCAGACCGACGAGAAGGTTGAGAAGGTTCACCAGTCAAGGGTGCACCTCCACTTTCAAAGTAAAGCTGCATGGCCTGCTCAATTTGGAACTCGGTGATCTGCAGGTACTGTATAGCCAGCTCCGGCGTGGAGCCGGTAATTTCGGTGAACTGAGCTACCACGTCATTCTCCATGGTGGGCAGTGTGTCGAATGAGGTTCCTTGAGAAAGACCTTAATGTTAGATATGAAAGTTAGAAGAGATTGACTTTGGATACCCACTGAAAGCTTAGGTGTAGTATGAAATGGGGCAAAGACTCGGAGGTTGTGTTATGTGGGGAGCAAGATTTGGTGCAAACCACTGCAAACTAGAAAACCACCAGGTCCCACAAAAGAGGTTGGATATGGATTAAGGAAAAAATAGAAACAGAAAAGAGTGTCTAGCTTCACGTAGACTGAAAGAATTCCGTCATCTCGAATTCGAAACGCACATGAGACGATCATCGACACCTGAGGTGGCCCCCGGGGCAAGTGACGCGGCTGACTAATCGATAAAGAAGTGCACATGTGGTGGATATACTCGGCCGTAGCACGCGCGACGCGTCCAGCGCGTTGCACGATAGTCCCATTAGTGGAGCTTGCCAATTACACTTCCTAACTGGGCTCTGGGCCTTCTTTCCTGACATTCTTCTTAACTCCAACGGAAACTGCGATTGTTGTTCCTACCTTGATTTTTTTTGTTTATGTCCAAGTCATGGCAGGAACTGTCCTAGGAAAGCGCTCTCGTGCTGTGGAACCAGGTAAGATCATCCATCCCTCCTTCCTCCCTTATCTTCAATTTCTGACATTTCTAGCATTGCCGGTACGAACCGCGAGCAAGCGCCGAACAGTCGCTCCCCGGGTTCACCAAGAAGACACCGTCCCAACCTCATTACGGCGAACAAGGTCAACTGTAAAGAAAGCAGTCGAACCTGACCAAGAAAATGGCGAGAGCAAGCCAGTGTCGGAGAATGTTTCTTCCAAACATACCTTGCGCGATGACCAGTTCCAATCTCCAGTCAAGATTAATTCGCATTTTACCGTCTCGAAACCGGTAGATGGTAAGCTGGAAAATCTGGGTGTTGCGCCTGAGGCAGCGCTAATCGGATGTACAGAAGAAATTGCGAAACCTATTGAGTTCGAATTCAAGACACCTTCGAAATCGCGATTCCGAGATGATCTCCCGCAATCTCCCATCACCCCTAGACATCGAGTTCAGGTCGGAGCAAAGGCAGTAACACCGCGCACCCCTCGCCATGCCGATCTTCCCCCGACCCCCAGACAGAGTGCTACTCCGAAAATTGTGAACTCAGTGTATTCGCAAGCCAGGCAACTGTTCGCCCGAGGTTCCAATTCCGGCCGTTTAGTGGGACGCGATGTGGAGCGGGAAAAGTTGGTGTCTTTTATCACAGAGGGAGTGGAGGCTCGGAAAGGAGGGTGCCTTTATATCAGCGGTCCCCCCGGGACTGGAAAGAGTGCCATGGTCCAGGAAGTGTGTGCAGATCTTGACCTTTCCAACGTCAGAGTCTCACATGTGAACTGCGCAAGCATGCGAATCTCTCGTGATGTCTACAGCAGACTGGTCCAAGATTTCTGCGGGGACTCGGACATGTTCAAGAAGAGTGAGGGAGATCGGCTGAAATCTACGTTCATTCCATCCAAGCAAGGGCAAGATCTGTTTCTGGTCACTCTGGACGAAATTGACCATCTACTCAATGGTGATTCGGGGGTTTTACAGTCACTTTTCGAGTGGTCATTGCAAAGCAAGTCCAAGCTGATGCTGATTGGCATCGCTAACGCCCTTGATTTGACTGACCGATCTCTCCCACAGCTAAAGGCGAAGAACCTGAAGCCCCGCTTGCTGCCATTCTTGCCGTACAGTGCTGCATCTATTGCAAACGTGATGACCAATCGTCTTCGCTCATTGCTCCCTGCTGGGGCAGAATCCGACCCAAAGCTTGTCCCCTTTGTTCAACCGGCCGCCATCCAACTTTGCTCTAAGAAGGTAGCATCGCAGACAGGCGATCTCCGTAAGGCCTTTGAGTTGATCAAGCGGGCAATCGACGTCATTGAACAGGAAACATTCCAAAAATTGGATAAGCAAGCCAAGGAGGCTGAGAATGTTTCGATACTAGGAGAGAACACCAATTTATCTTCGCCTGCCAAAGCCGGCAATGTTCCGAAGCCAACTTCCATGTCAAGCTACACAGTCATCACGGCACCCCGAGCCAGCATCGCCCACATTGCCCGAATCACATCCGCGGCCTTTGGTCAGGGCACCGTTCAAAGACTACAAAGTTTGAACCTGCAACAAAAAGCCGCTATCTGCTCCCTGATTGCACTTGAACGCAAACGTCGCCAGCTTGAGGTCCCAAGCACCCCTTCCAAGTCGCGTAATTCGGCGCCCACTATCAAGCAAGCATTCGATACATATTGTGCTTTATGTCGCAATGACAACATTCTTCACCCCCTGACTGCCACCGAGTTCAAAGACGTTCTCAGCAATCTGGAAACAATGGGCTTGGTTGGGGAGTATCAGGGTCGCGGCCGAGGCGGAACTGTTGCAGGTGGCACAGATCTACGCCGCACACCCTCGAAATCCGGTGCGCCTTCGACTCCTCATAAGGCCCTTGACGAACAAGGTCTTGTCTGCTTCGTTTCCCAGCAGGAAATCGAGGGCCAGATTGTTGGTCCCGGTGAAGGCATCCTTCGGCGCCTTCTTCGTGGTGAGGGACTATAATTCCCTTCCCTATTTCTCAAGCGTATCCACACAGCATGGCGAACTTGCATCTTTCATTTCTCATTTCCCATTACTGCATCGCGAGAGTCCCATGCGAGGGCATTTTTATCATGTATAACATTCTTGGAGTTTTCATTTTTGGAGTTGGAAATATCCTTGTCTCACCATTTTTAGCGTCTTTCAATCATGGTTCTCCTTGTTGTCAACTTTCCTTTGTCTTTGCTCTCGATGTGAATCATGAGATCCCATACACAAAAACAGATAAAAACCACAAATGACTTGATCACTAAAATTGAAACCAAAGAGATTTTCTCACAAACCCAACCCTGCTGTGTCTAAGCAGACCCAGTATCTTGACCACCGATCATCGCCCTTGAACTATCTTAAAAACGGCATCTAAACAGAATATGAGAGAAGACCATTGAAGATACATCACAACTATTCTCATTTGTTATAATTGGGATCGTGTGAAAGCTTGCATGTGAAGAGCCTAGGGATATAATCTTATTCAGGCCTCAATATCAAAGACACATGCTTTTCCAGCAAAATAAGAGTTGATGGATTCAGATTCATGTCCTCCCAGTCTAGTATATCTGGATGGTCAGATGTCAAACGAAGCAAATAATGGAAGGTACCTCGAATATGGTATTTCACAAACACCTGTTATCAGCCCTGCTGTTGAGCCTTGTCAGTTTCTGTTTACTTCAAATTCTTCCTGTAGAGCCAATTTTTATACAAGTCTTCACGATAGTTTGTTAAAGATCCAATTCCCCTGATGGATCAAAACCACCAACTATAACGCATTGAATATTCCCCTATTCCTCAAATGCCTCTCTAACAATGTTCCTTGTCAATTACAAACCTCATGCCATGCCTGGAAGATAAACCCCCCACACCTTATCGGTAAACCCCACCGGCTCACATAAATCCGTCAAGACCCTTCTTTCTACTAAACCTGCTAAACCTGCTAAACCTGTCATGGATTACTCTCTGCAGAACCACGCTTCCTACATTGGCCGTCCGGTCTCCGAGCTTCCCACTCCGGCTCTCATCCTAAGCAAGCCCGTGCTAGAGCGGAACATCCAGATCTTGTTGGAGGATGTCAAACGGTTGGGAATTGAGTTTCGGCCCCATGTCAAAACCCTCAAGGTACTGTTCCTACCCCAGAATTGAGCTTTAAGTGGTGTGCTAATTGCATTGGGATTGTAGTGCACCGAGGTGACCCGCATGATGCTGGGCGACGGCGTGCACCGTCGAATCGTCGCATCGACACTATCCGAGATCCGAGGCTGTTTGGATATTGTCAAGGAAGGCAAGCTAGACGAGGTAAGTTACAGTGTCTATTTCGAACCAAAGAACATCAGTTAAAACAACAATAGTGTCTCTACGGCCTACCCGTCTCAGCCAGCGCCCTACCCTTCCTCGAGACCCTGACCAAATCCCTAAAGATCATCCTGATGATCGACAGCGAGCAGCAGATGAATCTCCTCGAATCCTACGCCTCGAAGTCATCTTCTCCCGTAGAACCATGGCCCGTCTTCATCAAGATCGACGTCGGCTCCCAGCGTGCAGGAATGGCCACTGACTCGCCCTCCCTCCCAAGGTTAATCCAGCGCATCGAGTCATCCTCCGCAGCAACCGTGTACGGCTTCTACTGCCATGCTGGGCACTCATACGCATGTCGTACAGAGGATGCCGCCGCTGCGGTTCTCCAGAGCGAAGTTGAGGGCGTAGTGGAAGCAGCCAAGGTCCTAGTAGACGGGAAATCCGATAGACGGGTTGTGGTGTCTGTGGGATCAACGCCTACAGCACACGTGGTGAAAAGACTGCAGGGCGTCTTGCCCGAGGGGATGGAGTTGGAGTTACATGCTGGTATGTTTTGATCCGTACACCTAACCCCAGACTTAATCTACGACATGAAACATGAAAACGCAGAGACTAACGTAGACTAGGAAACTACCCCACCAATGACCTACAGCAGGTCTCGACATCGCTTGTGGAACCGACGCAGCAGGCGGTGCGCATTCTCGCCGATGTCTGCAGCGTATACCCTGAGCGCAATGAGGCGCTCGTCAACGCGGGAACTATCGCGCTCTCGAAGGAGACAGGTGAGTTCCCCGGGTATGCGGTTGTTGTTGATCGGCCGCAGTGGAGTGTTGTGCGGATGTCGCAGGAGCATGGGATTCTGGGGTGGGCGGAGTCTGACCAGACGCGCAGGCTTGTTGAGAAGGTGGGGTCGAAGTGTGGTGATGGGGAGAAGGTGGAGGCTGCGTTTACGGTTGGGGATAAGGTCTTGCTGTATATTCAGCATGCTTGCATTACGGCTGCTATGCATTATGCTTATTATGTTGTTGATGAGCAGGATATTGTTAGGGAGACCTGGGTTCCGTGGAAGGGGTGGTGATTGTTAGCTCTTGATTTTATAGGATAGCTGGCATTCGTCTCGTTTGTATATATTGAATTATGTATTATTATTAGAGAATTAGAGCAACAGATCAGACAATTATATACAAAGCGATCTTTCTATGCTTCTTCATTATCCTGTGGTTTAGTATCTCAGATATCCAAAATAGTGTATATCGCCTAGTCCAATAGGACCTCATGACATATCTGATACCGTTGGTAAGTAGTATTTAATTACTAGGATTGGATTAAATATCTGGTAAATCATGATCATGAATTGATTAAGCATCAATGAGTAGAGAAAATTCATAAGAGTCGGAAGTGAGATATGGATATATGTAGCCCATAACCAACACATCCAGAAGATGAAAAACAAGAAGGAAAAGAAGAAAAGTATTATGCACAGGGGAACATAAGTGAATGGGTATCATGCAAACTTGGCGGAACAGGACCCGTGCGGAAAATGCGTGGCAGCCCGACTGTTTTTCGTGACTTCCTTTCCGTTGCTGGTATCATGAGACCCGTTGAGATGGGACCGAAAGTAATGAGGGAAAAGGATCAAAATCCATGAGAAAGAGATAAAAAAAATTAAGGTAGAGCGTAAGAGGCGTTGTGAATAGGTAATTTTTTGGTTGATCGTGGGCATCGTCAAGTCGTAATGGAGAACGATAATCAAGATATCAGATTAGAGATGTTGAAGTTTTTGAGATTTTATTGGCGGGAGGAGTCAATCGAGGGGGCGCGGGAAGGAGCGCGCGAGGGAATAGGCGAGGCAGCAGGTGATTGCCCAGTGACGAGATCGTCAGTGGTAAAGCGCGGCAACCGGCCGTGCGTAGATCGATTAGAGGAAATGGTGGAAGAGCGAGTAGAACTGCTTTCCAATCGCAAGGAGTCTATGCGCTCCAGGTTTTCGTAGTCAGGGAGCGGGGAGCCGTTGTAGTCCTCAATGAAGCTGTGGGCGCCATCGGGCTTGGTGTAACTGGGAGGGCTTGCGGGCACATCCTCATAGATGGGAGGCATCTCCTCGTCCCAGCTAATGCCAAGACCACCACGCTGGGTGACGTGGAGGTGGAACTGCATGCGAAGAACACGCGCGGCACCGGTTGGAGTAATGAGGCGGGTGTTGCCATTGGGGCAAAACTCCTCGGCCACGATAAGCTCGATGACGAGGTTGTGCTTGACTTCCAGACCGCTAGGGGCATCCGTATCGCAAACGGCATTGGCAGCCGGGTTGATGTTTGCATCGAACTGCATGGTGATCTCGCCACCAGCGGTGTCAAAGTCGGTCTTCCAGCCAGTCTTCTCCTCGTTGTGTCCGATGACGCGAGTCTCTTGGTGCAAAACACCCTTGCCCTCGCCACCAATCTTGTGAGCGTGCTTCTGGCATGCCGTGGATACAATCTTCTGTTGCTCCTCAATACGCCACATCATCTTTCGAAGACGCCAGCGGGTCTGGGTCTTTTCGCCCTTGTCGACCACGCCGCTCAAGGTCATCTCCACGGGGAAGTTTCCAATGGGGTAAACGACGGAGGGCAACACAATGCGGCCAGTGAGGTTGGTGGGAGGAAAGATGCGGATGGAGGACTTGTCTGGGCCGGGAAGCAGAGAACGACCAAGGTCCAGAGGCAGCTTGAGGCTATATTCCTCTCCGGTGATGCTCCGCGCATGCGCCAGCAGGAAGTATTCGATCTGACCCAGCACGCCATTGCAAGAAGCAGGAAGGTTGCCGGGGAACAAGTAGCTGAAGGGGAAGTCGTGGTCCCCACCATTGAGGTGCAGGTCCTCGGTGATGAAGTTCCACTGAGTCAACTCTTCGGTGCGAGTAGCACAGTTGGAGCAGTGGTTGGAGACGGGCTTCTTGGTTGTTGTCTTGTGGACGAGGCGTACATCAAACTGGCTCAAGGTAACTCCAACAGTCAGCTCAGGGACTGCGATGCGCAAGCGTCCCGAGAACAGCGCGCCAGAAGAGCTGGCAGGTGGGCCATAGCAGACCAGTGGCGGTGACTCGATTAGAACATCCAGCTTTGCCGCTGGGGGGTGCACTTCATGGCTGGAGCGCTCCTTGGAACGTCCCGCGCGTCCCAAGCTGCGGCGCTTCTCTTTGCTATGGTCTCGGAGAGGGTGAATCAAGTGATCCATGGTGAAGGATAGACGGCGGTCTGGGGATCGTGCGCGGTCTGACTTGTGGGCTGGCTTCTTCGAATTTGCGGGGATTTCATTGACGGAAACGGTTGACGAGGAGTTGGAGTGACTGGGAGTTGAGGTGACAGATGAGTGTAGGGAACTCATCAGGTTAGGGATTAAACGGCCCGGCATATTGGCGATGTTGTAGACAACCCAATTAGATGTGACGTAGGATTCGTATGTTCAAGAAGCGGTACGGTGATGGAATAATTGAGAAGCAGATGAAGCAATCCAACACATAATAGTTCCCTGAAATTGTATGGGAAGATCTACAGAAGAAATTCTACATGTTTAAGTGCGCAAGCCGCCGCTTTTGAATGGCAAGAACAATCATGTGCTAATTCACTGAATCCGTGGAAACCAAAAAGTAAACCAAGAAAAATAGAATTTTCTTTGGAATTTTCTTTTTTTTTTTTTACAATTTTTTCATTGCTGTTTCCACTTGCCAGGTACCGGCTCATTCAATTAGAAAAGAAAAAAAAAGGAAAAGAATTAAAAGTGGGGCGTAGGACGGCGTCATTGTGGGGTCTGACGGAACGAATACTGCGTAATGACACAAAAATACAGCATTCGTGATCTTACCCCTCCAAGGTCCTATTTTGATTGAATTTGTTTGTTCTGAGATCATCTTATATCATCTTATTCGAACTTTGGAGATCGCAATTCTACCCGACGTAAAACATGGCATCCAAAGTTTCATCTTATAGGTCTGAGGCCCCAAAGATCTCATTCTATTATGTGCTTGGGATACATGGATCTAAGATAAATATAAACTACTCCCTCTAGACACTCTCGCCCAGAATTTACTGTCGCCTGACTCTGACTTCTACCCCACATTTCACATGTGTACTTTGTAGGCATCATACTCCGATCACAAAAGAACCATCAGTAAAATTCAAGCTAGACCCCATCAGGACACTCAATGGGAGCACATGATGCCACTGTTGGCTCCCGCCTTAGCGTACAACGACCGTGCGTAATGACTCACGTACGATGTACCGGTTCGGCTAAACCGGTCGGATAGGTTTGCGATGGGCTCGGCATGTATACAACAGATTGTATATTGCGTTGCTTAGTATGTGGGTTTTGCCTACGGGGTTCAACACCCTTGAAACTTAGGTGTATAGGGCAATGTGATCAATGTGACCAATGATAGGATCATGCCTGTTTGTGTATAAAGGAAGACGGAAGTGTCACCCCCGGATTTAGGTCAAGCATTCTACTCCGTATAGCCCTAGGGGACACACGGAGATGTGCCCGATGAGGTGTCTTTGACACCTAGACAGCGTCCTGACCTCTGAGGTCAAAGATACCTGCATATCGTATTCATCATTGCGTTTCAAATTCTAAATTCATCTATAAATATTGCTTTGTCGACTATATACGTACAAAGCTATTTGTATACAAATCCATTAGGCCAAGTTATCACGTGGCGTGATGGCGTAGAATGACAGCAATGGACCACACATTTCATATGCCCAGACCTGGATAAATGACAAACCATACCATACTGGGCCATTACCATACCGGCCATCGTCTCTTCAAGAGGATCTTCGACTAGCGCCGCCCTAAATATGTAAAATCCACCTTTCCGCATTGGGATAACAAAACGCGATGGGAAAGGACCCTGGCGGAGCTCCGTGAAAAAATTTTCAAATTTTCAAATTCTTTTGTTCTGACCGCCTAAATTGTTCAGTCGTCTGATCTATAAAAGTGGACTATAGTGGACTTTGACTGTTTAAGGGATACGACGTTCCCTTCTCAAGGCCACGGGGCTCGCCTACCCTGTACTCTACCCCGCACTGTACTTTGCGGGGCACATGAGTGCAAGATGAAATCCTTTTAGAAAAGAAGTGAACATTGAAGCTCGAATATCAACATGCAATGATCAACATCCAAAACAAAGGTTCTAGCCCTTCGACTGTCAAGATATGCTCCGTGCTCCCAAGGTCGCCCCAGAGCGAATCACCATCCCCGCCACGCACACTAATTACCTAACAACAATAGCATCGTCAGGAGTTAACCGCTCATGTTCACCTATAAGCATCGGCCTCGCACGCAGGGTGTCTAGGTACTGGAGATGCACGGACACGTTGTGCGCATGCAGGAGCTTAAAGAATTGCGGCTTATTTGGGCTCGTGCGCGGGTCAGGATTCCTGACTCGCCCGCTATGGACCCGTACATATTAGGCGTTTCCTCGGAGTGAGCTGAGGGCATTGATCACGCCATGGCGTGTACAGTATATCAGGCTTAGGTAGAGATACACCGATACAGTGATGCCATTTAGGTTCCTTCTTGTAAACCCGGGCACGTCAGCTCTTGGGGCATCGGAGGTTTAGTGATTTACGTTAAGGTTGATCGATCTACATAGCTCAACTACATTCTATATTGCGCAATATTGTCCTGATCTAGGTAATAGAACGCAGTGATAGAGTTATCGACACATACAGTAGGTCCATGCTATCTTTCTTTCTCCTTCTCCCGGGACTGGCCGCAAGAGGTATACCAGTGTCGAGGCTAGGAATTAGTTCATTATAGTCAATATATTCTTGATCAAGGAGCTCGGAGGTCACGATCGCAAATCAGTGGCTGTCGTCCGCCGTTGGCTCGTCGGATGGACTAGCCAATAATTGCTACAAGGGACTTCGGCAAGCGTCTCAGGCGAACTTCCTGTTTCGGGGCGATCTCGGCTGGCCTCTCCGATCTCTTTCCACCCCCTTTTTTTTAAAAAAAAAAAAATTATTCGCCCAATTTGACTCCTTCGAGAAAAAGTATATGGTGGAGAAATATGCTCCGCCCATTCAGCCATATGCCAAAGAATAACGCCATCTCGTCATCAGACATACAGCCTAAACAGAATGTACATCTAATGTACGAAATGACTTCCACTTTATATTTTATATTTTTCTAAATGGTGCCATTTAACACCGCAAAAACTACTAAAATTGAATAAAAGGAACTCCGGAGAATGGCCGGGTCTCCGCTTAGGCGCGGGAAAGCAGAAATTTTCTGTCGGTCATCCACTCGGAACTTTATACTCGGCCCGTTGCAACGTGATCTTTAGCCTCACCCACGGCCCGCTATGGTAACATCTCCCTGGTTCAGATCTGGGTATTTTTTTTTCCTGGCTTAAGGGAAAACATATGTATAATAGTATCGCGTTGTGGAATCGCATCCACCTTTGATGGGGCCAGACACTGTTTCAACTTTTTTTTCCCTACTTTATGTGTCGGAGGACGCCGGTCGTCTCTTGAGGTAACAATTAGCTAACAATTAGCTTGGCAGTGAGTCGATCGTTATAAGACCGGTCCGTTAGCCGGTTTGATAGTGCAATGGCTTCGGTTTGGCTAGCGGTGTGGAAAAGAATTCGTTGGTTTGGGGCCAGACTCGTCCATCAAAATCAAGGAATATATGTTGGTTCTATATTTGACTAACCGAAGCGATGCAACCCGGAGCGTATGTATGTTCGTTTCAACTTGGTAGGACTCAAAAATATACTTTAAATACATAAAACTTAAACTTTTTAGATTGAGTCTTATCAGATCTTGACTGAGAGCATAAGCAGGCAGTGTGATACAATACCAAGAAAGCAAATTCTCATCCGTGTTTCTCCTAAGGCAGGGTTGTCAGATACCCCAAGCGTCTCTAGGGATCCTCTCCGTCATCTATTCGCCTTCCATCAAGCGTTGCTTCATTGATCCATGGGAGGTGAAACAATGTTTGTTGCAAAGAGCTTCTGCGGACCGTTTATCCGGGACAGCGATTTGAGAAGACACCGATAGCCAAATCCTCCAGGCCATACATGTACTTCTACGTGTCTAAAAGCAAGGAAGTTATCGAGAGAAGAATGTAGCGATGATCACCTACTGAAACGATCTCTCTGGTGTAGCTTCATGGGAGCAAAGTGATGTAAGAAGAGGAATTCCAAGAGTGGATATAAATCTTGGAAGACATTCATCGAAAATACGGTGTCCTAGTTCAAAGAAATGGGCTATAAAGGCTTCTTCTCGTCTGACCTTGATATTACCTACTGTAAGCCCTTGTGTCAGGCCTAGAGGAAGCGGGCTTTTTAGCCCATAAGTGAAGTCTCTTTATGAACATATCAACCATAAAGACCATATAATCTACTATTTCTCACTCAATAAATTGCCATTTTGGCCTTAGTGTTGCTGAATGATTTTTGCCTGTCAGTGCATATTTTACAAATTGCGTACCCCTTTTGATTCTGCTCTATTTGAAGTTTGGAGTACAACAATAGACCAGGGAAAGGGAAATTCTAATTCGGCTACAGACAAAGCTATTGAGAAAAACGTACAAGAGGTGCCCCCAGTCCATACCCTCCGCTTCAAGGAAAGTAAGCCGATGATCTAGGCTATGCTGATTTTGATTTATGTACTAATTGGGTCTATGTCTACTAGACCAAGCTCCGGGCTCTACCTTTGCAAACTTCGAACGCCTTTATTCATTCCTCATTGGTGAAACCCTCTAGCATTGTGAAATGTTATTGAAGCACCGCATATTTTAGCATCGGCCTGCCATACTGCCTTAGCTAGAGGTGGGCGGCACTAACTATTTATACTTAATTTCTCTTTCATATTTGTTTACGCAGCGTGAATATTATTCTGGTGAGAGTTGTATGATACGCAGCAGGATAAAACGTCCGATGTAACCAATCAGCTCTGTATTGGAATCATCTGACGTGGGCTTATTTTTCTTTTGTCTGCAACAAGATATTTACAGCAAGTTAAAATAATTTTGCTCACATCCGAATCTAAATAGATTGCGGCTTAACCGGAAATGTCTAGCCAGCGTCGTCATACTGGAAGGCTGATAGTAATCGTGGAAAAGGCGCACTCAAGGTCAGTAGGATCAGGCTTGAATCGCCCACCGCAAAGGCAAAACCATGGCCCAGCCCCCTCATAACGCGTTGCAGAGACCTTTTTCTAGCCTGGCAGGATCCCTTCATTTAGTTGGTGGCTTGACGGGCTGGGAAAGTGTTAGTATTGAGGCAGTTCACTTTCTGCCGGCTTCAAGGGAGACAAACCGGTTGATGGTCAGGACTATCCATGAAGCTTGCCATTCGATATTGGAAATTGTCCGCTGGTGTTAAACCGATGCTGTATTTCCTATCCCCGCCGAATGTGTACAAAAATGTCATGGGGAACAGGGGATTGAATGGAATCGCGTCTTCGATGAATTCAAGATCTTCTTTAGACAAAGCGATCTTCAATCCATCTTCCAGTGCCTTGACATGCTCCACCGTACGTGTGCCCACCATTGGAAAAACGTAAGGCGTCTTTTGGAGGAGGTATGCAAGGGCCTGTAGTGAAAGTGGATATTAAGATACAGTGATGGGTAGAGATTGCATAAAAACTTACCACTGCTTGCACGGTTGTATTCTCGCGCTTAGCAATTTCTTCCAGCTTCCCGGAAACCTTCAGCGCCTCTTCCGCTGGCGGTCCATAGAGACGGCCCCCTTGTTTAGCTTCTCGTTGCTCCTTCGACAAAAACTTCCCTGCACCCAACGCTTCCCAGGGTACGATGGCCATACCCTGATCACGGCACATTGGAATCACTTCGGCCTCCAGGTCGCGGTATCCCGCGTTCCACTTTCCCTGGTATAAAGAAAACGGCGTGAGACCGTGCTGGCGAGCATAAGAGTTGGCCTTCATCACCACCCAGGCAGGGAAATCAGAGGCGCCGAGGTACAGGACCTTGCCAGCCATGACAAGAGAGTGCAGTCCCCGCATAATTTCCTCAACGGACGTGACAGAATCCCACCAGTGGACATAGAGGATGTCAATGTAATCAGTCTTCAATTTCTCCATCGAAGCACGTACACTGACATGCATGGCCTTGACTGAATTTCCAGTGTAGTTGGACTGTATAGGCTCTTCATCACATTTGTAACTGCGGTATCCTGCTGAGTACTTGGTCGCAATAACCATTTGGTCTCGATTACCACGCTGTTCCATCCAAGACCCAATGACCTTCTCCGACTCTTCCAATTGATAGATGTTCGCTGTATCAATGAAATTGCCGCCTTGTTCAAAGAATGCGTCGAGAATCTTGGAGGGATCGTCTGCTTTGCCCATGAAGCCTTCCCTGTAGCATTACGTTAGAAACGGATGCAAGCTTATGCTTCTTTAAGCGCACCATGTATTGGTCAAGCTCATGCCCCCAAGGCAAATAGGTGAAACTCTCACGCCGGCATTTGGTGAGAGCACTCGATGACGACCGAGCAACGTCTTTGGCAAGGGGCCTGCCTTGAAAACCTCACTCATGATAGGTATTGAGGTATGAAAACGAGATATAGATTGAATAGAGCAGACAGAAGTGCACAGCTTCGGCAGTTCCAGTCCCTTTATAGTAGATATTGTGTCAACTACGAGTGATGTCATCATACACCTATTAGGTGAAGGTGGACCAGCCCGCTCGGGGTTTGCGGTGTTACCCTGTCCTTATCGCAGGCATGTAAGGCGCTGACCCATGCAGACAAGTCTTGCATTAGCACAGACCTTAAAATGCTCCAAGTAGAATACGATATACCACTCCCCTGTCCAGTGGCATTGAATTTTTTATTAGCTGAAAAACACTCAGGCATCCGAAGCAAACTTATTTGAACCTCAAACCCGCAAAACCGGAAAGAATATTGGGTTTTGAGAGAGGAAGATCCCTAGAGGTAACAAGCGTTGTTCGAGAGCCAAAGTCTGGCTTAGATCCGAGCAAGATGTGGCTGGCAATAGTCTTAAATCCTGCGGAGATTAGCATCAGATAACCTTTTTTCTCCGGATTCCAACTCTAATAAATCCGGGAATGTAATCCCAGCCATTCATAATGGGTATACTTTGTATTATATTTATACAGCAGCATAAATATCTTCTGGCACTATAGTCAGCAACCTTATGGGTTGTGGATATGGGTTGAGTTCCTCTAGGTCTTTTGTGGAAGTCTGGGGCGTATTGTTCAAAAGGCTATATCTTATGGCCATACAGAGTTTTAAATACGCGCTACGAGTTGCTCACGGAGCCTACCTGGGTTCTCTTGGGCGTGAGGCCACTTTTCTTTACTTTCTCGACATCTACTATATATAAATGTATAAACTAACTAATAATTAGTTAGTTACATGCATATTTCTTACTAGGGTTCGACTAAACGAAATAGACTCTCCACGGTTCCTTCACACTATATACATCTTATATATATATTCCCTATGCACGTATCTCGAGGGACAAGAAAATGGATATTACCCCTACGATGCACCTAAGTATATTGTATGGGCGCACTAGCACTCGTTATTGTATTAGGCCTTTGTCATGCTTACTGTTATATTGTACCATTTTAACTGACCGAACAAGCGGAAAAGAGAGGAGAAGGAAAAGAAGGAAGAGCTATTAAAGTATTATAAGCATACTGTATACGACATGCAGAAAGCCCACACGTGACCCGGCGATGGATCGTCATAGGAATCACTTGAGCTTCCCCTATTCCGGATGAGCTCAAGCCACCGTGTTCTTTTTTGAACTGCTCCAGCATCATGGGCTTGGCTGTTACTTCTCCCCGGAAGTAGTTGACCCCTGTATCAACACGAGTGGGATGATTCGCATTTCCCCACCCTACACATGCCTTGGCTCTGGTCTATTCTGATCCACTCGATAAACAATTCCACCTAATAATCGAGCACCGCATTGCACCAGTCTCGGTCCAATTACCACAGCCCTGGAAATAATATTATCGAGCAGCACAACCCGTATTCCCACCCTAGATCGATCCTCGATCCTCGATCCTCCTCGGAACACGGAGAAACGGAAGCACGAGGCGTGGAACCCCACGAAATCTCTAGACAACTTATGCAAACCCGCAAACCACCCCAATTGAACACCGCAATGTCGGCCTCATTCAACTGGACTGCATTGGCGGTAGCCATAACCGCAGTCTTCATATTCTGGACCTTCTCATCAACCTCCTCCTCACCCTTCACACGGTCCTTTCCACGCCTCGAAAACAAGCGCATCTGCCTTCTAATCGCACACCCAGACGACGAAGCCATGTTTTTCGCCCCAACAGTGCTATCTCTCACCAAGCCCGAGCTCGGCAACCACCTAAAGATCCTCTGTCTCAGCAGCGGCGACGCAGACGGCCTAGGCGAGACGCGCAAACAGGAGCTCCACAAATCAGCCAAGCAGCTCGGTCTGCGCAGCGAATCAGACGTTTTCATAGTCGACGACGTGAACCGCTTCCCGGACGGAATGGACAAGGACTGGGACGAGGGCCAGATCTCGTCGCTGCTGGCCTCGGCTTTCGCGCCAGAAATGGCTGCGCAGAGGAAGGTGCCCACCAAGCGTGTCGATCTTAATAAGGCCCCTACCGCTACTATCGATGTCATCATCACCTTTGACAAGCATGGCATCAGTAATCATCCTAACCATCGCTCGCTGTACCACGGCGCTGTGAATTTCGTCCGCGCTCTGATGAAGGATAAGGCCGGTTTTACCTGTCCGGTCACGCTGTATACCCTGACTACGACGTCCGTGTTCCGCAAGTATGCGGGTGTGCTGGATGCGCCGATATCCATGGTCCTTGGTGTGTGGAGTAACCTCGTTGCTGGGTGGACGGGTCCGAAGCAGAAGGATACCGGAGCTGGTCCTGTGCGGCTGCTGTTTGTTAGCTCGATAAATGAGTGGTTGACTGCGCAGTCTGCTATGGTCATCTGTCACAAGAGTCAGATGGTTTGGTTCCGGTGGGGATGGATTACTATTGGGAGATATATGACTGTCAATGACCTTCAGCGGGAGAAGGTCTAAGTGACTGATCCTTTCCTTGTTCTTGTTTAGGAATTGCTATGCCCTGGATGAAGTGCTAAGCTTCGGATCTGTGCAGCTTTTACTCAGATCTTGTATCATTTTGGCTGATCGCCCTTTGCTTGCGTTGATATCTCACGCTTCATGTCTGCATATGATTTTCAAGGCCTGTATGCCTTCTTGTATACTCATTTTACTATTCAACTTACAAAGCTCATGTAATCGAGGGGCTTCATAATGGACATACATGTCTTTCACTATGGATCAATCTAGAAAGAAAAAAAAAGGACGAAGACACAAATTGTACTGCTCATGGGATTGCACAAATGGATATCATGTATGATGGACGTCAACCGAAAATGCTTGAAACGACACAAAAAGAAAAGGCTCTTCCCATCAACACCAAGGATTGCCATCCCGCCAGAAAATAGAATTTTGGGGTTTAGCATCAAAGCCCAGCGCATTAATGCGACTATAGAATCCGACAGCAGGATTGTTCTTCTGCGAAAGATGATGATCGTCCGGGTAATCAATACGCGTGTTGAGTTTGTTGAGCTTTTGCTTTAATTCTTTGCTGCGCTTCGTCTGGAAGGTGTAGATGCGACTGAGCGGCCAAATGGCCGGGTCCAGCTGGGGGTACTCATAGAGCAGGATTTCCCAGAATATCCTGTCATCAAGGACTTTGGGCTCAGCTGGACAGAACAGTTCCGACCCGTCTGGTATCCGCCGTGCATGAATGCGGCCATGCTGGCTCATGTGGGTGCTCTTGGCAGTCGTTTGACCTTCGAAATCGACTGTTCCAACCTCTCCATCTCTGTATGCATAGCTATTGCGCTCTGGCAGAAAGTCTTTCCATTCTTCCAGTAGCTTGGGCCGTTCTTGGAGCTCCCAGACTTTGAGCGATATGTCACTCCACTGTTTTGTGATGATCATTGAATAGGCTATGCGCTGCATTTGATAAATCTGTTGGTAGACTTCGAGCCGGAGGAGATCATATGCGTTGATGGCCTCGGCGAGTAGGGGGCAGTGGAATAGTGACAGGTCTGGTTCCACACCGTTCTCTCGTTGGTGCCTGATTTGATCCTTGAATTTCCTCCGAACCTTCGCCGGCGGTCTCATGCTGTCCAAGACTCGTTGTAGGCATTTTATAACGGCGTCTCTCGCTTCCTTTCTTTTTGCCCTCGTTTGGCTCAAGATATCATATGCCTTACGCATGTCTCTTTTGCAAGCCTCGAGATTGCCATCGAGCTTGTTGGTTTGGGTCATATATCGGTACATTTGCAGAGTCGCAGGAACATTGTACTCCGTCGTTAATATCTGGAACATATCACGGACCATGTCTCTCGGGACTTGGCCTACTCGCCCATCTTCTGCTTGTCTCCGCCTGTGTACTTTGGAGAGAGTAAACGTCCTTTCAAGCAACTCGGACCAGATCTTGTCTGAAATGGTGATGTTGTACGAAGAAGCCATGAATTCGACTGTTCTCATGGCGGCGTGTATGTCGTTGGTCGTGCCAAAGGCATGGGCAATGGCGAAAAGAAGACCCTCAGTCGGGTACAGACCGGACCAAGTCTCATAGGGCGTAACCGGTGGCAGCATCGAGTTGTCATTTTCAGCTAAGATGGCATCAACATCGACGTTCCATACAGTCTTGAGGATATTCTTGGTGGCTTCCGTGTCGCCAACTCGGGCGGATGCGAGGAGGACATTAGTGTATGTCTGCACATCCCCACTAAGCCCGTCCTGGCTCATTTGACTGAATATATCCAGCACAGTCCCTTTGACACTGTTCCACGCCGTTCCGTAGCCACGATATCCAGGACTTGGATCTACCATGCGCCGCTTTTTGTAGCTGTAAGGGGTGATGCGAGTATTGTATGCTTCTTTCCCCACGTAACAGTGGTCCCAGTTTCGTCCTGACATATAGTGGTTATAGCACGCTGTGTCGGGAGTGACGCCGTTGGCATCCATTCCATCCCAAAGCGCGTTGACTAGTGGCCCATTTCCCATTGCCTGTGCACAGTCAAGCAGATGAGTGTACTCGGCTAGTTGAGGTGGACATCCAGCCGCAGACCTATATTGGGTGATCGTGAGCAGGTCCCTCGTAAAGTCGTCGAAGACCGCTTCCAAGGTTTTGAGCCCGTCCATTAACACGCCCCACCCGTGTAGCGTATGGTGAAGATCTCGGTATGGTATGACGAAGTTGGCTGGGGAGAGGAGGTGCAAGGCTTCAATAAAAACAGTCGGCGGTAGCAATCCAACTAGCTCTACCGACCGTGGGTCGACCATGGCTTCTAGCACTTGGTTGGGTTGTCCGTTTTCAAGGGCTCGGAAGAAGTCTGCCCTATACCGCGCTTCCTCTGCGGGTGAGGTCCATTCCGGTAGAGACACTTGGATCTCTTTTTCGAAAGTCGCAGGACGTGGAACAGCGAGTTCGCTGCTCCATCGTTGACTTGTTCTAGTCAATTGGCGTACGGAGGTGCGATAGCAAGTTTGTGTCGTTGTTTGTGCAGAAATATCCCATGGCTTCGTATTTAGAGATGTTGCGACACAAGGTATTTGCCTTGGGCGACTGAGATGACGGTGTGGGGAGAATTGTCTGGGCTTGATGCTCTCTCCAGAGAGATATGAGACGCCCCAGCGAGAAGCGAACTTCTCGGTAAATGAAATACTCCGCATGGGTAAAGTGTACAGCAATAAATTAATGCGAAGAATCAGAATAAACAAAGAGAACAAAATCACCAGGGGCGTAAATGAGGGGAAGTTGTGCGCTTCGACCCCGATCTTTTGGCAGGGTACTTCATGCAGGTCGTGCTTCGAACTAAGTAAGCACATCCCTGCACAAGTAACTAGGCGAGAGTGGAATTTATTTGATTTTCACTTTAATATGTGGTTGACAACCTATACTATACATGTCCAGCATACTTCTCCAGTTCCCGCTCCACCACCTGTATAGATCTCATGTGGATACTTGGAAACCTGAAAACCCGGGGTAAATTGCTGACTCATTCCATTTCTTGGCAAGCCAGACGCTAAACCCCATTGGGTATCTGCCAAAGCTCGTTCATTCTGCGTGTGTGTGGACCTGCACTTAACCCAATCCAATCACCCTTCTATTATGGCCGACAATGAAGATACCGGCGGTCCATCCGTCTCGGAACCCCTGGATCTTGTTCGTCTCTCCCTCGACGAGACCGTGTTCGTGAAGCTGCGCGGTGACCGTGAGCTCAAGGGCCGTCTTCATGTGAGCTACCCCCCACCTAGCCATCTTCAGGACAACTACTGACTATGATATATGTATAAAGGCCTACGATAGTCACTGCAACCTAGTCCTTGGCGATGTGGAGGAGACGATCTACGTGGTGGAAGAGGATGAGAACGAAGAGGAGACTTTGCGCGTATGGGCTCATATGAATACTGGAATTTTACACGGGCACGGGCTAATCTAGGTTCGCCGATACAGACTATCAAGAAACAAGAAGAGATGCTTTTTGTCCGAGGTGAGTCGGAGCATTATGGAATATCACGAGTGGGTTGCTGATTCCCATCTAGGAGACTCCGTCGTCTTGATCTCCCCCCAGGCATGACAGGCTTGATATGCCCTTGATAGAGAGAAAGGCGTCCGGTGACGGGAACAATACTAGGAAGGACACAAGATACCACAAAATGCAGTCAAGATAGATAGGCAACGATACCATGGCAATTGGTTTATGATCATCCCATCCTAGTCCTGTTGGATATAGCCTGAGCCTGAGCAATTGTTAGTCATAGTGTTCCTTAGAACTATTTATGGAGTCACTGGTGAAATGCGGCTGATATAACTGGGCTGATCGATGACTCAACTGATGACTCCAACTTATCGATAAAAGCTCCCCCATTCCCCCTTACAATGCACTCTAGACCTGAACACTTATTCAAATATTTACTACAACATCCTTCCATCTTTTGTTCATCTGGGCAAAAGAAAACTATGATCACTCGAATATAGCTTCACATCCGCCAACAATAACGGCGATCCGATCCACCGACCAATAAACCAATAACGTCACTTACCCCAAAAAGCGGCACGTCAATCGACACGGTTGAACTTACCAACTCCACACAATGCCTCTAACCGGGAAACTGAGCCATGAGGAGCGAAAACGAGGTGAAGTCGTATGTGTCTCCAAAGAAGATGTGTTAAGTTCCTCATCTCACATGATCTTCAACTTAGGCCCTCAGTGAATTCGCCGAGTATGCTGAGAAACAGCAAGCCCACCGCTCCGGCCAAGTAGCACCCAGCGACAGCGGATATTCCACCGCTAGCGTGTCGCGCGATCTTGAGGACCATGCAGAGCTTGACATTCTTGATCAGCTAGGGCTGTCCGATGCCCCCCAAACAGCCAAGCTCAAGGAACTCCTTCTCGGTACAGGCGATGCCGTCGAAGACAACTTGCAAGTGCTAGCTGGTATATTGCAAACACGCGTTGATGAAGGCCATGGGGAAACCATCTTTGATCTCGGGTTGGAGGATGGTGGTGAATCCATGGGCTTTGACCTCGATCAATGGAAGACGGCGCTCCAGCGCTTGCGCGAGGCGGCCGAGACTATCCCCGCCCACTGCCGAGTATTATTGACCTATAATGTCGGAGGCCCTGAAGAATCGTCTGTTGCCAATGACCGCGTACAGGGTGCTTGGGGCAAGGTCCTTGTGCGCCACCACGCTGATAACATCGAGGAGATGGCGGAGCTCCGGATTGCGGTAGTGGGGAATGTCGATGCTGGAAAGAGCACTATGCTAGGAGTGCTGGTGAAAGGTGGTCTTGACGATGGACGTGGTCGTGCGCGAGTAAATCTGTTCCGCCACAAGCACGAGATCGAAAGCGGACGTACCAGCTCCGTCGGGTTGGAAATCATGGGCTTCGACAGCCGAGGCGAAATAGTTGGCAATTCGCAGGGCCGAAAACTCTCCTGGGAAGACATCGGCAGGCGCTCTGCTAAGGTAATCTCCTTCTCTGACCTGGCAGGCCACGAGCGGTATCTGCGCACCACTGTATTCGGTATGCTGAGCAGCAGCCCCAACTACTGTTTACTGATGGTTGCTGCCAATAACGGTCTGATCGGAATGAGCAAGGAGCATCTGGGTATTGCTTTGGCCCTCAATGTGCCCGTCATGGTCATTGTCACCAAGATTGACATTTGCCCGCCCCATATTCTGCAGGAGACCTTGTCCCAGCTGACCAAGATTCTCAAATCGCCTGGCGCGCGCAAGATTCCAATCTTCGTCAAGGATATGGAGGAGACCATTAACACGGCCGCGCAATTCGTCAGCCAGCGGATATGTCCTATCTTCCAAGTGTCCAATGTCACAGGAGAGAACCTCGACCTAGTACGGACCTTCCTAAACATTCTACCCCACCGTGGTCAATACGATACCGCGGGAGCCTTCGAATTCCTGATCAACGACACCTTCTCTGTTCCTCATGTGGGTACAGTTGTCGCGGGTGTGGTCAAGTCCGGTGTCATTCATGCCGGAGACTCGGTCATAGTGGGACCAGACTCACTTGGCCAGTTCACTACCACAGTCATCAAGTCCATTGAGCGCAAGCGTATCCAGGTGAATGCTTGCTTTGCCGGACAATCTGGATCTTTCGCCCTGAAGCGCGTCCGCCGGAAGGAAGTGCGCAAGGGTATGGTGGTGTTGAAAAAGCTGGAGGAGCCTCCAAAGGTGTATCGGGAATTCGTCGCGGAGGGTAAGTCGCCCATTCTGACCTGATTGACCGCATGCTAATGAAAAATAGTCCTAATTCTTTCTCATGCAACTACCATTAAGCCTAAATACCAGGCTATGCTTCATGTTGGGGCAGTCAGTCAGACATGCTCGGTCATTGACATTGATCGCCCTTTCATTCGCACTGGAGATCGAGCGTTAGTTGCGTTCAGATTCGTTCAGCGTCCTGAATTCTTAGCCCCGGGGGACCGTGTCCTCTTCCGCGAGGGCAAAACGAAAGGACTGGGAATCGTTAAGAGCATCGGTTATGACCCAGCGCAACCTTTGAACCCAAATGCAAAGGAGGGCGCTTCCACTCCCACGTCCACGATACCACATGCTTAGTTTTTTTTTTTTCCTTTACCTGTCTCAGCGGAGTTTCTTTGTTCTTTGTTCTTCTTTATTCCTTTAAGTTTGCCCTTTTCATTGCTAAGCGTTCGACAATAGATACGTCCTATCTCGTATTTTTTTTCTCTTTTTATCTAGATTGTCTCTATGCTTACCCTGTTAATATAATGTCAATTGGCTATGGGCTGATTGTATTTCTATTAATACCTTTGCACCTATTGCTCCGACTGTGTAGTATGAGGTCACATGATATTACATACAGGACCGTGACGTCACTCTATGACATAGGCCCAGAGGATCGCCGCTCTCTCGACAATCCAATCTATCAACTGGAATATTATTCGCCATTGAGAAGTCAGTGGAATCAAATGGGGTGAGAGCGATCCTTGTGCAAGCCACAGTAGCCCAATACTGACGTATTGAACACGGTCTCAGCCTGTGGGTTCTTAAAGCTTGACCTATCCAGAGCTTATAAGGGTCCATTCACTCGCCACTTAACAAAACAATAACACATTATCTTACTATTATCATCCTCTTTTACTATACCCTATCTGCCATCCTATTATTCTATATAACTCCCACAACACAATCATGGAGACTGTCAACAAATACGTCACCGCTGCTTCAACCGTCATTTGGGGCGAGAACGACTCCCCTAAGGCCCAGCAGCACGGCGAAGAGCCCATGTCCGGTGTGCAAGGCCAAGGACGTGCCACAGATCCCTATGATGGTGGCAACCGCGATGGTAAGTACAACTTAAGCATATGAGTTCCCAACCATATAAATGTCCAACATATCTAACGCCTTGCCTCGCAGAGCAACCCGGCGCAATCAAATCAGACGTCAGCACTGCACCCCTGAACCCCATCCTAGACAATAAACAATCAAAGCCCCGGGAAACCGAGGTTACTAGCATCACCACTCCCCACGCACCTACATCCATCACTGCCTGCACCAGCGTCACTCCCGCTCTGTCCATGTCTGGCGAGCCTACAGAAACCAGCGAACGCAAAGAAAACAAGCCCATCTCTAGCGGCTTAGCGGAAACCAGCGGAAGCAACACCAAGCAGGAGCAACGCAGCACCTCGCAGGGCGAAGATGGCGAGAGCAGCGAAGCTGCCCGCCCAGCGCGTCCTCAGGACGTGAGCAAAGAGGCGCTCGAAGGCCCCCAGGGTCCTGCGCCGAGGTCTGCTTCGTCCTTTGAGAATGAATCTAAGGGAAAGAAATCTGTGGCTAAGGATGATGATATTAAAAAGAGTATGTTTCCCCTTTCTTGTGTCCGTCTCATATCTTAGCGGTATTAGTTCTGGGTGGTGCTGACCTTCTGTTATAGGTTCTTCAAGTGAATCCAAGAACAGCGAGAAGAGCAGAGAGTCACCTTTAAGCAGCAACAAGTCTGAGCATTCTTCTCATGGCAGCGAGAAGGCTGAAAAGCAGGGTACTATCTCGAAGGTGAAGGAGAGCGTCAAGAAGCACCTTCATCATTAGAGCAAATGAAGGCAGCGTCTTTGCTTAGAATGGATCTAACAGCAGTTCTGTTTGTGACCAAGCCTCCGGTGTCTTGTTTTATGGCTATTTTTTATGTCTATATCATGCGATTTGTTTATTTGATGCGCCTTATTTTCTGATTTCATGTGTATTAATATCCATTTGTACTTCAATTATTCAAACTATTGAAACTCTTCCTTGTAAATTGGTATAAAAATTAAAGCAGATGATATTTCTAGGTCTCTAAATTGGAAATAGATGGTATCTAGCATTTGACATCCACACACCGGAGCAGGGTATCCCAATTTTAAACAGAAGGAAGCAACCGTCCGTAGAAGCCGCCTGAATATTTACTCGAACAACATTTTCAACTCTTCAAGTCTATCCTTCCCCTTATCAGAATCACCATCATCGCCGCCGATCTTCAACCCCAGCGAGCCAGCAATATTCATTTTACGCTCTTGCACACGCAACATGCGGCCTTCGATGGAATCTTTGACCACGAATCGCGTCACATTGACGTCCCGAGTCTGGCCCATTCGATGGACACGGTCGATGGCTTGCGCTTCGATTGCGAAACTCCACCATGGATCCATCACGAAGACATTGCTTGCGGTCGTTAGGTTGAGGCCTACGCCGCCGGCACGCAGGGAGATGAGCAAGACCGTAGGGGCTGGTGTTGAGGATGTGGGGGCGCTAGTCTTTGCAGGCCCGCTTCTCCCTGTGGTATCGTCTTCCATGTCGACGATGTCATCGTCGGTAAAGCTCTCTGCTTTTGTAAACTCGGCTAGAACAGCGGCACGGGCCTTCTGCGGCATTGAGCCATCGAGGCGGAGATACGAGATTCCGACCCGGGAGAGTTGTGGGCCGATCAGGTCTAGGAATGAGGTAAATTGGGAGAAGACAACGGATTTAGTATTTGCAGGGACGCGTCCGAGGTGATTAATAAGGGCCTGGATCTTGGCCGAAGTGTGGGCGGATGGAGAGAGGGGGTGTATGCGACGGAGGGAGATTCGTGGGGCAGGTTGAGAGTTGGTTGGTGGCGTATTGCTCACAGTATCATCTGTGAAAGAAATTGAATTCGAGGACGGATGTCTTACTACTTCGAAGGTATTCTGCGCATCGACCGGAGCACGGCAGTTGAAGCACCGTGCCACGACGCCCTTTTTCATTTGGTGTTCCAAGAAGTCTTCGAGGCATTTCTTACATGCACTGTGCCAGCAGGCTGTTACTGCTGGATCGATCATAGGCTCTTCACAACAAATAGGGCACTCGCCGCTGGACTCGGTTTGGATCTGCCGAAGAGCATGGGTAGTGAACTTAACCATTGTCCCTGAGGCGTCTTTAGAGTCGGCGTTCTCATTTTCGGTCGTAAATTGGTTGATCAGTTCTTGAAGATCCATGTCGTCTTGGAACTCATTGGTTGCATTAGCTGCTACCGCAGCGCTCTCTTCTTCTTCGACGATAGCTTTGTTGCGTGTCATTATAGGGTGGCAGCAGGTCTGGCGAAGACGGAGAATTTGAGCAAAGATTGTGCTGTAAGACTTCAACAGTGTGCCAGCTACGACATTGTCGTTGTAAGTACGTTTCGCCCGCGTATATATACAGTCGTAAATTTCTCGTTCTTGCTTCGGTAGCTCCACTTCCTCGATAGTGACTGTCTTTTTGGGCAAGGGGACCAATGGCTCGCCCTCTGGGGTTTTCATCGATTTGGTCCGCCGAAGAACAAGAGGTTCCAGGACACTTTGCACAACGTTCAGGGCGCGCACATATTCTTTCGATTCGAAGGGCACAGTGATAAACGTCTTCCAGAAGGAGAAGTTGCTCCATGGCTCCACTTTTAGGAAACGCACCAGACTGAAGAGGTCTTCAAGACGATTGACAATAGGCGTGCCAGTCAGTGCCCACCGATGGGCTGCTTTTAACTCATAGCATGCTTTAGCAGACTTAGAACGGCGGTTCTTGATCATGTGGGCCTCATCGAGAATTACTCGAAAGAATTCCACAGAGAATAGACCCCCATTTGCATTGGATCCTAGAGCAGACTGGAGAGCGCACTGACGGAATTCCGATAATACCACACCGTAACTGGTGACAATCACCTGTGGAGCCGTTGCATATTTGGATTCGCAGCATAAATCTCTCAAGTTCACAGCCTTGTCCGACCCATAATAAACAAGAACCCTCAACGTCCCGGCTTTGAGCGCTTCACTTTCCCATTGGGAGATCAAAGATGTTGGCGCAACGACCAGAGTGGTATACGGCGCAGGCACCACGCCGGAAGTGTTCGGCATCCTAGCAAGGTCATTTACTGAGCTGAGACCATTCAAAACCTGTGGATCAGGCTCGACTCTGTGTGAATGAACCAGACTGAGCATCTCAATGGTTTTCCCCAGACCCATTTCATCAGCCAGGATTCCTCCTCGGCAGTGTTGCTCTTGAGCAGGGAAATCAACACTGAGGTCTCCCGAATACGGGTTGACATAAAAATGGTCTATGTTCTCGACATGCGGTAAATCTTTGTCGTCAACATCCTTTCTGGGCCAAGTGTATTCCTCCCACAATGGATGCAAGGACTTCTCTCGAACTCGCTTCGAGTCTTTCTCTTTTGACAGCAGCCAATGAAGGGCCTGCTGCTGGTACTTGCGCAGATCAAGGGTGAAGCTAGGTGCTGGATCTGCTGTTGGCATGTTGAAATCAAATGATTGGGCTTTTTGATAGAGTGTATCGAGCTGATCCTTTTCTAGTTCCTCGCTGTCGTCTTCGCCTGATGAGTCGTTGGAATCCTTGTTTGATTTGGGCTTGTCTTTTTCCTTCTTCGTGCTATCGTATTGTTCTGCAATTTCAGCAGCACGTAGAATACCCTCTCTTTTGTGCTTTTCCGTAGTCGGGTTGGTCGAGGTAGGATGAAGATTGATTTCGTGAAACAATTTCACTAGGCCGACTTGGCGTAGTCGAAGGTTCTTCTCCTCGGTGCTCTCCTTCTCTTCGAACAGTCCAGTGGACCTGTTGTCATTCGCGTTTAAAGCGGCGAGCGCCCCGCTTTGGAAGGCTTCCTTTCGCAAGTAGACTCGGAGTTGTAGATATATGGTATCGTTGACTCGCACCCTGTCAGGTACAAACACACAAACTCCTTCAAACCGACAGATCTTCTGATCAATCAGCGTGGAAACCCATTCAGCGGTCTCATGTGGCAGCCTTCCGATTTCTTGCCCCGAGGTGTTCGTGAATCGAGTCAGAACATCACTTTTGTGATTGACAAAAGCTTTGCCTCCTCGGCCACGTTTCGTCGTTGGCTGCGAGCGTGCGCGTTCAATGTTGACGGTGTCTCCATGCTTGAGAAATCCCAAGCCACTTCTCGTTGCCCATCCTCCCACGCCAAAGGCGCCAACATACCTTGCCGGTGGCTGGTGTCGGAGTACCGATTCACTTTCAAGTGACGTTTCAGGGCTGGGCTTTCCCATTTGAGCGGGTTTCCAGCTTCTAGCCCGAACGCTGCCATTTATCCGCGCAGGCTTCTTCCACGATCCATCAAAGTATATGTTCACAGCCCGCTCGATATTATTGGAAGCAGCCGATTGGATGGTTTTGATTGAATCGGCCGGCAGTTGCTCTCCTATGATACTGGTGAAAAGTTCGACATCGAAGCCATCTGTGATTGTGCTTGCTGTGGTGGTACTGATAGCCACTTCCTCGATTCGTTGGTCTACTCCATTCTGGTGTGGAGAGGGAGTAGGTGCAGCGTCCGCAATGGGTAGCCTTAGGCTATTTGTCGTTCGAGCTCCTGTATGCTGCTGGTTTGTTTCATTTTCCTCGCTAGGAGAGCTGTCTGGGATGCGGTGTGATGGAATCTCGAGCGCGGCGCCATGATCCGTGCGATATTCGTGTTCCAAGCAAGGCAGGGACGTGTCTGGATCTCGGGGTTTGGGTAAAGGCGAAGATGCATCAGTGAAGAAACGCTGCCTCTTTACTGGGCGTTCTACATCATCGCTCATATTGGCTGTACCATCGAGCTTGATGGTGAAAGAAAGTTACGCGGAGACGGGGAGACGCGCCGAGAAACGCGAAGTCATGCGGATCGGGAAATGTAAATTGGATTTTGATATATGGACTTCTTAAGATCTTTGAATAATAATTAGTTCATTATGAACATAATACTATATACTATAATTTATTATAATTTTCAAACATAACTATTTCCTTTGTTTTCTAACCAGTTCTCCAGGGCTGTCTAGACATCGCTGACAAAGATTGGCCGGCCAATGCCTTTGCCCCGATTACATCGAATTTCTTCCCCAGAGCCTGTCAACTTCCCAAGGTCATGTTGAACATGTCTTTTCTCAGGACAGCTCAGCCATGTCAGGCAAGTAGGGCTTGTCGGCTCCAGCTACACAGCTTTCAATCACAAAAACGACAATTCAGCCGGACACAATCCATTGCCGCACCCATTACCGCAGAAGAAGTCCAAGGCGCTCACAAATACTGTGTTACTCTTCTCTCGTATGCAACACCGTCCCTGCGGCTCTCTAAGCCCATTGAAGCTCCAACGATGGAAACAAGTCCGAAAGCTAACCTATTTCTCTTCCGATAATCAGAAAATATGACCGCCCTTCCTACACACTGAGCACTTTTATCCCACGACATGCGCAATCCTTCTATATTGCGCTGCGTGCATTAAACGTCTCCCTCTCTATGATACCCGACACAACCTCCTCCCCCACAATTGGACTGATGCGACTGCAATTCTGGCGCGACTCGGTAACGAAGATACTCGCCGGCACGCCACCAAAAGAACCCGTCGCTATCTTGCTTGCATCCGCCATCTCCGAACTCCACGAGCGCACGCAGGGCCGCGCGCGGATAAGCAAGGGCTGGTTGACCCGTATAATTAACTCGCGGGAGCAAACCCTAACCAACGACCCATACCCGAATATCGCCGCGCTCGAGTCCTACGCCGAGAATACATACTCCACCCTCATGTACCTCACTCTGTCGGCATTGCCCATGGCCTCGGTAACTGCGGACCATGTAGCATCTCATATCGGAAAGGCAGTGGGGATATCGGCTGTGTTGCGCGGGCTGCCGTTTGTTGCCTTCCCTGCGCCGTCTGCTCAAGCACCTGCTGGCGGGGCTGCGGGTTCCGCGATAGGAGGGGGCGCGAAGCAGGGGGCCGTAATGTTGCCTCTAGATGTGATGGCAGAGGCTGGTGTTAGGGAAGAGGATGTCCTCCGGTATGGAGCACAAGCCGAGGGCCTCCGGGATGCTGTATTTACTGTTGCGACGCGGGCAAGTGATCATTTGATTACTGCACAGCAAATGTTGAACAACCTCCACGCCGGAGAGGATGTCGGTCATGACTTTGAGCATGAGGGCGAAGAGGGCCATGAATATGATGTTTCCCCTGGTGCTCGGAGCGGCGAGTCAGCTCTTGATGAGGTCAACCGGGCATTTGGCGTTTTCCTGCCGGCGGTCAGCACACGCCTGTGGTTGGATCGCCTTGAGAAGCAAGACTTTGATGTTTTCAGCCCGGAGTTGCTTCGGTCAGAATGGAGACTTCCGTGGAAGGCTTACTCGGCCTATCGACGGAAGTCTCTGGACTAAGGGCATGTAGGCCGTGTATGATATGTGTCTGATATACTTCGGGATCAAGGCCGTTGGTGATTTATTTGTACATTAGAATATAAAAACAGATGTCACGATGCGAAGTTGAACAGTCAAATATGCCTACACTGATCCCTGGAATCATACTATCAACAAATGAGATTGAAATGGTATTCAAGTGAAAGGTATTAATACAAGACCCGACTAGGTCTGCGAGCAGGCAAATGTATACAAATAAGAGAAAAGCCTCGAGCTAAAATACCTCTACGCAGCAACATCCTGGTGCAGAAATAATAACAGTAAGCAGCAGGACGTTCACGATCTATTTCTTCTTCCTCTCACGTCTCTGCTTCCTCGAGCTGACAATCAAACGGCGCTGAGCAAGCATGACAGCGTAGCGCTGGATTTTATCGCGCCTAAAGACGAGGGGTTATTAGTGTCAGTTGTTTTCGACATGAATATCAGAACTTACATCAGCAAGAAAATCGTAGCGCAGACAAACGGTACTGCAATCTTCCAGAAGTATCTATTCAAATCAGCAATAAATCCAGAAGAAAGGAATCGAAAGACATACCCTTCATTATTTTCAATTGCCGAGAAATGCGTGAAGTTCATTCCGAAATAACCCTAGAACTGTCAGTGAGATTTTCTGAATATATGCAAGTCATACATACTGTCAAGAATGTCATAGGAAGATAAAGACAAGTCACAAGAGTAAGCTGCTTCATACTTTCGTTCTGGTAGGCACCTGTACAGCATGTTAATTTTGGTTTCTCCATGAGTGGCCAAGTAACGTACCAATAGTATTGAAAATGAGGTCAATCATGTTATCAGCGTTGCGCCGCATCTGATCGTACCCTTCAACAATGGTTATGCAATGATCTAGGGCATCGCCCAAATATGTATGGCACATAGAGCTGATCGTAACACTTGTGCCTCCAACACTCTTCAAATTTGGCGTCACAATCCCGATATGTGGGCGGGGATCGACAGGTTCCGCAGGAGCCGCACCTGGACTAAGAGGATTCCGCAAGACGCCAAAGCCTGGTGTGCCGACAGGCTCAGACCGGTGATCCCGGAGAGCGTTAATCACAGCCACCATAGGTTGCATGGAGTTCCGCAGAACAGCAATCTCAGATGTCAAGATATATAAAGACTTCGACTGTTCAATGTCTGGATCAGTCAGGACCTCCAGCTCGAGGTCTCCGATGGCATCTTGATACGCCATCGTGACAGGAATTGCAAGATCGATCACGGCATCGAGAATGGCCTGCAAAAGCATACTGGCATCGCATGACTGTCGAAGGATAGTCTCGGGCGAAGTGAGGCGCCTGACAATTGGCGCCTCGATGTCATCCGCGCTCGTTTCGAAAAAGGACGTCACCGTATTATCGGCGTGTAGGAAGATCGAAACCTGCTCCAAAGTGACGCATAGTCCCTTGGCGGCAAGTGCAGCATGGCGTTCCATGAACTCAATTCGATCCTCATTGGGACCGCCGCGATAGCGTTGAAGACTCCTGGCAGTCGTTTCTGTGGCGGTCCCAACATTTCCAAAATGGGAGTTTTGTTTTGAAGCCTGTCCAATGCCAGGACGCACGCTCGATCCATATGTCGCCTTATCCTTGCGTTCCTGGCGTCCGGTGTGCCTGACTCGGAAAATGTCCTTCAATGCCGCTATAATAACATTCCTCTTTGTGGGTCGCTTCAACGAAATCGAGCTCTTATCACTAACCACTGAGCTTTTCCGGTCCCTTGACTTCCATCGACTGGCTGGAGTTTCCTCCTCATCTTCCGAATCAGACGAGTCCTCTTCTTGTATCTTCATCAACTTTTGCAATGTCAGCACGACGAAGGCATGGTCTGAGTACCAATCCGCTTTTGTGCGATTAGTGGTATGGACAACATCCTCAATTGCAAGCCGATGCAATCTCTTATGATTTCCAAGAATTTGAATCACATCCCAGCTCAATCCATTGACATTGATCCACCGACATTGCACCCAGGGCTCCTTCTCCCGCTCCAAAAATTGCTCCAATGTGTCATTGTCTAGCTCATACTGTCGCATGTCATGTTGTGAGAAATCCACCACTGTGATTTGGCAACGTCTGTGTAGGTCCGCGGGTATGTTGGACGCCCATTCTGACGTGTATGGCGGTAGCGGCTTGGTTGGGTCAATGCCGGGTTCGGTTCCTGGCTGCCAATTGGGATCTTGTGCGAACCCTTCGGGATGGTATGAGCGGGCAGTATTGCGCCTGGCTCGGCGTTTTGTCGTCTCGGTGGAGTTCACTCGTGCTGCTGCTGTAGTGAATGCGGGAAACGAACTTCCCTCTCTCTCTTTTCCTGTTGGAGAAAGTTGCGAGCTGACTGACGGGCGGCCAGCCTCAACATCGACCTCAGATCGTGTCGCACCGGGCTGCGCATAATCAAGCGAGTGTATGCTCATCTTCACGGCTCATATAGATGCGCACATCCAATCGCATCAGTAGAATGACGAGTTTTCATCGGCTCCGAACTTTACTGCGTTGCACCCCAATGATTTGAAACCGGGGCTAGGGGGATATTTTAGCCAATTGTTGGCGAAAATATACCCAGTATATTTGAATAATCGATGCACCTCTCATCGAGACACCACAGTCTCAGGGGAGAACATGTCGAACTTGCGTGGGGGATATGACGTCGTCGCAGGCGTTTTCTGCCGCGTCTGCAGAGATAATTAAGACGAAACGCGTCTCAGATGGAAAGGCTATATTTGAACATAAAAATCTAGACGAACATGAAAAACATGAAAATGAAGAAAAGAAAGGAAAAGAAAAAAAAGAAAGAATAGCGGGCAGGAAAAAACAGGAGAAACAGGGGTGCAGGGGTTCAGGTGGAGTACCCCGGGTAGTAGCTTATCTTATTTAAGGGAGACACAGCCTCGAAGTACTCTACTTCATACATGCAAATATGCATATGTAGGATATTTAGGGAATTCATTAAGATTGATTCATACAAATACATATGCACGGTTTCCATTCCATCACATCACTATGCACCACATAGTAACGCCGTCCCAATGCTGGCTTCCAATCACTCCAGATATAACATCCACAATAGTCAAACAAGATGGGAAAGTAAATAATTACAGAAAAAATAGGTCAAAGATAATACAAAGAGAATGAGTTCAAAAAAGAAAGGGGTGGACAGCATTATGCTCGGGCTGTTGCCCGTGGTTTCCAGGAAGGACGCTGGAATCCCATTTGAGGCGGCTTGTTCCCATGAGAGCTAGGTCTGGGGGGGCTGTAGAAGTCGGGGTAGAGGCCTGATTCCATGTCCATCAGAACCGCCCGCTGGGGCTTTGCTGAGGTCCAATTGGTAGATTTACCTTTTGGTTTGGTAGAAGGGGTGGAAGGGCTAGAAGCGCTGGGGCTAGTAGCTGCCCGCGTCTTCTCTTTGATGATATCGCGGAGCTCCTTGTCATCCTTGGTGATTTGGGCTTTGATGAAATCAATGTCGTTGGAAGCTTGGAAGGCGGACATGACCGACTCCCGTGGGGTGTATAGGTATTTTTCGGGGTTTGGAGGGCACTGGGGTGTGATGGAAGGGTCCAAGAACGCTTCCTGGTTCTTGTCCAAGAGCTGATTGATATCCAGCGTTTCACCATGAGGAATTTTGTGGGGGTGCGAAGGTGTCACGCAGTCCATGTCGACTTCTTTGCGAAGGACATGGTCAATGTCGACGGCTGAGAAGTAGGCACATGATTGGGGAAGATCATCAATCCCTACTTGCTGCGAAAATAAGGCACGAGTCCAAACATTGGTAATCTGCAAAGCCATTGCAGCGCGGTACCTATCCTCATCTTTGACAATATAGCGAATTTCATCGTGAACAGTGATGGCCAAGCGGGCTTGTATGTTGAACTGGCGGATGAGATAGTCCATGCCTACGATCAAGAGGTGAAGATAATCGACACCCGACGACTGAATGGCCCAATTGATTCGGGATGTCATGAAGCTGCCTTTGTTGATGAAACGTCGCATGAGCGCCTCGGTGATTCCAGCACCCAAAGCAGGGGTTCTAGGACGTTCCTGATCCGCGAACTCTTCAAGTTTATTGAACACGAAGGATTCAGTGCCACCTCGCCAGAATGGCGTCTCACTCAAGAGGCGGCGGGAGGTCCGCGTTCCCTTGGTCTCCTTGTATAGGTTTTTAGCAGTGTCTTGTGTCTGCTTTTCAGTCAAAGAGGGGTTGAATTGGCGAAGTAAAGTAGCGGCGAACTTGACGCCTGCACCGTAGATTCGGCCGTAGTTGAAGACCTTCGCATCATTACGCGAGATTCCAAGAATGGACGCACTTCGTGAGTGAAGATCCGTCCCCTCAGCTTTGGACCCTTCTAAGCACATGAAGCCAATTGCGTTTCCTCCATGAATCTGGAATGAGGCATCGCCGACAAGACTTGCAATCCATAATTCTTGGGAGTCGACATCAGCCCCAACGAAGGAGTAGCCTGGTGGTGCTTTGATCATAGCTTTCAGCTCTGACCCCACGCGGTTAGCCTTCGCGTTACTTGCAGTCAGCCAAGTATTTTCCACGGCACGCCGAGTGATGGTTCCCATAGGAATGACTTGAGGCAGAATGAATCCGACACGATTATCGCTTGCTTCACGTTTCCCTCCGCGCTTTTGCACCTGATCTTCATAGACCACGATTTGACCCCTGATTCGATCTCGGGCGCTGATCCAATAGGAGCATGAGGCATTCATATCCAGCGCTTGTTTGGCAAGTTCATACTGAGATGACAGTATCCCGCGCTCGAAATACTGCATATACCCTTTGCCAAGTGGATTGGTACATCTGGCCTGTGGGCCGTCTTTGTGGGGGATTTTGAAGTATGTGCCTTTTCTATCGTCTCGCAACCCGGCGTTCTTCTCCTCGGCCATATCGCAGATGACGACTGGCTGATTCTCATACTGTTTGACCTGATCACGGGGAACGCGGAAAGTCCATCCGTGCAGGTCTGACCAAACAAGAGGGTAGCTGTCCCATGACAGTTTGAGCAAAATAGGTGCAATGCGAGTTCGCACCGTCAAATTTATCTCTGCAGCGTTTGAGGTAAACAGGTCCTTGTACCACTTCGGCATTCCTGGCTTCTTTTGTCTAGCGGCAGGCCGAGGAGGATCGCCCTTTTTCTTTCCTTTCACCATTTTGATCTCTTGGCCGGACCAGTCCAGCTGCTGTAGCCAAGGATCATTCGTGTAAATGTTTGATTGATCTTTGCACTTCAATGCCTCGTCACATAGTGCTAGCAATTTACTTTGGACGTCATCAAGTCGCTTATGATATGTTTCCTCTGCGCTGGAAATGTATTCCTCCCAGGATTCGTTAACCGGCAAAATAACAGAGGACAAGTGTCGAAGAGCGCCGAAACTGACAGGATGCGGGCAAGTCTCGAGATAGTTGGGGAAAACTTTCCGGTAGACACGGTGGGTAATGGCAACATCGGCGGCACAATAGTCGAGAAGTTCCTCTAGTCTAGCCAGGATAGAGTCACGATCAAGTTCACCGAAGAGATCTCTCTGCGCCTTATCAATGGTGACATCACAGTGGAATTTAGCTACATCACGCAGGGAGTTCACCGAACTTCGTCCAACCCAAAGCTCTTCCTCTTCTTCCCTCAACATGTTGTTTTCGAGAAGTGCGGCAAGCTCCACGGAATCGTGCTCATTCGAGATTTTATCTCTCAAGTCCTGATTTTTCTTGTGGCGCATCCAGGTTGGTCTTTGCTGTGAACACATGCCGTTTACCGCCACGTGAAGTGACATTGTGTCAACAAAGAAGTTTCGAGACTGCTGCATGTCATATTCCTCAAGGACTCGGGCTCGATCGTAACCAATATTGTGGCCAACCACGATGCGGGGTTGAGTAGGGTCTCCCAAGGGTATCAGCTGTATTTTATTCTTTGACTCACCCAACAGCCACGGTGATAGCCACGCATACCATGCTGTCGGGCTTACCGCGCAAGCCATGACTGCGAATGAATTATTCTTGTACATGACTTCGGTGTCGAATGTTAACATTGATTCATTAGGGGCATCGACGGGCTCAGAAGTGCCATCAGTATGGTATTTCGTCCATCCACTGCGTTTGACCCATTTGCGTGGTTTGGCCGGACAATTGAGAGCCGCATATGATTTGGCGTATGTCAGGTAAGGTTCGGAAGAATCCATTCCGAGTTTGTAGAAATGCTCGTCCAATGTTTGCCCCTTGAGAGCAGGAAGATCGAATGCGACAGGATCGGCGCCATTTTGAGATTTGCCCAGTAGCTCGTGTCTAGCTAAATGATCCTTCGAAAGTGCGACTAGTTCTGGGTCCGGGATGCGACCTTTATTTGGGAAAACTTGCGCATGGACATGGTCGCTTAGCTGTTGGACCCCGATGTCGTTGAATCTAGATGAGGAAGGGACTGTGCGAGGTCAGTAATTGCGATTTTGTTTTTGTATCGAAAAGTGCGAAAGACAGGGCACCCACCAGAGAGCGATCGTGTAGTAGTAGTATTGTCGGTGGAAGTAGAGGAAAGTCTTGCATGACTTCTATGTAACTGGTGCCATGATGGCAGCTTAACCAAGAGCGGCGAGCTCAGTCGCGAGAAACTCCTCGCGGCACCCCTGGAACAAGGAATGCAGGACGACTTCCAAGATAACATCATAAAAATAATAATTTAGCAGTGTTATGTCATGGTAGAAGTGTGGCCACAGCCGTGAGGCTGCACTAGTAGCCCGAAGAAAATGCTAAAAAAAGAAGTATTGAAGATGGACGTTTCCATATCATTGCCTATCGCGATATCTCAGATCTGGGCGTCATGCAGACCGGAATATTGTTTCCCCAAAGCTCTTGACCGCCTTCTACTTAGAGACAAACGCATTATGTGAAGAAATTCTGTCATTATGGGTGGAGCATGATCACGTGGCATCGTATACATCCTGTCGGTACGGAGTATACAATTTTCCGATTAAAACCCCTCTATTACACGCTGACCGCCTTGTAATTAGCAGACGGCAATACATAGTGGGCTTATCTGATGCATTATCACCACATGACCTGTTCGATAAGACGCATTTGTCATTGTCGCCATCACCGGCTTTGATAGCTGAGGAGGCCTCCCATTCTGCTATATTCTTCTGCTCAAACTTATGATAGCTGTCTTAAGCTCCGACTAAATCTTTTGAAATTTGGAGACTCTTCGTCGCCCAACAGTTCTAGATCGCCTCACGTCCTTCCCACATGGCAGCACAGAGCTGCAGATGACTTTCCTTTCCAACTCCACACTATTTTCACGTTCAACACCGAGACAACTCACTTAGAAAGAGTCCCACATATTTCCAGTCTGTCACAATGAGCCGAAACAGCCCCGAGGTTGTCGACCTGACAACCAGAGCAAGGTCACCAACTAGAGCACCCCGACAAAATCCTATATCTTTATCCTCCTCCCCACCTGGCGCATCGGACCACGCATCCTCTTCCCAACATGCACAGTTACATTCTCCCCGCGGTGTCAAGCGCCGTCGAAATTGGAGCGACGAGCACGGCACATCCTCTTCGACTCTCTCCGAAGACGAGCCCATCGAAACGATCGATATGACGGACGACTCGGGCGCAGGCGCACTTGCTCGGGCAGTGGCCAAACAGAGGGAGGCTGCCGCGAAAGCACAGGCAGAAGAAGAGAGAAATGCAAATCTATCCGCTATACTCGCTTACAAATGTCCCATTTGCATGGAGACGCCTGTGGACGCAACGAGCACCTCATGCGGTGTGTTCTTGATTCTCCACTATACAGGATTTGAGCATGCCAGGGCTTCTACTGACTCCTCATATTTAGGACACCTCTTTTGTCACAAGTGCATCATCGATTGCTTGAAGATGAGCGAACAAACACGCGGCGGTGACTCCTCGAAACAACACAAGGGCACTTGTCCAGTGTGTCGTACGCCGATTTCTCGCAAGGAGACGCCTGGGAGGTCTAAGAATCTCATTCCGTTGTTGTTTCAAACGAGAAAGAGAGGTGATCTACCCGCACCTGGCCCATAGCGCCTTTACCTCGGATTTTCCCACGGCTCTTCAAATTTTTATTTTTCTCTCGACTCTTGCGGCATTGCGAATCGGAGCATGGGAATGGGTGGTATTTATTGGAATTTTTGCATAAGCGATTTGCGTCTGTGGTTAACGACCTGGAATTGACGAATGGAGTTCCATTTGCTATAGATTTACATGGCGCGTGGGTGTAGTTGTATCTCGATATAGATTATAGTACAGTGTTTACTTGTAACCAGATACTATTGCATATCCGTTCGGTCCCTTCTTGCGGGGTCGAGTGTATTCCGTCGACTCAGCGCACTTCCCAAAGCCCCCCGAACCATTGCATCCCCCTTCTTCCCTAACACTACCTCAATGGCCTGCACAAGGGCATTAGGATCATATTGCATCCCCAGAACGGTCTCCTTATCACCATGTTTCGCCATGATCTTTCGTCCGTAAAGACGAAGCGTTTCAATGCCCATATGTGAGAGCCGCTCACGGTCCACATGTGGCGTCCCCGGACCATCTAGATGCAAAATATGAGTCACATAGTTGGTATATGGAAGGGCTCTATAATTTCGACCATTGTCTTGCACCGAAGTCGTCGCGGGAGTGTCACTTTGATGCCGAGCATGAACAATCGGGCCGCGTCCACGGCTTTCCTCTCCAGCGCTTACAATGGCTTCCACAAAATCAGACGCGGCAAATGGTGCGGATGGAGGCCCCGTTTCTCGATCCAATGATCCGTTCAGAATGAGAATCTTGTGTCGGGCTGGACTGGAGACAATGCTTTTGCCTACGCCTCGCAGGACGATAGCGGGGATGATTGATGTGTAGAGAGATCCGATACTGTAGATAATGGCCTGGGAATCGTTTATTGCTTCCAGTACTCGCGGATTGGCGGGTGGTCGAATCTCCTGGCCGTAAGGGTTGATGTACCAGATGCGAGTGATTCTGGAACTCAAATCTTCGTTCTCGGATTTACTGAACTTGATATTTTTGTTGCGGAGAGTTGCCAGGGAGCCGGGAAGATGGTCCTCTTCATATGCTGTCGGGTCCGACAGTTCGGAATCCGTGTAATCAACATCGTCTCCATCGGCAAGAAGCAGACTCGGTCTCCTGGAGCGGGTGCTATGCTCCAGGGCCGTTGTCGCGCTTGGATGCGAGATACTGTTCTGGCCAACAATGACAGTTCCGTCTGCAAGCGATGCAGAGATATGGTGCGAGAAATTGGAGTTGATTGCTGGGATTACGCGCACCAGATCTGACGGAACGCCACAGATACTCCCGAGTAGATATATGGCACTTTCGAAGCTTCCACTGAACAGGCGGGCGGCAGTTAAGAAAAAATTTCCCACACTTGCGGATGTGAAGTCAAATGTGGATGATGGTGGTCGGGCTCGTTTCAGGATCTCCAGGTTTAGTACATTGAAGAATGAGCGTATCAACTCTTTCTTTGCGGGAGTGATAGCTGTCCATAGCTCAGATGTGCCGTCAACGATGGACTGCCATTCATTGGTTGCGATGCCTGCTTCCGCAGGCAGCCGATGGTTAAACAATGCTTTGACTGCTGACATTTCAGGATTTGCTGGCGAATCCGGAATCAAGCGTACCAATCGACCTGTCCGACATGTTAGCAAACGAGTTAGGGGAGATCCTAAAGTGTTGGGCTTACTCCGAACATCACCAATCCCAGGGCCGCCGAATATTCGAATCAACTCGGAAGAGGATCCTCCATTGTCACTGATTGGAATGATATAGCTAAGTGGACAGTTTTTGCTTTCCCGGACGGCGTTGAATACGTCGACGAGATTGTTCGCCGCGCTCCCTCCTGATATGACAACAATTCCTCTGTTGGTCGTCATGGCCAAATATTTGTTCTGCTCTCAGCACTTGGGAGGTTCGAATTCGATGCAAAGCTGATAAATGCTAATAAGTGTTCAGATATTTAGACAGATGAAATGCAAGACATTGGGGGCATGTCTGGGCCCGAACACGCAACAATGACACATTTCCATAAACGGCCACCAACACATACACCACAAAAACGGTCAACTTCACGAATAAGTAGTCGGCATTTTGCGATTAAAATGTCTTTTGCAGAATATCAGGCAGATTAAAATGGAATTACAATACACAAATTCTCTATTATTAGCTATTCATAAAGTTAGTTGACTACGTGACTCTATATAGCCGTTGATTGCCTATAGTTGTAGACAGACGAAGGCCCTAGCTGTGATTTTGACGGAAGATTTGCAATTGGGCTTTGGTATGGCACGAACAATGCTGTGGAATGTGGCATCGAAGTTATGGCGACAGTATCTTCAACCCTACCTAATCCCGACATGTTAACCCGGATCGAACGATATTTCCATGCAGACCGACAACTCCTTGAATTTAACGATATGAGACCACTAATGCCAAACAAATCGAATTGTAGATGAACAAGATCATCTCCCTTATCAATATCACTCTCTAACCAAGCAATTTATACAATCAACCGTCGCTGAGATGTCCGTATCTGTCGAACACAGCAAAACTCGGCCTTTGCACCCTGAGAACACCAGATGTATCATCATCGATCCAAACGCCGAGAAAAGTTCGTCCGAAAGATCGACCTCTATATGATGCCTTCGCTCTTCATTCATTGCCTTTTCTCCTACATGGATGGCATCGAAAGAACGAGCAGTATGTTTCCTTGTACAATAGCACAACCATGAAATATCACTTGCTCGAAGTAAATCAAAACACTTCATCTATACTCTTAGGAGCCTCTGGATACTGATCCCGGGCTACATGACCATTTTAGGAAGAGCTATCGGCCGGTGACATGATAGTGGGGGTGGTATTTTCGCTCTTACGGCGGGGATTTGAAACAATACTGCGCAATATGTGTTTTTGTGCTTCATTGACATGACGCTCTGGACGAGAAGCGTTCTGGCTCTTTCATTTACTACTACAGCTCTGGCTTCGGTTACTCGTGATGTTCGTGCGATAATGCTTGCGTGAATGTCTGGCGTTGCTTCTTTGGCGCAGTTATATGGAAGCGCGCTGTTTCCAGCGGAAGACTCGCCTACGTGTGTCGTCGGGTTTTCTGTCTTTGCTGCTACGTTTGCTGTTGGGGTTGTTTGTTTTAGGCTTGCGGATGTTTTATCCAAGCGTTGTCCATGAAAGGGTAATATGATACGCTGCATTATCTTTGATGAATATGTCCACCTGGTGTTTTGAATTGCAACTATTAGAGTCCGTAATGGAAATACTAGGAATAAATGTAGAGTTGATACAATGTATCAATTTCATGCAACCGTTTATTATAAAACCTATCCCCATTGAAAACAACCAGATATCGTCTATGTCTCCTAACTTTACATGCATGTTCTGTCCTGTCCAGACAAGACAACGTCTTTATCAAAATTTAACATAAGCATCGGATTAATTTATCCGAGCTTGGATTCGTGAAACAATAGGCCCACGCGAAATGTGCTCCGCGTGTTCCAAATTTCCGTCGATTGCTTCAGTTCGCCGATGTACGCGTGTTCGTGCTTAGTGGGTAATCTGACCAGCGGGGACGGAGGGGCCGCTACCACTGTAGAGAACGAGCAGAATGAGAGCGCATGGCACACCGATGAGGATGGCCTTGGTGCGAGCAGGGTTGCTGCGGTTGTACTCACCAACCTGGAGGCGCACATCGGTAGCAAGGCTCTGGCACTTCTCAGCACCGAGCTTGTAGTACACCAGACCAGCCAGGGCAATAGAGTAACCGAAGAACTGCTGGGCAGTGACAGGGTCGCGGAAAATGAGCATGGAGGCACCGACAAGGAGAATATCCTTGAGGATACCAGCCATGGTCAGGACAACAGCAGAAGTCTTGCCAATCTATTGGAGTGTTAGTGACGGAATTGGTTATTATTGAGATAAAGAAGACTTACCAGCAAAACAACGGAAGCGTTAAGAAGGAAAGCAACCAGTGCGTTAGCGATGAGAGTTCCGATACCGAGGCCGTAGATATCACCCATGGTAAGACGGGGAGCCTCAGCGAAGAGGGTGACGACACCGTTGGTGACGGCACAGGCCGGGGCGTAGTAGTACAGAGAGACCAAGGGGTCCATCTTGAACTCGGCGGAGCTGAGCAAACGCTGGACCATGACAAGACGAAGGGCCTCGAAGATGATACCGGCAATCTGGACTGTATAGTTGTTAGACCTTGACTGTCAAATATAGCGGAAAGATAACATACTAAGGAAGCCGACCATTTCGAACTTGATCTCGCCAAACGAGGCAATCACAACACCGACAACAATGAGCGCGACATTGCCGAGAGTCTTCAAGTTGGTAGGAGCGATTCCGAAAGCCCAGGTGGCGACAAGGGTTGCGACAGCGTTGGTGGCCTAGAAAATACGACATTAGCATCGAATCGAGTCTAGCGTTTTGAGAGAATGGCCCAAGATTGGAATTGAGGCCACAACTCGCAGTTCAGACGCACCTTAAGCATCTGGATGAAGGAAACACTCAGGTAGAGGTATGCCAAGTTACCACAGATCAGACTCAAACTGAACATGACACCAATGGGCACAATGGCACGTCTGTATTGAACAAGTCCACCGGTTAGCGATCGAGAATTCGGGTCGGACTCCAGTCGTGCTAGTTATTCCATATTGCATCATCAGGGTTGCTCACGTATAGGTGGCCGGGTTCATGGGAACCTTGTGGCGCGAGTCAAGCACAGTGGTGAAGCGGGCAAGAATCTGGGTCATCGCCGTGGCGAACACCATGTGCCATGTTGTCAAGAAGAGCGCTGGTATCTCATATCAGTATTCGACTTCTCTACGGTGAAAACTCGATTGGCGGAAGGACTCACGGAAGTCTAGAAGTAATAAAAGTTAGCAAAGTCCAAATAGGAATAGGGGATCAGAATAGAAGGGGACCATACTGAACTTGGCGCTCGCAAGAACCCACTTGTTGAACAGGATGACGCTGGAACTCAGAGCAATCCACAGGCTAAATATTCCAAGTTTTGGTTAATCCTATTTCTAGACACGGAGGCCTCCTGGACACCGAGGCCGGTGTTACGTACGCAATGTAGAAGCCGGGGTGGAGGCCGTTGTCCTTGGGGGCAGGAGAGCCGCCCTCGAGCTTGCGCTCATCCGAACGATCGTTTGCCATGGTGAACAAAAAAACAGTATAAAGGAATGACTGTGGTGAGAAAAAGTTGGGTTTGAAAGAGAGATGATAAGGGGAAAGAAATGATTTATGAACGATCGGCAGTTTACACCCAAACGGGGGACGCTACGGCACTTCCAATCAAAAGGCCGTTCCAACGGGGGTGTCGCCCCAGCTCCACGTAATCTCAGTCCCTGAATCTCAAGTTTCAGGGTACATTTGGGAGATCCTGGTCAGAGATTTTTTCTTTATCCCTGTCGATCATAGCACAGCCCAGTCTCAAACCTTTATTTCCGATCTAGCGTGTCTCTTTAGAATGATAAGCCCAATTAGAGTCAATTAAAGTCAATTGCCAAGAATACTTAGAGGAGTCATTCTTCTGAGACAAAGGGAATAAAAACAACCAATGACAATAAAGTATACATGTACATCTGACAATCGAGTCTACATCGATGTACTTGCTCCGTACACGGTACGTTGGACGTTGCAATTGCGTGATCACGTGACGGGGATAGATATAGATTTTCTCGTAATACCCTCATCAACCCAAGACATTGCCTTTTTACGGATGTTCCATAATTCCGATAAACAATTGTATAGGCCAACATTGCCAAAACTTCCAACATGACAGATTCAAACACTGCACCTGATTCCAAAATCAACCATGCCGCATCCTTGAAATACTGGAATAGTGTTCCAGCCACTACGGGCAGCATGCTCGGCGAATTCCCCTCAGTGTCACGCATTGATCTACAAGGGTCTAAAACCTTCCTAGCCAAGGTCCGCCGTTTACTACCAGGCGTCCAATCTGAGGGCAAATTCCACCAAGGTGTGGACTGTGGCGCCGGCGTCGGCCGGGTGACAGAGGGCTTCCTGAGCCATGTTTGTGAAGTGGTAGATGCGGTAGAGCCGGTAGCCAAGTTCACACAAGTGATGAAAGACAGCCAATTGAAACGAGACGGCGTCTTTGGAACTATCTACACGCGCGGCCTTGAAAATTGGACCCCGGACAAGAAATATGATTTAATCTGGGTCCAGTGGTGTGTCGGCCACCTCACGGATTCCCAACTCATTGACTATACCGCGCGGTGTCGCAAGTCGTTGAATGAAAATGGTCTTATGGTTGTCAAGGAGAACTTGTCCACCCATTTCTCTGGTCAGGATATGTACGACAGTGAGGATAGCAGTGTCACAAGGACAGATGCGAAATTCAGACAGGTCTTCGAGGCTGCTGGCATGGAGATCGTCAAGTCGGAACTTCAAAAGGGATTCCCTCAGTCTTTCAATCTCTTGCCTGTGCAGTTCTATGCCTTGCGGCCAAAGACAACCAATTAGCCCTCCGTCCCTTCTAAGGCTGAGTCTCGCATTTGCCTGATTGTTGAGGGCCGTCTTCCAGGGTCCCTGATGCCAAATTTGCATCTCGAACGGGGACTTTGACGGATGCTGCATGAATCTGAAACTTGCGATTCGCTGAAATGCGTTGATGTATATTCTTTAATCACCAATTCGCATGGATGACCCCATCCATTAACCATTATGTACATATAACCACTTTCTTAGATGGCCACTGTCGTATGAAACCAAATCAAAACTGATACAGAGCGTCTGAATCCGCAACAGCAACAGGCGAAATCTTTAGCCGTCCACCAGAAACCACATCCCGATTCAATTTCCCCGGCGGAGTCCACACAACCTCCGCAACATTTGTCCTCGGCCGAGAGACACCACACCCAGTGTCATCTCTATCATGAACCAGCAACAGGTCCGGTCGGCACCCCTGCTTCACACATAACGCCGAATGGGACAGCGAGAGCCCAATAGCCGCCCTGGATCGTGTCGAGACACATTCATAGAGTAGATCCGCATCTGCCTGACTTCCAGCCTGATAGATTCCTACACCGAGACAAGCCAACGATAATGGATCGGGTAATCCCCATGGAGTAAATGAATTGCCAACATTATTTACCCCAATCACTGCATCCAGGTTGTATTTCCGGATCATCTCAAGGACTTGTAGAGTGCCTCTCGGGCGATCTTGCGGGGATTTGCAATCCGCGTTTGTTCTGGGAGGTGACGCCATGTAAATATCGCTTGTTGGAAGGCCAACAAAGCTGACTGGGAGTTTATTTTCGTGGATTTCAGCTGTCAGCCGGGCCCATTCGTTATCCGTGAGCAGTGTCAGTCGTGTACAATGACCAAGCATGACGCGCTTGTCCGTTGAGTGAGCAGTCCAGTTTCGTTGTTTGAGGGTCTGTAAGACATGCCATACTAGGGCCTCTTTGTTTGAATCGAGGTTGTAATCGAGATGGAAGTCGACGTGTTTGTTTAGCGTCAAGGCGCGGTCAATCGCCCACTCGATGTTTTGCTTTGCAGCCTCGGGACTGGATTCGACGTATGGTGTTGTCCCAATAACATCGATTTGCGAATATTTATGAAGCGCAGTTTCCAGAAAGTCCATGTTTTGTTCTCCGTGTTCACTAGAGAGTATAGGATCTTGCGCAAAGCAGACGATTTGGATTTCGCAGGAATCTTTCCATTGAGTTTTCAACGCAATAGCAGCTTCTAAACAAATCAGCTGAACTGTATGGTCTACCTCCACAAATGCTCTCATTGCAGTGACACCTGATGCAACGGACTCAGCAAGAAGCCACTCTCCTCTTCTGATGAGATCAGAATGGCTGAATTGTTGTTTGGCCTTGGTCGTAGAGGACAAAGCCTCCTGAAATGTGCCGGCTGTAGGTAGAAATGGGGCATATGCAGGTGCGCTGTGGATAAAGGCTTTATCAAGGTGAATATGAGGGTGTGTCAGGGCTGGTAGGGCTAGAGGAGACTCGAAATCATCCTTGGTAGAGGGTTCATGAGGGGTCACAGAAGTGACTGTGCCCTGTGGAGAGTCTGCAGGGTATCCAATTTGGATATCCCAGGTGGACGGCTCCCCTGCCAGTCGAACACCATGAATGGAATTAATCTGGCTTGTCAGCTGTGGTGGAGGCATATTCTTGTGCAGGTGAAGTGTTGTCTGAGTTGAACATTTTCCCGAAGTGTCCCCGCCGCGCGTGGGGGATCGTGGGGATCACGAGCTTACTGATAGCACACCCACCGTGGACAACTTCTTTGAAATAACAATATATTCAGTAAACTTAAAATGGTAGTCTCGACGATCTCCGGCGCATTTAACTTCATATACATGCAAATGCGAAGGAACAAAATACGTATATCTACCCAAGTACAGATCGTGAGGCTCTCTACTAAGCTCCCCGAACTGATACTCGCACTTTCTGACGGATTGACTTCACCATGCTGACGACGGTATCCGCTGTTTCGCAATGCTGCGCCCAAGGTTCAATGCATTGAATTGCCTCTTTCACCAAGTCATCGAAGTCTGGAACAAGGGCCTCTAAAGTCGGTGTGGTTTTCGCAATCGAGAGAGTAAAAATAGCAGCCAACAATCTAGATGTGTAAAAATAAGTAAGTGAACTTCAGAAACCTGCCAAAAACAACCTGAAAGCAAAAATATGATCTTACGCTTGCATCCTGTGCCAGTTTGAGTGCGTTCTCTGCCGCATAAGAATCGATGATGCATAGACGAATTTGCGACAGCTGTCGACGCACTTCTTGCAATTCACGAAAACAAACTCCGGCAATGCTCCACTGCCCTGGCTGTGGGCAGCGAAAATAAGACTCGGGCGGCAGATGACGTGTTTTGTGGCATAGTACCGGGCAAGAATGTAAGTATCGTAAGGGTGATCCGCGGATATCGTATTTCCTAGGGTTGGCCGGATGGGACTTGGCAGAGAGTTAAACCAGTCCTCCAACTGACGATCGAGCTCCTCGCTGATTGTCTTAAGAGAGCTAATCGAATACTTCTGGGGGGTCGGGTTGCCCCCAGGCGTATCACTGGTGCGTTGGGGCGGAGGGCTGGATTGGAAATTCTCCTGGTTAGATCTTGCATACAGAGCACTGTGCACACGGTTGAGAAGCTTTCGAATCGAACACATTGCAAGGAAAACAAGGTGGCCGTTTCGGCTGTCTTCCGAGATTCGAGGAAAGGGCAATCTGTCGACGAGGACTTCAATGCCACTCGCAGGGAAATGAAACTCTGCGAGGTCATCACTGTGGTTTATTAGCTGGATGCGAGATAACCCCAGAGGCTAGACCCACCATTCGAGAATAAAACAACCCCAGGCAGTCCGATAGAGACTAGCTCGCTCTTCGTGCGTGTTCATGTCACGTAGTCTGTACCCAATCTGTATCAATATCATGATGGAAACAGATATTAGAGAAGACACTCACCCGGTAATCATGATCTCCACACTACAGGAAGCTTCACGAATCATTTGCCATGCTTGAATTGGGCGTCCTATGTGACGCAGATACAAAGAGCCGTAGAATAAAGCCAAAGGCAACAAGTGGTCCGCTGTAAAGGACGTTATCAACGGCCCGCTCAAGTAGTGATATGCGGAAGCGAAATATTCCATCCCACTCAGATCCTTTTCCGCTTCGATATTAAAAATCCGCCGAGGGTTCGAAGAGGCCTTTCCTAGGGCCAGAATAATGAGATAAAGTGAAGTTTGGATGCTGTTGACCTTGGTGTATGTTGAGAAAGTTTCAAAGAGCATATGTAACAACTGCGGCTCGAGAACTGGGAAGAATGGATGGACATGGTTGAGGAACTCGGTGATCAGAGGTTTGGTGACCTGGGGAAGTAGTCGGGATCTATCGATTTGTTCAAAGGTCTGGGGTATGCCTGCAACCTGGCTGCTGTTGAATGGGCGCTTGATCTCTATCTGCCTGAAGAAATCTTCAGGGTAGGTGCCAATCAAATTTCTGATTCGATCCAATGCAAACAAACTTCCTGTTGGCGTGTCGTAAAGGGGAGGAATAGTATATGTATATCCATGACTGTATGGGTTCTCCGGCGAAAAGAGGTTGAAGGATGCTTTATCGTATACATGCTGCGGCGATGGGTCCCAGTCGTATTTTGGCTGTGATGAATAGACAGGGGCAGTCGACCGATCCGGATGATCTTGGGCTACTCGGGCTGAGAGCTCGGTGATGGCGTCCTTTTGTTGCTCGATCAGGGTTTCCAGATGGGTCAAGCGAAGCAGGATTTCAGCCGGGATATCCTGCACCCTGTGGATCGTCACTATCTAGGAACCCCTTTTTTTTTTCACAAGGTGACGCTTTCTACCTGTCGCTTTCTTGATAGACACACTGAGCCCCCGCATCGGTGCAGAGGCCACATGTTGGTTTCTGGCCATCGCACTTTCGCTTCCTAGTTCCTACTTAGTGGCCGGCCAAAGAAAGGAATTAAATAACCTACCGATGCCGACAGAAATTACATGCGATTGATGCACGCTTCCGTGGATAATCCACGGGAGGGCGAGATTCAAATGATTTCATATTTGCTTGAAGATCGACGTTAAAGGCTCACTGCGGGGCACAAACAACAAAAAACACTAGCACCCTCCTTAATAATCAACTTGGATTTCTCCCCAAAAAGGAAAGTAAAATAACGAAAGGAATCATATTCATTCACCGATAGGATTTTACTCCTGCTAGTTGAAGCAATTGATCTGTATGCTCTGGGGCTTCCAATGGTACAGATCGATTGCGAGGATCGACCTTACCATCCGGGAGATACACCACTCCATCACGTTTAATTATATTCTCATGTGGCCAATGAGTCGTTGCTTGATACGACTCGAAGGCTTCTTTCTTTAGTTTCAAGCTCTCTTTCGTGGCTAGCTCAACCGGGGCATACGATGCATAAATCACCGTTCGGATCGTGTTGCTGTTGACAGTTGGTTCCCCACCCCAATGCACAGTCCGTGAATCCCACACGAGCAAGTCCCCAGGCTCTGCAAGCACCTTATGTGGTTTCATACCATGATCTTCAAACCACTGGATTTCTTCCACGGTGAAATTACGTATGTCCTTGTGCTCCCAAGTGGATGGGTCAGTCTCGGTGTCGAAGAATCCCTCGGTTGCTTTGTTGGATTTCGGGAACACCATAAGGGATCCATCCTCGGGACCCGCATGACTGAGATTGATAACGCCTTGAACACAGTGGAGCCCACGACGCATTGGGGACTGGTCCACGTGGGGCCATGGTTTTTGAGCAGGTTTGTCTTTTCGGTTTGGCAGAGTGATGTTCAACGCGTCAAACGAGACGAGCAGTTCGTCGGTGCCCCAGATCTTGGCGAAGGCATCCAAAATCTTTGGCTCCATGCGAGCGTCCCACATAAACTTCTCATGTGTGACGCAATACCCATTGAATGTGTTGATTTTGCTGTGGACAGGCAAGTTGTCCCTAGTCCATGTGGAAGGATCATCTAGGTCGAGGGCGGGGTTGAAGGATTTGAGCCAGTCCAGGGCTTTACGCTGATAGCCCCGGGCCCTCTCGGGGTCGATGGCATTCTTGATGATCGCATAGCCTTGGTTCTCAAGGTCGTCTCTCCAATCTCCGTACGGACCGCTTAGCCTAGAGTCCTCGATTAGCATTTGTATAGTAGGTGGGACAGTAGGCTCACTTGAAAGTAGCATGATTGAGAGGTGGAGTAGTGATGATCGTCATGGTCGCTGTTTCTCCCTTTGAAGCTTTAGAAGAAAGAAAAAAAAAACAAAATAATGAAGGAGTTGGCGTGTCTAAGTATGTCGGGCCATCGGCCAGCACTACGTATTCGCTGTATCAGAAGTCCAATCTGATGGCCCTTGGCGGATAAGCGGGACCCCCGCCATTTCACAGCGGAGATGTCTCAGGCGGTCCGCATAACCGCCCTCCAGTTCTGAACCAATCAACTATGACATTCAATCAGAAAAAGAAATGAACCTTGCATTCAAGGATTGGAGTATTCTCGAAATATGTTGATTACGTCGGGATCGCTCTATACTCTGGACATTTTTGGGCTGAACAGGGCCAAACTCAAAGTCTCGAGCACTCCGAGACTAATGGAAATTACGTGTAACACGTCGAAGCCATGTACGTTGTTGGCATACACCTGTATCTTCCTTGCCGGACACCTGGCAAACCCCAAAAAAGGCTTGCAGTACGAGGGTTTTTAGGGGCCACGAAAACCGGCCTAATTGGGCTAACGGCTCTGTTGTCTATATAGTACTTCCGCTGCTTTCCCACTCCACTTGTAGTAAAAATGCAAACCCCTATATACCAATCTGATATATGCATAAGTAGGATAATAGAAGTAGATAATGTAATCCATAGTGCAAATCTAGGCATAAGGCGAATAAATAGCCCCTCAAAGGAGTAACCTATAAGTACTACACCTATAGGCTTAGTAAGTCCGTGGCCAGAGGTGGCCCACACAGTATTTAATAATAAAATAGTTAACTTATACAACCTTTCTTGTTAGAAGACTTTCTAGTGGTCTTTTCAAAAGACTTTCTGGAAGCCTTCTCGGATATTTCCTTATCTAGTTATACTTTTTTCATAGATATTTCTTCCCTTGGTGCTTTTGTGAAAGGATAAGAATAATTAGCCGTAAAAGTATAGAAATACAGAAAGCATCAATTTAGGCCCGGGTATACGGTTTTCTGCCAGCTAACATACTGGTTATCGTCATGATCCCTAAAAGCCCTACATGCAGAAAGATTTCGGATACATCCAATTGGTCGCCACTAATCTCTCTCTTTCCTGCCACCCTATGGATTCCTAGGCATTGAAAGCTTCCTCCCGGGTACGTGGCCAACACTGAACCATCTAATGCTCACAAAGGTTGAAAGATCCATTTTCAAACACGCTGTTATTCTCCACAGCCCTGACACTCCGTTCTTCCATAAGCTCAAGTCTGTAAGCTTCTGCCTCTTTCATGCTCATCATGTGGCTGTATACATCCTGACCAGGTGTATCCGGCGAGTTCTTTGAAACCTGTGGATGCACAATTTTCGAGCTTTCCGGCGCCCAGTCCTCTCGCTGAGGAGGAACATTGGCAGAGGAGATCACCCGCCTATGGGGATCGATGAGAAACAGTGCGAGGATCTTGCGATGTCCCCTTTTGGATCTGTCGGCCAACGAAAATGGCGACACTTTGTGCTGAACAGAATTGGGGAATGTCAGGAGTCGACCCTCTTGACAAACCACGCCTCCAAGCTCTTGTGTAACTTCGGTTCCATTCCAGTCCCCATTCGTACGCAAGCCATAAACATCTTGAAGGAATTCATGCCGGTCTTGCTCGTGTTCAATGTAGTCCAGGTTGGTACATCTTTGCCGGAATGACAACGAACTTTCAGTGATATTCTGATTGTCGTAATAGTAGATTGCTGTTGCACATATACGCTCATTCTAATAAGGATTAGTAAGATGTTTGCTTTCAAAGAAGGTAAATGGAGCTGACCAGTTGACCCTCTATGTGCCAGGTACCTCCTTCATAGTCAGGCTTGGAGGGTGTCAATTCGATATTTGCCAACTTTACAATCACTTGTATTCCCCTGCTGCCGAAGTATCCACTGTCCACTGTGACTTGATACGAATCCCAAAGACCGGGAATCTTAAACTCTCTTGGCTCAGGGAGTAGTATCGGGCGGGAAAACTCCCATTCCTCATGCCGCTCCAAGTACTCAGCTTCGTCAAAGTTATCGTCGGCATCTTGAGGACGCGTAGGCTCTGGTCCTACGGGATCGCCGTACTCAACCTCTTCATACGAGATTCTGTGATGATCTGATCCTCTGCTCAAGGTCTGATCCCAAAGTGGGATCGTTCTCGTGATGAGTTTCTCGACCACATCGTACAGTCCCCGATGTTTAATCGGGTGAACATTGTTGATGTAAGACGTTATTTCACATTCGGAATCGTCAATATGCACCTCACACGGGAGCCACTGGAATTTTCGACTGAGTCTTGGCTGGATATGGTGATGATTCTCCAATTTAAGTTCCGAAGCGACAAGGCTCTCTTCTTCTGAGGGAGTTGGGATCAAAGTGCCCTGTCCCATACTGCTCAGACAGTCATCGACACTGATGACTTTGTCAGGGAGGACCCGAGTTCGACCATAGACGACAGGAAACAATGAAGGATGAACTAGATTCACAACTTTCTGATCGGACCCAGGATGGTAGTCTTTCTGGGCTTCGGGCGCATTTTCAAAAATAGCTGCTGCTTGTCTCAATTCCTGCTGCAGTTGACTGGAAATGGCGTTGTCGGATTTGACGACTCCAACATCAAAAACAGTGACATGGCCTGTTTCTTGAAAACTGCCAGCTTTCCACTGCAGTTCTTTGATGATCCAATCCATCATCTTTGGCGTCACATCTTGTCCACTCTTCGCGATCTCCTCGCGCCATTTGTCTGTGATGTGCTCGTCGAATACCTGAAAGAAGTCAACACTATGAGTGCTATGAAGTGGAACCTAGGTACCTTTTTATCCCAATTGGATTTGTCTGTGATGGTGTTCATTACTCGCATCATCAAAACTTCTCGGTGTGTCACGATGTCACTGGAAACTTGCGTTAGCTGCCAATCTGTCGCGCTTTTTTGGCCAGCCCTCACTTCAAAGCCTCCATGTGGTTCGGGTCCAAGGCATTCGGAAAGCCCAATAGACCGAATCCTCCGCCGAAAAAGTCGGTAATATTTACCTGCTTAAATTAGCATATGCTGTGTTCCGAAAGGGGTAACTCTGACATCAGGTGAAGAGTTCAGGGGCCTATTGAAACCAGGCATTTCAAGTTTCTTTTTAGCTATCGAATCAAAATTATGGATTAGACGCCTTCCTGGTCTCAAAAGAGCGCGCCATTGCATTTTCATCATGGTACACGATTTTGGGGGATTTTAGGGGTGAAGGAAAAATAGGCTGGCCGAAACCCACTTAGCCTGCGAGTCAATGGCAGTGCCTAGATTGTAACACCACTAGTATCGACATTGTCTTAGTTAACTACTTAGCAGTTAATCATAACTACCTACACATTCTACGGAATTTGATTGCATTTTACGCAAATATAAGAAGGTAAGCCTTCTAGCTTAAGAAGTAGCACTGACATGTAATGCAGTATGTGAGTTATTTCCTGCTTTTGCCCCAGGTCCCACCACCTATCATTACCGACCTACATGTCTACGCACATATTTACAAGGAGGGGCAACCCAGATCTAGAGTGATCATTGTCCTGGCCCTTTTGATTGAAGCAGGAAAGGCCCGAGGAGCCGAGTCATTATCTGTCTGCACATTGGTTGAACCTAATAATGCGAGAGGTAGAGACATGCATGTATTTCAGACACCATTTATTTGAAGCTCAAATATTCGCTGGCTATTCCTGATCCCAGAATATATGATTCTACGCACAGAGAGTACATATACATACAGGGCCCTCCAAGAAGTATGCCGGTGGGTCTCGGCTCTTCCCGTTCCACTGTCGATCCCTTCTTTCTCTCAACGACCCATGCTGAGCGTCACACTCAACCGCTCAATAATCCTTCAAGTTCTAGTGAAAGTCCTTCTCGAGTTGAGATAAAGGGCATGGATAAAGGCATGGATAACGTTCTGTGGATGCGTGGCCGCGCAATGAGCTTCCTTGGCAAACGCTCAAGTTCTTGGCCGCGAACACAACTTTGCCGTCGAGATGCAGAAGTGTCCTTTCCGAGACAATGGCCCTCGTGGCATAGAAAATGTCCCGGGGAAGTAGAGCCTAGAGGACTCGATGCCCCCGAGGAAGCTCGCCATCGCGGCTTGTCCACTTGTGATACCGACAAGTGCTGAACAAGTCCCACATGTCGAATGAAACCGGTGGTACGGTAGGCGAGGAGAGGTGCAAGCGCGACGAGAAGCAGGAATATAGGAAGACGGACAAGATGTTCACAGTCGAGCAATGTCTTTCCAAAATCATCACAATTGTCTTGAACTATAAAGGGCCCTTAGAAAATATCATGTGACAGAGAGCAATCAGGGAAGGTGCAGGGGAGGGCCGTCCATTTTGGGAAGGTACGTGGGAGGTGACCATATAAAAGGGCTCCCCCCCATCTTTCCTCTTCTCTTCTTCTCTTCTTTCTCTCCCCATCCCTCCACCCCCATCTCTCCGTAGCCCACCTGAGATCGCGCAGAGGGTCGTGCATCTCCTAGACACCAGAGATCTCAACATACCAGTTGTTGAGGTCTTCGCAGGTTTTCACGCAAATCAAATTGCTAGTTCTCGTGGATGTTCTTTGACAAAGTCATTGGCTGAGCCTTGTGGGTTCGTAGCCATTGACAGGTCCCACGGAATACATTTCTTATTCTAGTGCGCTAGTCACCTAGGTAGTCACCATTAAAGTGGATAACTCATTCCCCATCTTCGTCGGCCTACATTCTGAACACATAAGGTAAAGTTAGACCCTGTTGCAATTCGCCCTGGTTGTCCCTCTCACCACCATTGTCGGCGGTACAGTCGCGCACGTCGAATGGCTGTGAGACCAGGATCTGGTTAGGAATGTTCTCTATTTCTGGTTCTTGGGCTTGAACTTGCCGAGGGAATTGAGGCAAGACCCGTGTCCCTACCGCGATAACTCGGTCATTCGCACTACGGATCCTGAACAATAGCTATGTGTACATAGCCAGTGGTAGTGTTGCCAAGTCTGGACTTTCGTGTCTAACGCCTGATTAGCAACGTTTGTGGTCAAGATGACTTAGGGAACTCAAGAATATCATGAACCAGGCCTGTTTTAAATGTCTCATTTATGCCTCTTGGCCTGGCATCTCAGGCCTTTGTTTTGTGTTCTTCAACGCAGTCTTCTGTGCGCAAACACCCAAATTTGGATTTCGGATATATTTCTTCGTTTTTCCTCATCACTTTACAACTTGCCCTCTACATATTCCTTCTTTCTCTTGATACAAAGACTTGATCTTCCACCATCCAACTGCCACACAGTAAGAATGCCGCGAAGCGCCAGCCCTCATGTGACCACAACTGCCACACAACGAGCACTTGGAATCGCTGAGATCGTGGGCCATATCATATCGTTTTTGCCGCAAGAGAGCTATGATCCCGAACCAGACTTGATCTCCGCCGCTCTAGTGAGCAAATTTTGGCTCGCCGAGGCACTGCCTGTGATATGGAAGAATGTCTACGCCTGCACACTCCAGGATGTCTTTTCGAACCTGAATCCCAACCGTCGATAGTTCTATGCAACTTTGTGGCTTTTGCGCATACACGGGTCAACGATTTACACACCCCTCAGGATAATCCATGTGATTTGAGCGGGATTGTGTTCCCTAGACTGACAGAGCTTTTAAGGTACGTTGAAGCACAAGTTGGAGAATGCTCTCTTCCCACCCTAAACTATCCCAATCTTCATCGCATGACCTTCAATGGAGGATGGGTTTCAAATGGAAGATTTCTACGGTTATTCTGGGGAATATGATACGGATGATTCTACTTCAGAGAATGAGGGCTAGTGAGATGGTGGCCGTGCAAGATGACGAGACAGGTTGTCATGAATAATGGAGGTATCCTTTGGTGCTGGACTCTACATAGATCCAGAAACTAGTTTGAAAAGTGCCGGCAGGCTCACTATAGTGTATGGTTGAAGAAGGGACTTTACCTCTTTGAATTGGACATCTCGTTCATCCAAGTCAATAGTAATACAAAGCTTCAATTGTTTGTCTCCAACTGTTGAATTCAACTCACGTACTCTTCTCTTCCCCTCCACGTATTTCATACACTTGATTCGATCTATATTGACCACCATTTCCTACTTGGTTAACATCAGAACATCCACTCTTATCAAATGGAATCCTCCGCCCAGCGAGCCCTTGGGCTTGGCGAGATCCTCCGTATGATATTTTCCCGAAGCATTTGCAGCGAACAGGAAGCGATGGCCCACCATTCCGACTTACTGAGATGGGCGCTCGTGAATAGCCGCTGGTACCACGAGGCTATTCCCCTGCTCTGGGCTCGCCCACGCTTTACCCTCGATATTATCATGGCAAAGGTCCCATCCGAACGTCGTCAATACTACACCAATCATATGGCCTGGGCACTGGTGGTCTACCACACTCAGTCTCAGAAGGACGCCTATGCGGAGAATGGTCTGCTCCACGGTCTTGTGTTTCCTAAATTGACCAGAATCTTTGCGACCGTCTACGCCCCAAATAGCTATGTCGCTTGTAAGCGTTTTTGTCGCCTCTGTGGTTTATTTCGAGAGGCGTGTGGGTGAACTTGCGGGAGTGCCCAATCTAGATGAAATATTTTGGCCTATCACTGTCAGTCATCTTCCATGCTTGCAGATACTAACTCTTGACAGGAGCTATACTCTAGAATGTCACTCGACGAAATTGTCCATGTGTGTTTTTCGAACGACACGACCCTGAAGTCACACCCAAAACTGCCGAATGCCCAACAGTGAATTCAGAAAGTAAGAGGGCCTCGGATAAAACCTCAGGAAGAAGCCAAAGGTGAATCAGAACGCACAACGCGAATCGTTCAAACTACGCCCCTCAAGTCTTCTCAGCGATTTCCCAAAAGCCACACAAGAGCACGAATAATGTTTCCCAGACTGGGCCCACCAGATGGCCCAAAGACAGCGTACCTCGTGCAATCAGCTATCGGAGCTCTCCTAGACATGTAATGGAGCTCGCAAGGGCCAGGAGAAACCCCCAACATTGCCCCGAAAAGTCATCTGGATTCATCGCAAGTCTCCATCGCCGCCATCGATTATGATAGGCCTTACTACCAGAGCAAACAGGCAAACGGACAAAACGACGAAAGCCACATTCAAAAACAAGCCTGGAACCTGAGAAGGGCAACGGCATACGTTGCCGACCTCAACGAACCAGACGAAGCTAACCAGACGGTGTTTGACCAAGGCGACTATGATACAGAGGTGGAGGACTACGAAGCATACTACGGCGAGCCCTACGATGAAGCCTGCCAAGACCAAGCTGAGAACAGCTACTACGCTACGAAGAAGGTCCAGCAGCCCAGCAACTCCACGTTACCTGAGTCGAAACTGACGTCACGAACGGAGAGGCACTCCTAAACCCGAGCTTCGCCCATCTTCCTTCGGCCTGAACGAGCCTATGCTTCCATCTATGTCCTTCGCCGTGGGCAGCAACCTTTCTACATCCCCGCCATTAGAGGATCATGCCAGCATTGCATCCCAATTTCAACCGGTTTATCTCTCGAATTACATCCCAGGTCTAAGTTGCGGCGATATTCCACATGGAGGCTCAATGCGACACCATGTGACAGGAGGAAGAACAGAATATCACGAAGCCACGATGACTGGCAATTTCTAGACCCATGGCAGAACTCTCAACGACAATGTCGATGTGAAGGTGATGCAGGGGGGTTTACAACAGGACCTGTGAAAATTACGCCTAGAATGGCAGCTTGTGGCGCCAGAAACGGCCGCCTTTCCACCATATATCATATTTAGCTAGTCAGAGAGTTTCATATCACTGAACTTGTCATACTTTATCGCACAGACAGATCTCCGTCAGTGTACCCTAACGTACTTCGCATGATATTACCTGGAAGAGGTTCAATCAAAGCCAAAGTCAAAAGCCTCATCCGGGGCTTGTTTTCCGTGCTTAAGGAACTCATACTGCAAAGGATGATCCTTGTCAGGATGATCGGGGTACAGGTAGTATGGTCTCGAGGATATATCCAGCTGTACGTGGATATCCATTTTAACAGGCTATAAAAGTTTGGGGTCAATCAGCCGCGTAAAGTTGTGGGGGATCAGTACGACTTACATTTCCCAAACTGTTCAAAACCATGTACATGGGCCGCGGTGCTTCATCAAGTCGCTTGTTTTCTCTTTTCAGATGGTAGCGTATGGGGACGGTGGCGGGCACTTGTGCAATGCACTTGACACCATCTGCCTTCTGCTGCTGACAATTACCACAGGCACCTGAGGCCAAAGAGCCACTGAAGTTGTAGATACTGGCAACGAAGCCCTCCGACTCGGGTCCACGGAAGTTTTTCGCACCCTCCAAGAAGAGATTGATCTTGTAAGCTCCACCGTTCAAAGCGTATCTTTGTATGTTAGAGATGGAACCAAGGCAAGAAGGTGATACACAACTCACTTGTCATAAATGACAGTAATAACGAAATCGTCCTGGCGGTCGTCTTGCTTAGGAAGCCCATCAAAGAGATCCTTTGTGTGGTTTCCGTAGAGAGTGGCAATGTTGCCCTGAATCTTCTTCTGATCGTCTTCGCAAGAATGCGTTCGTCCCTTGAGAATTTCGTACTCATAGCCAAGTTTTCGCCAATCTTGCACATCGTCTGACTTCCAGAATTCTTTTTCGGTTCTGTGGAAGGGGGCCAACTCATTATTCCGAGTTAGCTTGCTGTGGTCATCATCAAACCACTTCTCCCAGTGTAGCATTTGCCACATAGCAGTCAGGCGGTCGATATTACTTGATCAATTGTCAGCATTGTCCAGCCATTTAGATGTAGAGGCATACTTGTGGTAAATGAAGAAGATGGGATCAAATGCCGCCATGGCAACACTGCCCATGTGGCCAGCGCCCCAGAGGTGGATGCCTTCTTTTGGCGGGCGAAGAAATTGGGTTCCTCCCACAAAGTTCTGGGCTGTGTCAGATTTGTTTCTTGCACATCCATGATACTCCGGATACTAACGTGAATGTTGTTGTGAATGAACTCTAGACTTATTGCGTTCGCTATATCGCCCTGCAACTTGGCACTTTGGGTGTCTACCGACTTATGTTCGACCGGGGGGTTCGGGCTTGTTGACGTGTAGCGAGTGGTTGAAAACGCTCCCCACGAGGTAAGAGGATACTGGAACAACCGGTAGACCAGATCCTGCAGTGTAGGAACCACCTTCTCGGCATTCACACCCTTATCTTTATCGCCATAATACGGATGCTCGTTGAGAGCGTAGTTCGCCCGAAGCCAGTTCTGGCCTCCGTCGGCCCAGATGCTCGCATCGAACCCATCGAGAATGCCGTACTTGGTTGTCGCAATGCATTTATCCCACTAGATAGATGATCAGTTCCCATAAGTCTGAACACTAAGGTGACAAGAAGCTTACGGGATAAGTAAACTCAATTTTATGATCTGAATTGGTCTCGTCCTTCGCATGTTCCCCGGTAATCTTAAATGGATCATCAAATTCACCCATTGGTTTGGGGGCCTCGTATTTATACAGAGGATTGGGTCGAGACTCGATGGTCGGATCCTTGCCTTTGGGAAACACGGTGATTTGCACGTTCGGCATCATACAAAGAATGGGCAGTCTGAGCCTGTCATGGTCGATGTCGTACTCCAAGGCGCCAGCAGTCGAGGCAGGTCGATCGGCAAAGCGAGCAAAGTCCCAATACGGAAGGCGCCACTCGTCGGCTTCTTTCTTCCAGGTGTCTTTGTTGGGTTCGGGAACAGTCTTGTTGATCCATTCATACATCGCGTCATACAGAACTCGCTACATGTATTTGTCAGTTTATCTATCTATTTACCATTTTCCCAACCAGGATTCACTCACCTCGTAGAGCATCAAGTACACCCGATGCCATGTCGGGAACGTGTAATTGTTATGGACACAATATCCTCGAATTTCATCCGGGCCATCGACATGAGGCTGTTCCACGCCATCCCATGTACACCATGGGGCAGAGTGTATGGCAGCCAGACGGAAGTAGGAATCTAGGTCATCTAGAGAACGTTTCTGAATCAGAGCCAGAGCCTCCATAAAGAGAGTGAGCTGCATTCTGTTGCCCTTCACCTGATCCGCGTACCACTTGTCGATGTCTTTCCGGAGGTAAGGATCGCCATTGGTATCATGGGTATCAATACCCTTGACAATAAAAACCATTTTTAGGTATAAACTTGCTTTCGAATAAGAATGAAATTGAGAAGTCCCAGTGTCTGAACTGGGGTTGGATGGTGTGAAGTAGGAAGAATGAATTGGGCTTTATAGAGACAACCCCAGATATTTATTTTGGCCGTTTATTCTTGAGCTCAGTTGGGAAGAAGCGGTTCCCCGAGTCCCCACAAAGGTGCATTCATCACACCGTAAGAGGAGCCTCTGTCCATTCATATCTCCGACTGCACGTACCACAGCAGGTTCAGCATCAAGAACTGACGAGTAGTCTTTTCTGGTGTTGCTCGCAGGTGGTCCACATCCAACTCTTGCTGAATGTGAGGGTCTAATTGGATGGTCTATCACGACTGAAAGAGGCTGGCTGAAAACAAGGGAGTCATAAGGCCACAGGTCACATCATAACCTACAGGATGCGCATTCTCGAATCTGGAATATCTGAGTTGAGAGATCATCAAGGATTTACCAGGTTGTTAATACAGGACTAGTGTGACTCTGGACAGAATAACCCACGAAAATCGGTGCAATATATTAGACACATTATTCTGGTTTAAGATACAACACTGAAGATGATTGTACGTATTCCCCAGTACGGTTCAAGCTTCATATTTCTAGTGATATCCTGTTGGATAACTTCCGGTATAGTCTCTGCTCAATTTATAAACTCGTACACTGTTAGGTTGTTAGATTCTTCCTGGGCACAAACCCAGTCGGTGACGCCCCAGCTTGTCAAGACCGATGCTCTTACTTTTATTGCAAATAGCCTCTGTCGCTGTTCAAGCCCATCAGGAATGAAACATTCCAAAAATCAGTATGTGTATCAATCAGCTAGTTATTAGGGAGGATATGGATATACTTGTAACCTGCTAGTTTAAATGCATGGAATTCTCCAGAACAGCTCCATATCAGAAAATCGATGCCATTTATAAATAAGAAGAGAGAAGATGCCTCCATATGTGTATATATACTTTTTCCAACGCCGAGAGTGAAGCCATAACTTCCTGTAACTCTAAACAAAAACCGCCCCAAACCCAGGCCCTGGGTTGAAAAACCAACACCGCTCATTCGTATGCTAGACTCCGTATCATGACGCGAGAAAACAATCTATTCAAATCTCCTGCGCGTCCAATGCCCACACCTCCCAATGCTGCAAAGCCTCCCATCCTACCCGCCTCACACGCCGTCTCCACACAAACCCATCCTCGGACAGGGTGAACGGGTAGCAGCCGGGGTATAAGGGCGTAGGATCCTCACAGTCTTCGTGTCTACTGAAGGTTGGAAGGCGGGGTGATGGTCTAGGAGTGTCACTGTCATCTTGATCGCGTGATCGTTTCCCTAATGTTGATTGTGGGGCGCCCGGTCTTGGGCCGGATGGATGCGACCAGGAAGAGATATGTGTTGTCTGTGTATCGGGTGATTTGTGCGCTACAGGAGGTTGATATGGTGTGCTGAGTCCGTTGGTACCTTGCGGGGGGGCAGGGCTGTCTGTGGTGGTCTTTGGGGATGTATTGTCGCCATTTGTTGGTGTTGGGGAGTCTTTGTTGATCCTTGCCGGGATGGGGGCTTTGTAGAAGTCCCTTAGTTCCCAGGCTTTCCAGCCCATGCTGATGATCTTCACGTTTCCGTAGACTTGTTGGTTGCCAAGGTCGTAGCTCAACATTTCGGACAGGATAGAGTCGTCGATGTCCACTATTTCTGCAAGAGTCTTGGCATTTGCGAAAGTCTCTTGCACCTTTTGAATCGTATCAAAAGATGTTGTCTCTCGTGCGGTCTGCCATATCTTCAGTGCAGACAACCCAGGTCCATTTGGAGACTGTCCGGGTAACTGGGGTATGAGAAGCCGGAGCGCTTTCAATTTCCGGAGGAAGGGTATCAGTAGACCTAGCGATTCCATGCTGGAAAATTCGGTGGCGAGAGCGAGCTGCTCCAAGTTTGGACAGCTATGGACGAGTCGCGCGACCATCCCGGTGGAGAGGGGCCATTTGGATGGGAGAAGGAGGTGGCGCAATGTCGCGCCATGATTTGTGGTAATGTGTGAGAGGTAGAGGTCTCGCAAGCTAGCTGTAGCATTGAGCTGGCTAGCTGGAGAAGCAGACGTGATGGGGGAGTCGGTTGTGGTTCCGTTGGGTGCAGCCGACAAATGGTGTTCGGATACTGGGGGCGTGAGGGCAGATGAGGCCGCGCCTCCTCCAGGGCGTGGGGAATTGAGGAGGTCGCTTGATTCAGCGGTGACATTAACGAAGTATAGCCGCTCGAGTCCAGAGAAATGCCCAATAAAGTCCGAGTTCCGTCTGGACACTGCATCCATCCGAACAGATTTTATCTGGGGCTTGGCATGTGGCGGAACTGTCGGCCAGCTGCTCTCGACGAATGTGTTGACCAGACTAGAGCCCTCAACACCGGTGAGGAATGTGACATCTTCGACGGTAGTAGGATCAAACGCGAAATAGAAATCGTCGGTGTGAAAGGCATACAGATTCTGGAACGACATCTTCTTCACCGCCAGGGGTTGCTTGGCTGCGACCAGCTTGCGGAAGTAATCATGTAGAGAAACACTAGGCTCGTGTGCATCCCTCATCCGTGGTGACCAATGTAATTTCAATTCACGTAGTTTCCTGCTTTTACAAAGAAGAGTCGCAATATCATCGGGATAACATAGAGGGTCGATATCGGTGATTTTTAGACATCGCAAATGCGGCATGCCTGGAACCACAAAAGTGGGCTGTGGATGACGACTGGAGGGAAATCGGATAGTCAGGGAGGTGAGCTTCGGCAGCTGTGTCAACCCTATATAAACCGTGTCGAGCATTTTGGTGTTCAGTTCCCAATGAAAGCTCTCCAGATTGGTCATGCGATCGATGGCGGCGCGGGCGGCGATGTTCAACAACATCGATGCGTCGGGCACCCGGCCGACTCGAACATGCTCCTCCAGCTCGTGTTCCTTCCATTCTCCCTTTAATGTCATCGATTGTACCAGCGTCGCATAAGATCGTGTAATGATCGCATTCAAGCCCATCGTGAATGGACTAGCGCTCCCGATTCCTTCTGGCTGTTCGCCGCGATAACGGATTTTGTCGTAGGAAGTCAGCGTTAGGTTCCGGTATAGCTGCGGCAGTGCCATATAATTGAGGACACGACATGTTTGACATAGCTGGGCGAGATCACCTGTGTCGTCGACCTACGAACATGTCAGATATGGAAATCGGACGTGTGGAGCGATCTCACATGTGACACAATCTCAGCGATGAGGTTCAACGGCAAAGCCATCAACTGGGCACCGCCAGGTGGTTGAGTTATACTCGCACCGAACATGTTTCGATTGACGGCCGCCATGATGCGACGTCCAAGGTAAGTTGTCACATGGGGAATACAAAGAATACGGGGGAAAAGCACCGGGAGTGTGAGTTCCCGAGTGAAAATTCTCCACTTCTGTAAGCCTGTCTTAAGGTTTGTAAGCCAACCAAGCAGAGATCGTTGATTATAAGTGCCTATAGCTGAATATGCCTATGTTGTAAAACATGTATATATTATATTCAATTCCAAAATTATAATGGGTATCTTTCTAAGATGTTGGAGTCCTCCCAACACCTTTTTTCCAATATCAAATCCTATACTCCATGTAAAATGACCAATGACCAAGACCAGGTATAACCAAATATAACACCAAAACTCGTCAGGGGCTCAGCTTCCCAGATCTGCATCGCACACCCGAGCGTGGCGTGTTTTATGTCGAGTTCCGGCCTTCGTTAGGTCCGTGCTCGGCTTGAGATAGCTCATGTTCCGCTGACACATCATTTCTATCTTCCGAGCAGGTCGTATCTGTCCAGCTTTGACGGTAATTCGTGACACGATCTAAATGGCTAACGTCCTCGTTAATCAGCGCCGCAGCTTCTGGGTCATAGTGGAGGACGTAATCCCCGCCTCCCCGCTCTACGTCTGCCTCCGTCCATGGGGCAGACGCTTGTGGTTGAGAAGGAATCACCCGCACAGGTAAATTGGGTCGGTTAGAGGGCGGCTCGTGATGTTGAGGTTCTATCGGTCGGCTCTCCCCCGGTGGTCGAGTGTCCTCCAGTAGTCGGTTTTGTGGTGACCATGTGTGCTGACCGCGGCGACGTGCTGGGATAACGGTGACTGGTAATGAACCATCGGGGTTGTGTGGTCCAGTGCCCAGTCGAGCTTTTCGATGAAGAGAAAAGAAGTGGTCGGCTCGAGATCGGGCAGCATTTGTTTCTGCGGCCTCTTGCGCTGCAGCAGAGGGTCTGTGTTCTGAAGACTCTTCTCCGGCTTGTGCAGATGCCACTTCTTTCGGCAGAGATGCACGTCGTCTCTTAAATGGATGCAGGAGAACATGCCATCGCGGATCGGCGGGGACAATCTGCGGCGAGTGCTCTCGGGTATTTTGAGCAGACAGAGTATGGCCATTTGGATCGGCAGTATGTGGTTCCCTGCCTTCCAGTTCCTTGGCTTCCTCCAATTCCTCCTCCTCATGCATATTTGGCATTGCGGCGGGAGGCGTAGGGCTAGCCACTGAATGATATCGGACATTGTACACTGTGCTTGCTGCACTGGTAGTATCAGCACGGCTAATCGGTGTGGTCGTCACTGGGGGTGGAGTGGGCCGGTTATCTTGTGGGCCCCGCGGCGCAGACGCAGCGGCTTGGTTGTATGGTGGTGCTCCGGCACCTTTCTTTCGGTTGCCACGGGGCAATCCAGCCCGGGCTCGTAGAGGTCGATGGGCTAAGCCCATCACGCCGCCCCATCCAGACGATGCGCCATTGCCGCCTTGGTCGGGGCCTTGGGCCGAGAAACGTGGCCAGTCAACTTCCTCAGATGGAGTGACTTCAAGCATTTCATCGCCGTCGAAAACCTCTCGCCCGAGAATCCCGTCTTTGGTTTCATCTCGCTCTAGCGCTTCGATGCGTTCCACCCACTCCCAAACCACCACACTGGCCGCGGCAGACCCTACCCATCGAATATAGGTACCCCAGCCAGCAATTTCTGGCTTGGCAATATCCAAAACAAAAAAGACAACGGGGATCAAAATGGCGCACAGCGAGAGAAGAGCCACTAAGCAGATATTCCGCATCTTGGGGTGGAAAAATGCGTATCGGTGCTTCGATATCGAGTAGAAAACCACCCAAGCGGCATAGAGAAGATTAAGCGACAACTCGAACAAGTAGCTCAAAGCCGGAATGGCATCCTCGTATAGCCTGGGTCGTGACGAAGAGTTCCTGGCCCAAAAATTATCCAAAATACTAAAAGTCGTATCCAGCACAATCAACGCAAAGCCAGCCCATTTGATCATGACTTTCTCCTTGTGTCGCGGAAACAATCGAATCAACGTCTGCACCTGCGCAAGCCACAGAAACGTGCTCGATATGACGCGCACGATGCGAATTTCCATCCCGTCAATAACCTCCTGGGAAAGCGCCTCCGCGTCGGAAAACCCATAGTTATACTGCCGCTCAGCAACTTTGAAGGAATCGACCGTGGCGATCGTAAGTGAGATCGCAACCAAGATCGCAGCCACTTTCTGTAGCCATGGTCGTCCGCCAACTCCGACCACCGACGAGTTCCCGCTATACGAGCCGCTAATCATCCCATGGCGACCGAGGAAATTGGCGCCACCGCCGCCGGGACCGCCTACGTAGAATGTGCGCGGTGTGATGAGAAGGATTATGACGAGTAGATAGCTAACGACGGTAGCACAGCCGATGGCATATAGCTGTGGGGTAATGGAGGAATAGAAGGGATCGCGGGTATCGAGGACGGCGGAGATGTGAACCTCGTCGGTCGGGGAGCCTGTGCAGGTAGGTTCGAAGACGGCGTTTTCACTGAGGGTAATAGCAAATGACTTGTTGAGATATACGAGTCCTATAAAAGCCGATTAGACACGGTTCTACACTCGAGTCTCCGATCTCAGCCTAAGAGGAAAGGGGGCATACCATTACTGGGCAAGACGACAGGCGTACAACCGGGGGAATAGATCTTCGTCGAAGTCGGTGTTGGATTCGCCCAAATCTGGCGGGGAATCAAGTGGAAGTCATTTTCCATGATCGGACTCGATATGAACGGCCTCGAATCGCCGTCTCTGGGACAGTTCATATACCGCGCAATTTCCACCGATGCGCCCGTGTCACAGACCGTTTAGACTTCCATTTCTTGAGTACAGACGTTGTCCGAAGGTCGAAAGGGAGGAATGACGGCGGTGAGAGATTGGAGTCCCAAGAATATATTTGCTTTTTTTTTCAAAATCGATTATAAGGAGATAATATCTACAGAGGGATTAAAGTAGAAATCTGGAGTCGAAGATCCGCAGGCCGTACGCAGGCTCTTGGCTCCTCCACAAATTCCTAATCGCCACATTTCTTGCTCGGCTCTAAGACTCTATAGTACTTTTTTTTTACTCTTATGGTGTCACCATCATATGTCCATTATATTGGTATGTATAAGCTCAGCTGAGGCAAGGGCCAAAATTTATCATGTCAACTGATCCAAGTCCAGCATATTTATCATCCATGTATCACATCGCTCTTCGCTGTATAACATTCATCACATGGAATCGCTGATTCTCCATGGGTCTCATCAAGAGATTTATGCCTGAGCGGCGAAACCAATCTGAGGTCCCTCGGAGTCGAAAACGACGTATTGGCTCTTGAGGAAGATGTCACCGAAGATGGAGAAACCGATGCCAGAGTTGCTCTGGATACCACCGAAGCAGGAGGAGCTACCGGTAGTGACGGGAGCGTAGTTGATGTGCTTACCGGGGACAACGGCGTCGTAGCCATTAATGGTCACGGTGAAGTCAGGCAGATCAGCGTCACAAGGGAAGACATAACCACCAGCAGAGGTGTTGTCCTTGGCGCCGGTCACCTTCTTGTAGTAGGCCGAGACAACAGAGTCATCGACCAGGAGGAGGGTGGTTCCAGTGTCTATATGATTCGAGAGGTCAGTGCTGAACAAAACATGGATATCCACAGACGGAAATATGCAACTCACCAGCAATGCCTGTGATAGAAGGACCAGCAGAGCCAGTGCCGACGGTGTAGCTGTCGGCGGTGAAAGTCCACCAGCCCTCGGAGTCGTCAACATCGGCGTAGACCACCTTTCCGGTGAACTTCTCCTCGTCAATAAAGCCAAAGTCATAGGTGCCAGGTTCGCTGTGCTTGAGAGTCACAGCGAACAGCGGCGAGTCAAGGTCGGACTTGACGGTGTCGAAGAAGGTCTTCTGGGGTGTGGGGCTGACGGTGTTGATGGAGCTGAAAGCCAGACCCAGCAGGCCATCATTGTTCTTGTCCTGCAAGAACTGGGAGCTGATCTTCTTGGCAGCCTCAACGGCTTGGCCAGTAGCCTTGACTCCGCCAACGGAGACAGTGTCCTTGTAGACATCACCACTGGCAGAGCTACCATCACCGTATGAAATCGACCAGGTAGCACCAGACAGCTTAGTGCCGCTGGCGCTAACGTCGTAGATGTCGTGGCCGCTCTGCGCCGAACTGGCGAGGTCGCTAGAGAAGACCCAGCTATATGAACAGTCAGTTGTTGCTCTAACCGGGCATGTTATCTTTGCCAACTTACAGATCAGCAGAACCAGTGTCGAAGTCCAAGTTCAAGGTAGAGTCACCAATGGTGACTGGAGTGAGGTACTCAACGTCGCCATCCTCGGGGGTGGTAATGGCAGAGCCGCTCGTGGCAGCAGCGTGAACGTGGGCCGGGACAGTAGCACCATACTTGGCCAGTGCATTGGCGTAAATGCCAGGCAAGTTGACAGTCCTAGTGCCGGTAGGAGTCTTGTTCACCTGCTTCACACTGAAGCCCTTACGGGGACTCTTCACTGGCACAGCTGCAGCTGAGGCAACGGCCGAAAAGCAAGCGAGAGCAACGGTAACTTTGCTGAAGACAACCATAGTGATGGTGGTTCTATAGAACAATGGATTGATCTAATAGAGTGAATGAGGATACAGAAGAGGATGGATTCCATAAACAGCTGGAGGCAAGACCTCCTTTATAGCTTTTGTGATAGAAGCCATCCGCCGGCGTCCGAGAGTAGAAGACATCAACTGGGCTGTCTATCGCAACATCCAGGAGAAGGTGATAATGCTCTTCTAGGAAGGAAACATGACGATCCAGCAATATGCAGTCGGGTCGAGTGGAAACTTCGAGATAGTTACGGACGCCATCGGCCATCCAGGATAGCGCGACGGAGTCCGCCAAGCAAGTGATTGAGGGGGTCAAGCCGAGATTGACATATTGACAGGGTTTCAAGAAGCCAGTTGGTACCGATTGGATATGAGGGGATTAGCCCCGCCAACGCACGAGAGCGGGAGATGTAAAGAACACGACACAAGCACATGCCCAGGGAGCTTAGTCGTAACAAGCAATCTAAGGTGCAGTACGGAGAACTCCGGCCAAGACAAGGCGTTGTCTTAGGAGACTGCATCATGGTACTCATTGGACGAAGGCAGGTCGATCGCCATACTTGGCCATACTTGGCCATCCTTGGCCATGCTTGGATGAGAGGACAATAGGCTGCTATTGGGTTAGCCGATACCGAGTCGATTGCACACTATATCTTTTGTCCTGCCAGTCACGCTACATGAAGTGACTAGACCATCGAGACTAGTAAGAGCCCTGAAGATCTTCACCCGTTATCTCCACGTCGGCCAATCACCTACTCAAAAGCGCCAAGGTCACATCGCTCCGGTTGGGTAATTTAGAGACAATTCTTGTTGGTGAATCATTTGGGATTAACCTTTCTCAAAAAGGGTCTCACCGGCATTTTTGACTCTATTGCGCACTCAATAGAAACGAGAATAGGTATAATCTCCGACGGGCATCCGTTCCTGCATTGCATACTCCACCAATCCCCCACCAAGAAGATCGAGTCCACAGACGCTGTCAGACGATACGACCCTTCACGGAGGAAGGCCAAATAGCGGCTCTTATCGCCCACGTTGAAGCCTTCGAAGGATCTAGCGGCCGTCGATATGCTGATCAGTTCGTTGTGTGATCGGCAGTAAGCAGCCCCGGGTTAAAACATCAGATCCTAATTGGCAAAGACAATTGAGAGTGGAATACTAAGCAAAACCTAACAACTTGCCATCAATTGCATTGTTGCTTACAGTGAAGAGACTCCCGAGGTCTCTCATACTTGTTCATCTCGTATCAAGTAGACACAGTAAGCAGGTATGGCAACCTTTACTATATTAACATTGTTCCTTAAACCACGATATCGTCACTCGTACAAACCAGCCAAAGCCACCAGCCACCCGAAAGCTTCAACCTCCGCGGTCCAAGACGGATAGCATGTGAAAGGTCAGTACGGAGTACAAAGCACTTCTGCATGAAACAAGAGACCCCGCAATTTAATATCATGCCGACGGACACCGCCGGATAGTAGCGATTCGCAATACTGAGTAAACTAGCTGCAATGGCGCCAGAAGAGTTAAGCCTTTCCAAGAATCAGTTCCAAGCAAATTACGGCAAATCATGTATACAACCGAGAAATAAGAAACGTCAAGCGGATGCAGGGGTATATAATTTCAAGCATCACGGGAAAGGGGGTACAGATCATGAGCTAGACTCCAAAACTCCAAAATCAAAACGTAAGACTAAAAGAATACAAACCAATTATTCGTAATAATCATTATTTTCGTCACAGGTACTGGGACGACAGCCCAGCCCCAGTCTCACTATCGCCATTGGCGTTTCCGTCATACCCCTCGTTGAGGAGTACCTCGAGCATGTCAAACTCGCCGAGCATGGGTCCAGTACCACCAAGACCCTGGTCAACAACTGCGGTGGAGCTATTGAAGAATTGATCAAGTGGCAGAGCAAACCAATCCGGAAGCGCGCCGGAGGTAGAGTGGTGGTGGCTATCGCCCATACCCTGTGATGATGCAACATGGTTAGGCGATGACCTGTCCATATCATTGGCAGAGAATGTCGAGTTCGAGTCATAGTAATTGTGATACACAGACGGCGGAGGCGGCATGAAGGATACGTTGAGATTGGACGAGTTAATCGGCTGAGCAGGAATGTTCGCCAGTGGGTCGTGTCCTGACACCATCCCGGCGCCAGGGGTATCCACATATCCTAGGCCAGACCCGCCTGACGTCGTATCATGACCCTGGTTAGCGGACCAGGAAGCATTCGGGCCGTCACGACGAGCTGATAAGTTCTCACGCGATGGTGAATGAGGCCGGGAGCCTGGGACTGAGGTGCGATCATGTCCTTCTCCGTCTGCAACCCGGTCGTGTGGTGCAAAGCGCAAAAAGCGCGTTCGGATGCTGCTCGTGAGAAGCTCGAGAAGCCGGGCTACCGTATTACTGAGGTGCACGTCATCCACAACATAATTGCGCAGTGCCTCCACCGTCCGGTCCTGCAGGTCTAGAGAGACTCGCACATCGTCTTCTCTGGCACCCAGTGTGAAGGTCTGTGGCTGAAATTAGTATTGTGCTTGCCATGGCTTCCGGCAGAGACCATACCTTCAAGATAAATATCATTCCAGACAAGATTCGGAAAAACGTTCGAATGGGTGCGTGTCTGAGACGACCTTCGGGGACGAGACCTTCCAATACTGTCTGCAGGATTTTGCGCGAGGAATCGATGACTTCCTGGATATAATGCTCATTGACACGATAGAGCTCATTCAACGTTTGGAACCAGCTTTGGCTGCTATTAGCCGGCCCAGATCCTGGTTGGCCATTCTGGGTCTGATTCTGACCCTGAGCGGACTCATTGGACATAGTAGTCCACCGATCAACGACCGCTTGTAGAGCGAGGGAATTGATATAGAGACCTGGTTCTATATTAGCCGTTATCCTTCAGCGAACCCAGTTGCGTCGACTTACGGGTGTATTCAAGCTCAATCAGTAAAACGCTCCGCATAGCCGGTGAGACTGCTTTCCGTTAGCATTCATATCCATAACCAACGGCCAATTGACTTACGAGTCACACTGTCCAGCTGCTGCTGGAAATCCCGTAGATATGGTTGAAAGCGGTCGATCTTCTCACGATATCTTCCAGTCCTGATCAAATCCATCGTTTGATCACTGGATGCAAACAGTAAATGATTGGCTTGATAGACAATTTTTGAAATGCTGATCCAACAATCCTGCATCCGATCAAGATTGGCATCAGCATCATTTGCATCAGCAGACGTCGGCGTGATATCCTGCCCCCATTGAGGTAACGGGAGCATAGAAGGAATCCCTAGACGTCCACTGCTGTGCGTGATAAACACAAGAATCAAACGCCGTAGTCGGCGTTTCCGTGTTTGCTCAGATAGCGGCTCATTGGCCGGCTTAGCATCTCCTTTAGGGTCGAAGACGCCAAGCTCGAAAGCCAGAGCTTGCGCCGTACTCAGTAGCATCCATGACATCCGGTCCGATCGCCAAGCCGGTTCCAGCCATTTTTGAAATGCGACCCTTCCCTCGGAGCCTTTGCTGGTATGCTCGCCGTCATAATCCCGACTGTGTGTCTGGGGGTCTGTATCCAAAAGACTGTTTTCATCGTCGCCCGGTGGAAAGTGCAGGTTTCGTGGGTGCCACTCTGTAAGAAGTAGCATAGCCTCTACAGTGCCTAACGACCTCAATTGCCCACTAGCACTACCCTTGCCTGACATTGGTGAACTCAAGTCAAGTGATCGAGGTCGGCCAATGCCCGATGTCCCAGCATCAAATTTCTCTTGGCCCCAGAATAGGCGTTCGATCATGCTGCGCAAGTATGCCCAGAGACGGTCATGGATATAGAACGCTCGCGTATTAGCACCATCGCCCTTGGGCTTTAGATGCCTAGACGCGATGGTGAGGATTGTAACCGCCAACACCGGCTCATCAGTAAGCAATGTGCGGTGCGTAGAGGGATGCGAAAAGTCAGGGATTACAACAGGGCTCATCGGGGCGAGGTGCTCATAGTAATACTCCACATAGTCCATGCCCTCCTCCACTGTAAGCCAGCCGGCACGGACGAATCGCAATCGTGACCAGGCTCGGAGTGCGTCAAGATATGCCGGCTCCGGGGGAGGGTTGTTGACCGGGCTTTCCCTTTGAGGGCCGGGGTCGGCGATCTGGGGATCTACCGGCCCTGGAGCACCAGCCGGGTAGTATGTAGACCCACCCATAGACATTCCTGATCGAGGTGTCCGCACAAAGGACCCACCCAAGCTTCGAGGCGAGCTGCCTTGTGGCAGAGGTGAAGGCCCCGAATTGAAAGATGAGACAGACTGCCGTGCAGCAAACCGATTCTCGAGGCTCTGGCGGTTGAGATCCTCTGTCCTACCCGCAGCCTCAGAGAGAAGATGCAAAGCGTCGTGGGTGTTGGTAATTGCAGGCGACAACAGCTCCACCGCAGTGCGATTCATCATCGGGGGCCCTCCATAGCCAGGTGCGGGGCGTTCGCTGACAGGGTATGTGGGAGCTCGTGATATTGGCGCACTGGGCGTGTACCGCTGGGCTGTAGGTGCAGGTGCAGGGGGTGCCTCGGACCATCTCTGTTGGGCACGCACGGCTTCATGGTCAAATGGAGGTGGATCGGAAGGTGCAAATGTCGGGCCATCAACTGGACTTTCCAACGGTTCATTCTTGGCCACCTCCCCAATCATCATTCGCTTGTCACGATGGAGGATCGCTGCTGCCTCCACTTCATCGTCCTCGGCATCGGAGGTTTTGCGCTTTCGGCGAGTGGCTGAAAATTCACATCGTTTACTTTCGCGGCGACATCGAACACAGGGTGGGGGGCGAGGGTTATCGACACCTTTGGTTTGTTTGGATCAGTCAAGCCACAGAATAAAAGGGAATGGGCTCATACTTCCTAAGTCACATTTGACCTTGCGTTTGCGACATGGATCACAGGCCTGATATCCTCGGCGATGGTGTGCATCCGATTCCGCCTTGCTGTAGACACTATTATTGTCCCCCATTTCGATAATAATGATGGGGAAGGCTCCGACACAAAGCGATGGAAAGCGAGATAAGCCTTAAAAGGCGGTGGGGGTGTTTTTACTCCGACGGACAAAAGCCCTTAGAGCAGACAGAAATACGTAGAAAGAGAATAGATATTGTACCTGTAGCTAAAGGTGTCAAAGATATCAATTGAAGTCAGAGTTTGCTCTGGACTCGGTAGTTTCCGTTGTATAATGAGAACTCTGCGGGGTAAGACGGAAGGGATATCGATACTACATAACATATATATATACATGTACATTTGATTCACGTACATTCAAATGTTTTATTACAACTTTCACGAAATGTACAGTACTGAAGCCGAGCAAAGAAAAAAAAACAAGGATTCCACAGCCCAAAACTGGTGACAATGCTCGCTTAAACGGCTTATTCAACCTTGTGCAAATCTCTGTATTAGGAAAAACAAAACCTCGTCGGGACTATTTCACCCTGTGTGAAGCAAGGTTGACGTTCAACCGCGACATTGACTCCCAAGCTTTACGTGGATGGACCAGCTCACCAGATGCACCACTCTCCACGCTACCACGTCGTGACATATTAGGAGTGGAGTGCTCAGTAATGAGAGCTCGGACACCACCGGCTTTCCGGGCAGGGATAACCGAGTCGCCAGAAGTAAGAACATAAAGGAGGTACTTGAGGTTGGGAAGAGTGTGTCGAATATCCAAGACGCGCAATCCTTGTTTGATGAGGATGTATTCAATGTCTTTGTTGAGGAGGAAGACCGCGTACTCGAATCGGTACTGCACACTCACCGGGTAGAGCGGGTAGGTGCGCTGCGGGAGTGATGCAGATATGGGGTCTTGTATGAACGAGGTTGACCCGTTCGCGTTGATCGAGTATGGGAGATGCACCGACAGATAGAATGAGAGCAGATAGACCAAGTGAGCTGTGTGTCCCAATGCCGCTGCTACTACCTCACGGTCGATATCCTCAAAGGTCGAATTTGGAAGGGCCAGCCCGGCGATGGTGAATGCCAGAGGCTTGTCGGGGATGGGTTCAATGGGGTAGATCGTGAGGAGGTCTTCAGCAATACGTCGGAGTTGGCCCTTGGTATCCTCCTCATTTTGGTCAAGTAATTGCTCGCTGGAAACCAACCTCTCCTGAGCCTCGGGAAGATGACTGCGTGTCTTTTCCTGAGCACTACGGCCTTGTTGCATCGCTTCTTTGCGGGCTTTGATACTAGCAATAAGCTCCTCTTTGCGTCTGACTGCGGCGCGCACTCGTTTGCGCTCCATGGCGACATACTGCTTGGTAAGAGCAAGCTTTTCCTGTGCTGCAGCTGCATCACTTGCTACAGTCAGTGAGCGCTCGTTCTGCTGTAGAATTGAACTAATCTGAGCTTCCAATTTTTCCCTGGTTGCCAATGCATCTTGTACACATTCATCCAAATTGGCCAATTTCATCAAAGCATCATAGGACGAGGATGGCAAGGCGGTACCGTCCGCAATGGACTTCTGTCCTGTAGTTTGGAGCGATGTCTCAACCGGCGGAAGGTCAGTGAGGTTGGAATACACACCGTCTGGGAAGTGAAAAAGGATCGAGTTCGCAGCAAGTGGCTGGTGGAAGCTCTCCAATGTTTTCCCCAAGAACTGCAGTGATCGCAAATGCAGCTGTAGTTCAACTAGTAGAATAAACTCAAACATGTCACCAGTCTTTGTCCAGAGCCTCAGAGTCAATTCATCCATTCGAGACACATATGGACCACATAGATTCAAATCGAAAGATCGGAAATTCGGATTGTTTGCACGGTCAACCGTTTCGCTAATATAGATCGGCTCGTTAAGACCCTCGCAATGAAGTGAGAAGAATGTATCTGCCATGCGGCTGTTGATGATATCTTCTAGTTTGACCTGGCGAGTTCGAGGATTGGGGTCGTTCCAGAACAGAGTACTTCTGCGACGCGACGAATGCATTGCGGGCTCCTTTGCATTGTCATGTTGACTTGAATGCGACTTCAGATCAGTGAAGGATCGCGATGGATGCAAGGTGTTATTTGCGCTCTGCGATAGGATCTTCGAGGGCGTCTTTAAGGTATTCGGGATATCATCGTCATCAATAGTCTTGCCGCGAGCTCGAGTCGGGGGAGACGTCACAACCAAGTTGCGTATAGAAATTCCCTGTAGATGCCGAAGCCTACGGTTCTAATAGCTTGTCAGCATCTCGTACCATCGCGTTCTTTTCCATTTTCCATACATACCCATGCATATAGCCATGGCCGCTCTCTGCGGACACCGGTATCATGCTCCGTGTCCTTATCCATAACGCCAGCGCTGCGGGGAAGCGCGGTGATTAACTAGTACGTCACAAATAGATCAAGTCACTCATATTAAAGAAGACAGAAAATAGGCAAAACACAGTTGGAGTCAATTGAATTGGCGAGAGAGAGAGTAGTGAGCTGATAAGAGATGATGCGGAGAGCAAGTGCCAAGACCTCAGTGTTCCCCGTCAAAAAATCGACCTCCCGTCTCTCTCTATCAACACCGTCTAGCGCTTCCCACCAATGCAATAAACCCGCGCCTCTCACTTCCTTAATTCTTTTCAGATCGACTGTACGCAGCCCCCGGTCCGGCCGCAATGGCCTCCAACGCAAAGTCCTTCCAGAAAGTGCTGGATTCAACAGCACTTGCGGCCACGAAATTCATCCGCCGGCCACCGATTGATCCGACAACACCAATTCAAGGAAAGCCCCGAGTACCGGGATCAAATGCATTCAGAGAGTACCAGGAGAAGGAAGGTCGGCGGTTACAGAAGGCCTTGAACTCTGTCACCCACGGCAAGAACATCTTCGTGTACAACAACATCCGCACGAAACAGGTCGTGTACTCATTGACCCGCTATTTGGAGGTGAGTTTATTTTTCTGTCCCGCTGATGGCTTTGGAAGCTCCGGTCTCTAGCAAAACTGCCCATGCTGCCGTACCCTTCCAGCCCGTCATATCGCAATTTTCTAACTTGTCGGACCTCTAGAAAACCAACCTTATCAAGCAATGTGTCAACCACGGCAAGAAGACCATTCCCGCCACGGTCCGTAAGGATATGTGGGTGCCATACTTTTCCGTGCACTTCAACGAGGCGCAAGTCGGACTGAACGTCTATAACCACCTGCGACAATTCGCTCTGCTGCGCCAGCTGTCCCCGCCCAAGGAAATGATCACCGTGACAAAAGAATATCTCGATTCGAAGCGGCCAGCAGACCTACGGGACCAGAAGCAATGGGATAAGGAAAACATGGGAAGACTGGGCCAGATCATGATGAAGAAGGAGCGTGCCTACGCCCTCATGAACCAGAAGGCCACCGCGATTGCCGACATTGCTTTCGTTCTGCAGAAGCACCGCGACCATATCGTGGAGGGTGTGCCGGAGAGCACCAAATCTGGATACAAGACTGTCAAGGCCCGTAGGCGCAGACGTGAGGCTCTCCTGAAGGAGGCTGAGCAGGCCGAGGCACGTGCAGGCGAAGTTGCATCGCTCGGGGAGCAGCTGCAGGCTGAGATTAGTACGGATCACAACACTCCAAAGGAGAAGTCTGTCAAGATATTGTGGCAGGATACGTACGATGCGCAGTTCGCGAAGAACTGGCCCGATTACATTGAGCACGGTCAGTTGCGCTGGACTCGAAACCACATCATTGGACAGGAGGACCTTCCGGTCCCTAGCGAGGACATCATCGCCGATGGTTCGTTTGAGCAAGCGTAAACGCTTGGCGTCATTGAAGTTCGTCTTCTCTCCTGTCTGTTGCTCATTCAAGAGCAAGGTGGGTTGTTTGTGTGTTGATATCCACTTCCCTCTGGCTTTGGCCTGATGGTTGGTGCTTTTTGTACTTTCTCTCTTGTCTTCCTGTCTAGCTTATCCTAGCATTCATAAATTGTACTTTTAGATATATCAATCACAAGAAGGTATGGCCACCTTTACGTGGTCTCTTCTTTTGGCATCTTTTCTAGGGTCTTGTTTAGGTGTGGCTTCTTATGTCTCTTTATGGTATCGTCTTCATATTCTAGATGGACAGTGTAAAAGAGAATATGAAGCACAAAAGACCTCCGCGATTAATTACGGTGATTCCTAAACAGCCTTGGAAGATATTGATTTAGTTCATAGCAACCAAGAAGCGACTGGTCATTCTACATAATACAGTCAATTTAGTTTAAACAGTCATTGGATGTGAAACAATAAAAGAGCCTAATCTCATGGAGGCCAAATTCAGGCCAAATATCCTAATAATAGAAGACTTATGCTAACAGAAAGGCATCAAGACTGCCAGGTCCGATATACTAATAAACAGAACGTTGAAACATGAGGCCAACGAGCAGCCAGTGTGCCTCATGACGCCAATGTGCAATGTAATAAGTAAGCGACAGAAAGGGAAACTCCAGAAGATATTCCGGGCCGGGTACATTGCTCCCAGAAGCACCAGGTAGATAGTAGACGAAAAGAAAGAAATCAACACGTTCTATCGATTCGTTTTTCACAGCATCAGAATGGTGATTCGGCTTCATAACATGTCGTAAAATCACTGAGTCGAGCCTGACGGGTTTTCCGGGCTCCTATTCGGACTCAGGATGTCCACACAGGGAAGGTCGTTACTCTCTTTAGTTGTCATCTCAGGTCCGGGTTCTTGCTTGTGATTTTGGCTAGCCATTCTCTGAAGAGTCTCTTCATTGGCCTTCTCTGCCGCTACCGGATCATCTGCAAGACCTGAAGAGATGATGCCCTTCTGTGCTCTCTCGACAATTTTATCGGCTTCGCTCACACCCCGGGCTACCTTCGTAAGTGGATCCCCGTCCACTCCGATCAGTTCCGTATTGTGGTTGACAACGTCCTTCACGCGGTCGGAGTCGAGGCGAATCACCATACAAGACAGGTTATCGGTGCTGAACCGTGCAAGTGCATGGTCAACAAGAATTTTTGACGCATGTTGAGCGTCTTGAACATTCCGGATGAGATCGACTGATTCCTGATCAGTGCAGACGTCCCACAGCTATTGGAGTATGATTAGCTATCTTGTATCTTCAACATTGAATGGATCTCAACTTACACCATCGCAGGCCAAGATGATAAACTCATCAGCATCTGGCTGGATTACTGTTTCTGTTGTGTAGGGATGCCCAGTCACAAGGTCTTTCAGGTATGCATCGCCCAAGGCACGGGTGACGGCCAGAACTCCATTCACGCGGTTGTTCAGGATTAATCCGCCAGCGTTGGCAACTCTCCTCCCTTCATTCTCATCACTGCCCTTATGGTCGTAGGATAAACGAAGTGCTTTCCCATTACGACATAATACAATGCGTGCATCACCAACGTTGGCTGTGTACAAAACCCGTTGCCGAATAGCCTTATCCTGCAATTTCGGCAGGACAGCAGAGGTGCCCGAGGTAGCTTGAGTTGGGGTTTCGATATTCTCTGAATTTGTGTCCGCTTTCGTCGCTGCGACAGCTGCCGGGCCAAGGGCAGAAGAACCGGTGGCCGACTGTGAGTTGGGTATACGATCTTCCCACCGGAGCACGGCAGTGACGGCTGTACACCCAGAGTTCTTGACGGGCAATTTCTCCAACTGCTGATCCACACTGGTAAAAGTCTGATCGAGGAGTTCCGGAACGGGAGTGCTCGGGCTTCTGCGCATGACTTCCTCGAGAATCAAATGTAACTTCTTTCCACACCACTCTGCGGCAAACGTGCCAGCATGCCCATCGAAAATTGCAAAATAGCCATTGTCTGTTTCTATCACGGTAGATGAATCCTCTGATGACTGCGACGCGCTGGCCTTGGGGGAATTAACACCATTGATCTCCGGTGCGATCGGGGCAGGGGTACCCAGAAAGTTGTAGAGATAGGCATGCGTATCTTCCATTGTCCGGCGACATTTGCGATTTCGGTCTTCGGTGACGCCAACGCGGAAGGATGATCGAGCCGTCGGGGCGGATTCTCCGGCGGAGTTGTTGAACGACCCTTGAGGGACGATGAGAGCTGGGTCCATCTTTCCAAGCTTCTGTAGCGGGCTTTCCGCAATCGACGGACTGGTGCTGATCGCCGAACTGTCCCGACCGTTCAAGCTCAGGGAGCTTTTGGCGTTACTGAAGAAGTTGGCCGCCTTGGTGACGGTACTACTCCTGCGCTTCTTATCGGCAGCGGTACCCTGCTCTTCGCTTTGTCGGCGGTTGAAAAATCCTGCGCTGGGCGGAGAGAATGTCTTCTCACGGGGACTGGTGCCGATTGAATTTGAATCGGTTTGGAGGGCCAAGGTATTGGTGTCGAGCCCGGCTTCTGGGAGTGCGTCTACTTTGTCTTTAGGTGGGCTCGAGGAGCCACTGAACATTCTGCTCAGTAACCCACCCTGCGAAGAAAAACTGCGGCGCTTATTTCCTGCCAGCTTGATTGTATCCCTTCAAGAGGAATTGGTGGATCGGGATGGTGATTTAGTGATGGGCGGGGGCGAACACGGAGGGGGGCGAGGCTGACGTAGGGACCGGTCGATCGAGGCGGCAGTGGGAGGAATTGGGCTGCAAGTACTGAATAAATCAGCGATGAGTTCGTGGGGGCAGAAAGGCTGAAGTGAGAGATAAAAGGAAGTACAAAGTAGATGGTTTAGGCAGTGAGCGGCACAGACGTCAATGGGGTATAGAATCACGAGGGGCATTCTTTTCCACATGTATGATGAAACACAAATAAGTAAAAAAAGACCAATCAGAGAAATTCAAATATATGAAACTCATCAATCCGAACAGGTACAATGCACATAGCCCATTTGGTGTGTAGCGCGTCCAATGGTCTAGGAACACCGGTGGACATCCCAAGGCACCAAATAGGGTAATAGGTATTAGATGAAATAGATAAGGACTTACTAGGATAGAATGGGATTGTAAGTGAAGAAAGATGAAAGGTGGAAGAAAGGTAAAGAGGAAAACGAACTCCGCTGACGGCTCAGGCGGCACTGGGCGGAGAGAGCCAAGACTGTCGGGGTGGAAATCAAATCTGATAATACGGGGTAATTCATGTAATCCAGTTTTTTTGTATTTCATATATTTTCTACTTGATTCCAGGGATATATGGACAATTCTGGGGATCTCTTACTCTCCGCATTCGGTCGATGACGCTATGATCTTGTTTCTGCTTATCTTGCCATTTTCGGTAAACAGCCAACATCACTCCGCTTATTCTCTGTTCCATACTTTTCTCTTAAATGCTCAAGTCTTTCCTCGCATCGGCAGGGAACACTAAATGCTCAAGTCATTCCTCGCATCGGTAGGAAACACGTATTTGGTCCAAAAAAATGGTCTATCGATCTTTCGCCAGGATATCGCATCGAACGCGAAATTGTATCTCGCGGCGTACGCAATCCAGAAATCCTCACTCTCACAGCTCTCTCGCATCGGGCTAGGACGTCTCTGCTTTTCTTTTGGTTGCCCCTCCCTGATCGCTTCATCCTCGCGATTGATCAATCGCCTTTAGGAATATCTTAAGACCACTATCCGTAGCCCAGTATTCGGGGTTTTCAATCAGAAGCCACCAAGGTGGCGCGTAGGAGAATTCAACAAGGGCGGCAATGTGAACTCCCAGTCCACGACTGCGGCAATTTTCAAGTCCTTACTGAGAAGGACATTGGCTAGTCGGATTTCATCACACCAGAGTTTAAATGGGCCTTTATCGAAAGATGCCCATCGCTCTGTGAGTTTTCGGAAAAGACATCTAGCAACGAAATTTCGTCGACAGTCATCAGCTGATCCAATGGCGTCGTCTTTGAGTGGGCTTGTAAAGAGAGACATCTGCACAACCTCAGACGTTCAGTTTGCTATCGTCCCCTTTTAACTATCTTCTTAGCTGCATGTCTAGGTTGCGACGGATGGGGCTCAGTCTTGTTCGAGGTACGCTGCGTATTAACTTGTTGTCTTTTCATGTCTAACTTGGAACAGATGATCTGGTTACTTGTCACTTGTGTTTGGGGTATATAGCGTGTACTACGCGACCTCAATGGGTCTGAAAATCTTGTAGGTGATTGGACATTTGGTCAGGTTGTGGCTGTCGTGTTACTAGCAGCCCCGTTGATTACAAAAATGCAATACTTCAATAAAGGTAAGCTTGTGCCCTCATCCCCTCTGTTTCTCAACCTAACAAACCAGACGCCATGTATAGCCTCACAGCAGGCTTAGAGAGTAATTCCAACCAACCCACATTATATGAACCTCAAACACGCCCTTTGATGCCCATGACAATGGATGAAGAGTCAATTGATCCCGAAAGCCCCGATAGAAGTGTGATATTTCAGGGACCGGGTAAATAACTAGTAAAGATCTAGTTAGGGCAAACAGCCTTCAGGCCACTACTCAGTCGTTACATCCCTAAATGTGATATTTGTCGGGGCTTTAGGTATTTAACCAAATCGCTTCCATGATACCTTGGCATCTATGGCCCCCGGATTTTTGAGTGGGTCTTAAAGGCTTAAGTTTTCAGGCCCCTGAAAAAACTTCGGGGGCCATACTATAGGAACTAAAAGCTCGCTTATATTTATCCCCCTTGAACGGTTGTAAGTCTGCATATGTATGCATATTTATAGGCCCCGTTTGCTTTTTTCTGTTAAAGACACCCCTTCATCTCTCATCTCTTACTGGGGAAGAATTTACTTCGACCGTTCTTACCCTTTCCAATTCTCAACATGGCCTCCATCCTTCGCCTCTTCGCGTTGTCCGCTGCTTTGGGCCAGGCAACTGCTACCTTCAATCTCAATACTTCCGGTCCTAGTTGGGCCTATACAACCAATGACTTAGCAGACACGACGTCGCAGGCTTGCAAGGACGCCTACAGCGCCAGTATCAACTGCGATGAAACCCTCCTCAAGATCGTGGCGTCTATGGATCCTGACTTCGACCCACAGTCTTCGGACTTGAAGGCTACGTGCACCACAACATGCAGTGATTCATTGTCCAAGTACGTCAAGAACGTCAAGGCTGCATGTGACAAGGATGGCGATCTAGCCGGGATTGACAACGGGAATAAGGTTACTTATGAGGCTCCCGTGGCCACCGTGGGCGAGGTTTTCCAGTACAAATACGGCCAATCTTGTGCCAAGAGCGGGTTAGTTCTGTAGTGGTTTGATGATAGTGCCATATGCTTATCTTTTCGCAGGTCTGATTACTGCTACTTGACCTATCCCGAGAGCGACGATTGGGGCAATACCGACTTCCCATGTAGCGACGAGTGTGCAGTCGAGTTCTTCCGAAACGCACACGAGCAACCTGGCTCGGCATATTTCTTCAACTACTTCTCTCTTGGTAATCAATCATCATGGTGGGAGGAGACCTTTGCCGGTGGTTGGGAAACTGTCGTTCAATGCGATGGTGGAAGCGATGTAAGCTCCCTTAGCACCAGCGCAAGTTCGACAAAGACCGATATCGTTGACATTACATCTTCCACCAGCTCAATTAGCACCAAAGCAGTTATATCTACGACCTTAACACCAACTGCAGCGATGACAACCACGCCGGTTCGGTCTGCCTCTGAGACTACTACAACTACAGCCACCAGTGGAGCTTCGAGGCTCAGGGCTTCTTTTTTGTATTTTTAAGATTTCTGGGCGTAAATGTTCATCAATATTGTCAACCTGATAGGATGAAAGCTTAGATCTTCACCATTCTCTTCAAATATTCAAGTAAATCACCATCTTGCCATTACTATAAGAAGTCTACTACACATGCACTAACCTGATCATCAAGTCGGAGCCGGAGGGCCTCATATAAGCAGCAGCCCGGGTAAGTCCTACGCAGACATTATCCTCCCTGTATAGTTGCATAGGTATACATTGAAATGTAATAAATGACCATAGAATGCTTCTTCAAGGTTAGCTGTTTAATTCTAGAGAGTGGAAATTATAAAAGCACAATTTAAACCAAAGTGACAATCCAAGATCTTGAATTCAACGGCTTAATAATTGTACCAGTCAAGATGTTAGGCGCATGTGGGCTCCTTCACAAATGTGATTTTGATAGAAATTCCAATGCCCATTTAGAAGAAAGATTTATTGACATCTACCTTCGATGATCCATTGAAGACAAAAACACAGCAACGTATGTAATGTGGCCGACCTATTTCTCACATTATACATGTTCAGGTCATACAGTGATATGCAAAGTCACCTTCGCCATGTGCCATTGAGCGCGGCCTAACATGGATCCAGTGTCTGTAATTCAACATTGCAGGATGTGATCAAGCATAAGTGTATTAAATTACAAATGGAAGGAGAAGAAACAAGCTTTGGAATTACCATGAACTAAAGTTTCCAAAGCCTCCAGTCCCCTTGACCTTTTTACGCGCGGGCTCAGGCGCAGGCTCATCGTCCAAAACCTCCACGATCTCATCTTCTTCCTGTCCATCTCGGTCTGCCAGTGCTGCCTTCAAATACTTTCCAACACCTGAGGCACCGGCATCATTCGAGTCCGCATCAGCACCGCGGACTCGCTTCCCGGTCCAGGTGACACTGTCATCGTCCACACGGCGAGCAGTCTCATCTTCCTCCTCCGCAGAAGGACCCGTGACGCCTGTGGCCCGCGCTTCTTCAGCGCGCTTCTGGGCGAGGAAGTCCTCGAACGGATCAACAAAGACCTTGATTTCCTTGATGAGAATATCGGGAGTAGGGCGGTTCGTATTTGCTTCCACCGGGTGGACCTCTAGCTTATTCAAAGTAGTGGATGAAGGAGTTGGGTCGTCGATGAGACGGCCGAAGACAGTGTGCTTGAGATTGAGATGGGGCAGGGCTCGATAAGCGATAAAGCTGAAAGCACATGTTAGCGCTCATTGATCCAGGGAAATCGCAAGTGGTCACTCACAATTGACTACTATTTGTGTTTTTGCCCTTGTTGGCCATGCTCAGCGTGCCTCGGGAATCGTGCTTCAGAGGCCCGTCGAATTCATCTGCAAAGTATTTGCCCCAAATACTCTCGCCGCCTCGTCCAGTACCAGTTGGGTCACCACCCTGAAGCATGAAGCCCTTGATATTGCGGTGGAATGGTACATCTGTGTAATAGCCCTTCTTGGCCAACTGAAGGAAATTCCACACGGCTTTGGGCGCATGTTCGGGATACAACTCCAGATTAAGATGCCCGGCGGTGGTCACAATGCGCGCGTAAGCCTTCGCCTTGACGCGACCCCGCTTGAGCATGTATTCCTCCTCCGATAGTACCGCTAGCTCGGCAGACGTGTGCGGTGTCAACCCTGTGCTTGTGAAGGAGGCAGCCGCCTTGCCCGTAGTGAATCGTGCAGCGTTGTAGGGTGTTGGCTTTCCTGGTTGTCCCTTAGAAGCCACAGTCGCAGCTCCAGGCTTCGAAACTACTTTCGAGCCCGCCGCAGCAAAACCAGCCTGCTGAGCCCGTTCTGACCGTGCCTTGGCAACCGCCTCTTTCGCTTTCAGGATCTTCGCCGCGCTGCCGAGCGCACTGGTGTTAACGCTTCCAGAGGTTTCTTGGCCATCCACGATACCCGCCTCCCCCTCCTTGATGTAGTTGAACGAGCTGAGGTTGCGCGACTCGATGTTCTGCGGGTCCTGCAAGGTGATAATATCTTTTCGGCTGAATTCCTCATCCGTGACCAAGTCGCGCCATAATTTTCCCTTGATGTTGAGTCGCTCCACCGTATCCCAGGAAAAAACATTTCCTGTATTCCGTAACGCGACGATGTGTGTATTATCTGTCAGAATCTTATAGGTCACCGGGTCGACGTAGTCGCCATCCTCGTTCTTTGCGATAGTCAACTTAATCAAGTCTGAGGTCTTTAATGGGGTCCCGTCAACGGGATTGGTCCCATGCTTCTTGATCCATGGCAAAATATTCGTGAGATCAAAGAGCGTTCCGGTGGGCGTGCAAACCGGATGTGAAAATGGTTGGAGGGAGAGTGAACAGAAATTGAACGGCAAGCGCTTGAACGCGGCGTGGGGACCTCCCTTCTTGGCTTTGGAAACTCCAGCGCCAGCACTGGCCGAGAAAGCATCTTCCGATGCCCACTCGGAGTGTGTGATCTAAAGAAAATACGATTATCAGCGGGTATTCAAGATGCGATAGGAGAGTGGAATGTAGAAAACGAGGGTGTCGCATACGTAAAGCTTATCGGTTCCTATAGTCAATGATGTTAGTGTGAATCTGATCAAGCCAAGAAGCCTCTCACGCAAGACATACCTTTTCCCATAATTGAAGATCAAGCTGCTCTAGCAACTTTCGCGCAGCGGAGATCAAATGACGGCACGCTTACCGCTTTGAGATTAGTACCGGACTAATGATATTGCCAGAAGTATATAAAATCAAATCTAGTCTTTGACAACACTGACTAAAATCATCATGATTGAAATATAGTAGAGAATATAGGTTGGTCTTGATGAACCATTATAGGTTAGCAAAAAGATCAACGGGGCTAAACGCAGATGCTAAATCTACTACCATTAGTCTGCATAGCCCATGGAGACAAAGGTCTCACTAATATGCAGGTAGATTTACCAGGTGGATAATACTGGCATCGCATAGTACTTGCGTACGAGTGGTAGAGTTTCATATGCCTATAATGAAGCTCCATGATATTCTAGTAGTTACACTTACCGGCTTCTAAGGACACTACCCTGTTAACGCCTGAGAAGTATATACAAGGCTTTTGCACGAATATGGAGATTTATGCACATGCTAGTAAGAACAGTTTCATTTTATAGAGCAGAAAGTGGTCTAAAAACAGGGTTCAGGTATTTGAATCAATCTGTAAGTATATCACCAAGTTCTACAAGTGAAATAAGTGAGCTTAAAATTTCATTTTTGTTATCTGACTTCGACATTTTGATTTTTTGGATCATCTTGTCCAGATCCTAAGATCAGAACAAGGCCAGTGGATAATCTACATGTACAAGTGCTATTCTTCCCATTGGAAGCCCATGCATCATTAAAACAAACGCCGTGGACGGAGCTACCAGCTCCGTCTGTATCATCACGCAAATTGGAAACGCCTCCGATGACAATATAGATCGTGGTAATTCATATGATTATAAGGGGTTGTTGTGTTTAGGAAATCAAGGGTTGGTACTTCAATGGCACAACCCATTTGTTCCCAAAATCGATTCCATGGCGACGACGGGTACCATACTTTCTCCAGACGATCTGAGGGATTCCGATGTCGGCAACTGCCAAATTCCAGGACAGTCTTTCGCCAGAAAGAAGAGCATTCAGCACACCAGTCTTAGGCGCCCCGAGACACACCACAGATGTAGCATTGACACAAAGCCGGCCACCTTCGACCAGAGTAACCTCGCCTGTAAATTCTGTTGTGTTAGACATGCCAATTCGAAGTGGTTTGTGCAAGTACGTACCAGTAGAAGCATTAAGTCCGGACGGGACATCTACTGACAACACATCAACGTTGCTGCGGTTCATCCACGAAATCATCTCGAAAGCCACACCTTGGTCGTCGGTTCGAAGGTCGTCAAAGGACAGATGCATGCCAAACAATGCGTCAATAATCAAGTCGGGGCCCAGGTCTGAGGTGGCCAAACGCGCGGATAGTTCTTCCCACTTGAGCACGCGTCCCCCAACCTTGCGGAAAATATCAAGCTGTTTGCGGCAGTTCTCCAGCAATTCAGCTTCATGTTCAAGCCCAAGCAAACAGACTGTAACCCGGTGGCCACGGTTACGCAGATGGCGAGCAGCAGCAATAGCCCTTGCCCCAGTACGATGGTTGCCAGTAAGAATAAGCATAGTGGGTGCAGCAGCATCGTTGGACAGAAGAGCCACAGCAGCCTCTGCTATTCCTCGACCTGCATTCTCTGTAATGATCTCATCGGCCAAGCCAAACTCGGCGACCGAGATTTGCTCGATCTCTAGGGTCTGCAAGGGGCTCACCGTGGGACAGCTGCGGTTGGTGGTTGTAAGCCGGAGAGATCCAGCAGCAGAAACATTGGGAGCGATCATAGGCGACGCTGACGATCGGCTTGGTCGAGGGCTGGTTGTACGAGAAATGTTGACGTGAAGCTGACTGCGGCCAAGTGCACTGAGCTGTGGCACCATTGGCGGGGCCTGTATCGCGCTGTCTTTGCGGGGAGTTTGAGCATGTGTAGGCGCTCTTGACCGCTCGCGTCCGGAGAGTGTCTCGCCGCTCAGTTTTATTTCACTAATTCCTTCAATGTCATCCCCGGTGTCGCTGTTCAGTGGACTATCGAGTACGTTCTCCGTCCAGTGTAAGTTCTTTCCGCCGTTGGTGCCCGGTTTGACTTTTCGGTTGAAGCTCACCAGGCGCTCCTCGTCTGCGGTAGTGTCATCGTTTCGAATTTGCTCAAATACAGTTCGCTTGTCAAATTTGGACAGGTTGCTTGCAAAGTCGAATTCGCCCAGCTCCTGGATATCAGTAGCATCTTCTGTTGCCCACCCACTTGGATCCTCGGCATAACGACGCGACTTCTTTTTGCGAAGTTTAGTTCCAGACCGGCTCATAGCTTCAGGTGAATCTTGGAATGCAGGGGCAGCTGGCTCCACAAATGCAGTTTGGCGCCAGCCTTTGCTCTTTGGGTTGGTGCTTGCTGCGGCGCCGTGTTTAGCGACATATCCTCCCTCTTCCCGTACATTTTCTTGGTTGCCACGTCGATTGCGCTTTGGGGTTTGTTTTGAAGGTGACAATTCCTGCGGGCTTTGGAGTAATGTTTTGTGGGATGTCCCTTGGATTCCGATCTTGTCACTATCTGCACTCAATTCCAGGCTGCTAAATGGCTCACTCAAAGAGGCTGAGACTGCTGCAGGGATTTGGTTTGCGGGGACAGCTGTCGGAGCATTTTCAACAAACGGTTTAGATATGAGAGGGGCTTTTGAAAAACTCAGAATAGCTGGGTCCGTAAATTGTTGCTGTGTTGGGGTAGATTGAGTTGGAACTGGGGGTAAATTCATTGCTGGATAGGTTTGAAGATGGGGGTTCGGCTGATGCTGAGGTAGTTGCTGATGCTGCGGAGGAGCCTGGGTATTGGTTTCAAGAGAGAGGTCGATGATAGCAGAGGCATCAATAGAATATTGAGGCAGGCGTTGACCATTCCAGAGAAATGTGACTGGATATCGAATAGTTAATAATTATGACATATATATTGGAATCATTCATAGCTCACCATCCTGGAGTAGCAAGCGCTGCCCAAACACGTTGGCGACCTGGCCCACCAGCCTTCCACCCTGTGGCTCTCTCAATGTCACCAGCACATTGTAGCCAATAAATTCAGAAGCCATGACGATTGTGCGCTTTCGTAATCCAGCAAAACAACCATCAAGCGTGCAATTGTACTTGCTTCCAAAGCGCGTCAAACTTGAGATGACCCTACGGAGTTAGGAAGAAAGAGCTGAGAGACAGCTAATCGGATGGCACGTGATTTGTCTTATCGATAAGTGATTGGCGATATGCCTGAGCCCGAGATGGAATGGGAGGATGTCGTGGCAACATGTATTTCGTTCTGCCGAGGAAATGATTGATGGTATGGTCACCGCTCCAGTGGTTTGACCGCCCACCCAGGAGAGGGGATACCTTCCCGGTTTATGTATGTAGTTTTAGGAATCATTACCACCCTACCCTGTGAATCATTCCATCAGATATGACGACCATTTTCCATCGATCTGAAGGATCGGACGTCTCCTGTAGTCCTCAGTAACCCCTAGTGTTCCCGCCAGAACAATCTACAGGAGGGGTCTGCCACGCGGAGCGTGGGTCAGATTCCGGCCCGACAGAGTCCACCCCGAGGACGTCAACCTTGGAGGCTGAATAACCTCGGGATCTACATGTGTATGTACATAGTTTTGGCAGTTTATTTATTATTGATGATCAAAATTGTGTTCTTGATAAGTAATTGGATATCTATCTTATTTCTGACCTGGGAAAAGAAAGAGAAACCTCGCAATTTTATATATGGATCAAAAGTCTTCATCGTCGAAATCATCTGGGTTCAAAGCATTTGACGTCTTGGACTTGTTGATCTCTGTGATTGAGGCGAGGTTGGAATAGAATTCCACCACTTTCGGATGTACCATCACCTTGCGAGGCTCGAATCGAGTGACCTGCAATCCCTCCTGTGACACCGCTCGACTCAGTGCAACATAAGCCTGGCCCTTTTCAAACACCCGACCCAGATCAACTTTCACACGTTGAAGAGTCTGGCCCTGGGCCTTGTGGATGGACAGAGCCCACGCCAATATCAACGGAACTTGTTGACGCTGGGCTTGCACTTCTCCGTTGGGAAGCTCAATCTTCCACGTCTCCGGTTGACACAATAAGTGACGTTCTGACCCATCAGGCTGAAGGAAAGATACTAGCGGCCATTTCCGAGCCATTGATGCGGGGCCCTCCTTATAACCCATAGGTTTGAGCCTTTTCCGAGCCCGATGAGCCCGCTCATCATCGCTTGCAGTCGCATCATCGGCAAAATTCTTGTCATTCTCCTTATAGGAGTCAAAGTAATCTTCGCTCATGAAGGCTACTACTTTTCCAATAGAGCCATTGACAAGCGAATCCTCCATGTTTTTAATGAGCATCACTTGAGCACCCTTCTTCAACTGAATCATAGGAGGGGCCATGCAGTTTGACAACAGTCTGTCGCGATGCTGCGGGTCCTGGATTGTCCCAGAATCGATTGCGTTGAACCTCATTACCTCGCCAGAAAGTCTCCCCATCCGTGCAGAGTTGGCGCCATCCACTTCAGCGCGCGTTGGGAACCTATCAAAGGTCAGCTTTAGCACAGTATAATTATATGATAAGACATACAGCTCCGTTGCTTCGATCTGGTCTTTAACATCAAGGGGCCGAGAGAGCCGTCTGAAAGCCTCAATCGTGCTAGGGGTGATTTTTCCCAGTCGCATTTCGTTCAGCATATTAGCAAACTCCGGATCTCGTTGACGGAAGATGTTGGTTAAAAGAATGGTATGTTGGATACAAGTTGTCCAGGAAGCAGCTGCAAATGCAAATTTTGCCTCCCGGTTGCTTCCGTCTGGAACAGGAGGTAGTTGGAAAAAGTCGCCTGTTACAACAAGCTGGATTCCTCCAAACGGACGACCATTGTTGCGAATTCGTCGAGCAATCTCTTCGAGTTTATCAAATAGATCCCCATCTACCATGGAGACTTCATCAACGACAAGGACCTTGGTACGCAGCCAGCGATTCCGAGCTTTCTGGTTTTTCTTAATCTAAAGGTTGTTAGCATCAGCAAACCTTAGGTAAGTAGAGAACACCCTACCTTTTTCACTAGTTCGGGCACTGGCTCTTTGCCTAGCCCAATCCCAGCAAAACTATGGAGAGTCACACCCCCGATGTTGCAGGCCGCAAGACCTGTTGATGCTGTGACTGCAATTCGATCGGGTTCTTTGCGATATTTGTTGCGCAGCTTCGCAATAATTTCCCTCATGAGTACTGATTTTCCCGTTCCTGCAGAGCCAGTGAAGAACATGCTCTTTCCACGGTCGACAACAGCATCAAGAACAGCTCTTTGCTCGTCACTCAGAAAAACAGTGGCAATCTTCGAATTTGGTTGTTTCGGTTTCCCGTCGCTTTTTTGGGTCTTCTTGTATTCCTGTCGCAACTCTTTCTGTTCCGCTTTGATGGTACTCTCAGACTTGTTCCATGGTTCTGCGGGCTTTGAACGTTTACGGGTCACAAAGCTCTCTTTCTTGTCTTCGCGGGGTTCCTCTTCTTCTTTAGTCCACGGAAGAGTACGAGGTTTCCTCGCAGGCGGTTGGAAATGGGCGGGGGGCGATGACGACCATGGTAACTGCATGCTGCTGGGAGGGGCTACTGTTTCTTGGGATATGGACGGAAGATCGGGGTAATTGACGTCTGCTAGGTTTTCGTTGACATAAACAGACTGGCCGATTCTTGAGGAAGTGTCGAGGCTTGGATATGTGACCGTCTTGGAGATAGTGGAGCCAGCCACGCTCGGCGCAATCAATTGTTGTGGCTCATCAAGGTCCAGATCATCATCGAAATCATTTTCGTCGAAATAAACCGCGTTATGAAGAGACCCCAACGAGGACTCGGCGACCTCGATTTTTCGTTTGACACCACCGGATTGTAATTGTGGCTGTGGCTTCGGGGCCGTTGCATTGGCACGAAATAAGTCAGTCTGGTGAAGAGGTTTTATGCCACTGCCTGGGTGGTCTTGGAGAGCTTTCTTGAACATTTTCTCGGGGGCTCCGGCGGGTCGAGATGAGGATGAATACGCAAACGAACTCGGTAGTCTCTTTGGGCAATTCAAAGAGAGCGATCGAATTATGTGTATGCCCCGCGCCCTGGATCTGGCAACATGCATAAAAGAAAATGCAGAATGCAAACCAAGACAATGAGGTCGCGCCAGACAATTCCGATCGGGACGCAGATTGATTTTCCACAACGCGTACAGACGCGATTACCTACACGTGATTGGCCACTGGTAAGGATAGCAGGTCCACCGAGGTCTAGGTCCAAACATTGAATATGGATTCAACTCATTAGACATGTACCTTTCGTACGTTTTACGGTGATATGGGGTTTTCTTGGGATTTAATACATCATATGTTATGCAAAAAGTTAAAGAAGTAGGCTTTTGTGGGAAATTACTCACCATATTATGATGAGTTGTCTAAAATATATAGTTCGGGTTAATGATTCAATGTTCCCAACACATTGACCCAAAACAACGCCGAGATACGAGCTATGATATTTTGCATGCAATTATACACAAGAGATTGGATTATAACAGTAGTTAATTGCAATTTGCGTACCTAAATTTAAGTATAGTCAAGAATATGTGAGGGAATAATATATCACGTGATCACCAATTACCGCAAAACACGCGGGACGAGAATGCGCAATCCAGATATTACCAACCACCAGTTACGAGAGTATCTTGCCAATCACTCAATACAGAAGCGGCTTACACTCTGCGACCATGAGGAATGGCAGGGATGGCTGTTTCGAGTACGTGGAACATCCTTTTTTTTACGAATTCGAGCTTGACTTGCTAACCATCCATGTCATAGACAAAGACTACCCTCTGACGGGTGTAGTCATTTGCTTCACTAATGTGCAAATTGAGAAGAGAGTATGTGCCAGAGATCTAGCGATTTGTGAAGTTCCAAGCACAGACTGACTTGCTTCCCATTGCACAGACTCCATTGACTCAAATGGCGGAGCAAATGGGCGCGATGCACAGTATCCACCTTACCTCGGACGTAACCCATTTGCTTGTGGGCGACACGAACAGCGACAAGTACAAATTTGTTGCAAGGGAACGGAATGACGTGGTGGCAATGAAACCGGAATGGATCGAGGCCGTACGACACTCATGGACGCAGGGAGAGGACATAGACATGGAGGCACTTGAGAAACAGTTCAGATTGGCAGCATTGCATGGCCTTAAAATCTGTCTTACTGGGTTCTCGGACCGTGAGTTAGCTGGTTTCCGCGATTGAGCATGGAGCCATGCTAACAAATGCGCCGCAGTTACTTTCCGAGCCTACATGCAGAAGACAACAGAGGAGAACGGGGCCGAATATCGGAAAGACCTGACCAAAACCGTGACACATCTTATTGCGCGTAACTCGGACAGTGACAAATACAGATTCGCGACACAATGGAAGATCACAGTCGTTTCGGTACAATGGTTTACGGACAGCATCGAGCGTGGAATGATCCTGGACGAGGAGAGATACCATCCGCTAGTACCACCCGCAGAACAAGGTGTCGGCGCATGGAATCGATCCTCACCAACAGAGAGGGAGCCCTCTCGAAGGGACGGCACTACCAAAGAGAACTCTTTGAATCCGAGACCTCGAAAATTACGCAGGATTGCAAGTACCAAGCTGGTAGATCAAAACGAAAGCATTTGGGGAGATATCGTCGGAACAGGATTCGAAAATAACGAGACGGCTGGACCCCCAAAGAACCCACAAGGACAGGGACCACCTGAAGGCTCGAAGCCTGTTATACAGGCATATCAGTCATTCGCCAGCGAGACTACATTTTCGGAAAGCATCCAGTCTCGTCTTCCGCTACCAATTGTTCCACCAAAAGACAATGGATTTCTACATGCGACGTATTTCTTCATCAGTGGATTTTCTTCCAAGCAGGTTCGTGTTCATGCTATTGCCTGCATTTGCTTGAGACTAATGCATATTCTAGACGAAAGTTCTGCGTGAACATCTCACTTATAACGGAGCTCAGTTGATGGATTCACTGAATGAGTTCTCTAGCCCTACTATCCCCAAAACAGGACATGGGTTGTTCATCATGGTCCCATATCAGACTCCCAGGTCAGCGATTCCGTCAACGGATGAAATGGCATTTGAGTGCGAGGTCGTGACAGAGATGTGGCTGGAAAGGTGCATTGATGCTCGAGCTTTTGTTCCACCCGAGTCTCATGTGGCGAGCACTCCGTTTCCCAAGTTCCCTATACCAGGTGAGATCCCATCAGGGATATGATTCAAATTTGCTCTAATAAAATCAGGATTTCCGGAATTGCGGATTTGTTCCACTGGCTTTGGACGTATCGATCTTTTACACCTACGCAAACTGGTAGAGTTGATGGGTGCTACTTATGGAGATTTCCTGACGCGGAAAGCATCCGTCTTGATTTGCAATGATCCCAAAACAGCCAGCGTCGACAAACTGCGGCATACTGCCGAGTGGGGAGTTCCAGCAGTGTCTGCTGACTGGCTCTGGATATCTATTCAAACTGGTCAAAAGAAGTCATTTGAGCCATACATTGTCCGACGACAACTACCCCAAAATACTAGCAGCACAGAGAAACTCGGATCTTTGTCTGCTAAGCGAAAGCAGCCCGAGAGAAATCTCGATGAACGGCGAGTGGATTCTCCGTACAACATCTCTACCGAGGCCACGAATGGTAGTAGGACGGAGAAGCGAAATTTAGGGAAGAGTGCTGTAACTCGAACAATCCCCATCGTCGGCGACGGCTTTGAGGCCGATGCACCAAAACCCTCTGTTCCAGAGTCACGATCTCCAACCCCGGCCAGGATACCAGATAAACAAGCCCCAGAGGAACCGAATAACAAACAGCTCACGCCAAGTACCGACTCAGCACCACCGACTGCCCCATCCGCACTAGATACCGCTCTGAGCGGGCTTTTACAGCAAGCCCGGGCTGCCAAGTCACGACAGCAGCCCGAGAGCACTGCGGCTAATGATGACGGAAATCCACCCCGACGAAAGCGCAAGCCCCTCCTCGGCCGCGCCCCATCCCACTCTTCAGCCCGAATGCTAGAAGGCCCGCGTCCCGTCTCACGCGCTAGCTCGATCGACACACTCAATGACGACGGCCTCGGCAGCGCCTTGGAAAGCGCCCAACCGACTAGAGACAACTCCATATCCCGCAGCCACAGCCGTGTCGAACAGAGTCTGTCATCCATGCTCAGCGGCGGGAAATTTGATTTCCTGAATGACAAACTCTCAGCTTATAATGAGGACGAAGATGAGGAAAATCAGGCACCGCAGATGACGCAGCTGGACTATGAAGATCCCGATGCGGCTGCCATGAGGGCCGAATTCTTGAGGGAGGCTGGGAAGTTGTCTGGAAAGACAATGAAGGCCGATACCTCGGGCTTGCTTGTTGGTGAAGTCCGGGAACTAGAGGATATTGGGTGGGGGTCTGGGCGGAGGACGAGGAAACAGCCTGTTAAAGCAGATGATGAATGATTATTGCACATGGGATGGAAGTCTTGGGTTTTTGGTTTTCTCCTTCGTCGGCGAAGGCATGGCATTGCATTGCGAATGGCGTCCTCTTTTGTCTATCTGTTGTTTTGAAAGAGCGATATCTAAATGTTGTCAACGATAGTCCCAGGTTATACATGGAAAAGTCGCTTTCACGCATTGAGCTTCTTACCACTTTCTTTCTGCTGTCCACTTATAAAACTGCCAGGGGGGAGACATTTGCATATCTGAGACCAACCTCTGAAAATCCCACTAAAAAGTCATCACAAGGCCGCATACACGTCCGTATATTTTTGTACAATTTGGTTAAATACCAAGCAAACTAGAACGGATTCAGGCCGAAAACCAGACTGATAGTGACGAGTTTGTCTTGAAAGGCCGAATTGAAGCTGCATTTTGATACTAGACATTTTAAGGACAAAAAGAAAGACGAAGGGAAACCCCTTGATCTGGAGGCCACTAGCAAGAGATATATTGATGAACTAAATGCAATCTTAATTCAAGGGGAATCTTGGTAAGGATTAGACCCCCTCTGATGGACACCATCACGCCATGGAATACAGAAGCCAACGGGGCAACCTTCGGCAGAAATAATTGTGAAGTCGACGTGGAAGAACACCATAGAAAGAGTTAAGTAAAATATGGAGAATGGGCAAGAAAAAGATGTAAACTGTACAAGTTCGGAGGTAAACGAAAAGGAGTCAAAAAGAAACATCGTAGAAATCATGAGTGGTTGTACAAAGGTGGACCTAGGCTTATGTTTGCATTGCCGCGGCCATTCCGCCAGGCAAGGGAGCATCAAGATCCAGATTTTCGATAGAACGGCGGTTCTCGCTGCTGTCCCGGAACAGGTTAGAGAAATACTTGGTAGCGACATCGCTCTCCTGCTTGATTTTGGTAACCTCTTGCTTGCGTCTGCCGAGATCCTCAATATCCTGAGATAGGCAAGTTTGAAGATTTCCGGCAGGCATGCGCAGCATGCGGCGAACCTCAGTCGAGATTCGATTGGCATTTAAGTGGACATAGTCCATCTCAGCAAGAGTGGCGGCGATCTTCCGCGACAGGCGTGGGGGAAGGGTGGACGGGATGGAGCTGAGTACATAAGCTGTGGTCAGAACAGCTTGTATGAAGTTAGTATATTGTTATTCTTTGTGAAAACGAATGGGCAAAACTCACCAGCAGCCAGGATACTAGGCAGGAGCAGCCGGCGCATGTTGTTCGGGCCAATGACCTTGACAGCACTCAATGCACTATCCACCCAACTGAATCCGCCTAATGCCCTACCACCAAGTACAGTGACCGCAGTCATTGCAACGCCTGTTCCTGCCACCTTCTCTTGGCGCTCCCAGAGACCAGCAACATCGAAGAAATCCCACAGCTCAATCTCAGTGTCGACTTGTCGGCCAAATGTGTGGCGACGACCACGGCGGAACATTGCATCCGCGCGGAAGTTGAGGGGAGTGAATTTGTCTTCACCAATGTGTAGAAGACCGATATTTTGGATGAAACCGACTCCTTGAACTGTCTTTTCCCGGGCGTAGTCCTCGCAGTCGTTGACAGATGAAGCGATCTGATCCAGCATGGCCAGCTTCAGTTCCTCGGCGTACTGGAACGCCGAAAAGAGACCATGGTATTCAACACCAAGGTCTGCATCGGAAACACGCGTGATTGTGTTAGTCAATGTCGAGCGAGTGTGATTATAGACGTCATCGCATGAATTGTCAATAGCTTTATTGACGCCTTCTGCAACCTCTCCCTTCTTTTTCTTGCCGTTCTCGAATGCCGGTACAAGTTCCGCCAATTCATCGGTCACTCGCTTGAGCTCCGATTGTGCAACATCGCGATTGACTGTGGCAAGGGAGCAAAGATCAGCTAAGAGATTGAGAAGATAAGTTCTGGCAGGCGCAAGCTTGGACCGCGAGCGCTTTTCAAGGACGAAACGTCGCAAGGCCCCTTCAAGGTTCTCGAAGTCTTGGAGTTTCTCCCGTTCTTTGCCCTTGCCCTTATCCTTGGAGTCCTTATCATCGTCGTCATCATGAGGATCAGAGCCACCGCCGTCACCACCACCAGAGCCAGACTGCGAGATAGCAGGTGCAACAGGTATAGCATTGCTTGAAACGAAATGAACCAGTTCAGAGGCCTCCTTGTATGTGCGAGGGCTGAGTTTGCCGATCTGATCCAAGATCATGCGCTCGCAGCGCTGCTTGTCGCGGATTTGATCAAATCCGTTGACTACCATGAAAATATACGCTTTCTCATGAGCAGCATTCAAGATGAACTCTTTTGCAGACAATGTGAAGTGATTTGCGGCGGAAACTACAAAAACGACGACGTCGATCTCCTCCTGCCGAGCAAAGACGGCCGTGGTTTTCAATGAATCCGAGTTCAAGCCAGGTGCATCGATCAAAGCGATGTCAACCACGCCGTTGTTGAGTAGTGATTCGTCAATAGACCGTACATCCTTCACGTAGACCTTGCACTGCATGTACTTCGTGTTGTCGATGACGATGTTTTCGAGTTCTGTAAGAGAATAGACATCAAAGGTGCTTTCGTCGTTGCGGTTGTATGACGTATCTTTGTGAACAGCGTGGACTTCTTCAATGCTGCCATTTTCGCGTGCATCGAGAACCTCACAGAAGATGCTGGTGCAAGGCTGCTGGTCCTCTGGCAACACCTTTCGGCGCAGGAGAGCATTGCAGAATGTCGATTTGCCCGCGTTCAAGTCTCCTGTAATCAGGACCTTGCTTGAGGTATCCTCAATTCTGTCTCGCAGCGAGAGGAGATGCTTCATGCTTTGGCTGATTTTTCCATCCAACAGGGAGGCAATCGATGCCTTTTCCAACGAATGCACTAGCTCTGCTTGCGAAAGAGCGCCAAGCTTTAGATCCAATTTAAGAATAGAGAACTCTTGCGCAATCTGCGGTGTCATCAATCTAGGCTCTGTCGGGACGCGGCGTTGAGCCGCAGCACTGGATTCTGCCAGTTCGTCGCTAGCTGCAAAAGTGGCTGCGCGCCTCAGATCTGGTCGGGGCGGGGTACCGGGTCTGCTGTCATTGCCACCGAATTCGGACTGAGTCTGATGCAGTGATGGTCGGTCCACGGGGGAAGAGGGTGTGCTCTGCACGGAGGGGTAGTGGGCGGGCCATTGGCGATTCATATCCTGGAGCTCCTTCAGTGTATCGATAGTCCGGGAGATCGCGCGAGCAAGCTTGGTTCGATTTGAGTTGCTGGAAATACTGTAAGTATTGCACTTCCTTGAAGTGGTTGTTTGCGGGGAGGCGAGACATACTAGAGAAGTTGAGAGACATGACTGGCAACCACTTGCTTCTCATGCTCAGCTGTATCCCAAGATAGATTAGCTCAATTTTGTTCCTTCTATGACACACCACTGCATGACCTCGAGTCACCTACCTGTGGGATTCCATTCTCCAGGGCGCGTTGGAGTATGCACCGGAGTCGGCCTATCCTCCATCAAACCTGCGCGCCAAGCAGAGCTTGCATCCTCCTCTGTATCGGCGATGCTGCCTCCATAGCCAGAATCTTGGTTTAGCGAAGTCATCAAGGCCGTGGCGCTGTCCGAAGTCGAACCGCTGCCCACAGTCATATAAGTCGGCGGGGGACGGAAAAAAGGATTCTTCTCGGGAAATTCTTCCTCGCCTGAGAACCTGGACGGGCCAGCTCCAGAAGACGAGCCTTCACCGGGGTGATATTCCTGACTCATGACGGATGAAAGAGCTCAACGTGGGGGCGACATCCATCCAAGGAAAGTTATGTTTTTGGTTGTTTGATTATGAGATGATCAATTTCTTGGAAGGTTTCTAAGATGACGTCGGGCCGAAAGGGGATTAGCGTCCATGTGACCCGGTATTATAGTAATGCGCTCGTAATATTACCATACCCTGATTGATGTCACTATTTCTACTCAGGCTCCTACATTATACTTGGATTTACTTCTCACCTCAAACTGACCGCCCACTATTACCCGCAATCATGAATGTAGGCGCATATTAGATCATTGAACATGGCTCCTTTACTCACAAGAGGCCTCTCAGATCGTCGAGTGGGCTTTCGGAAAGCGCATGACCCCCGCGGAGCGCCTGCGCAAACACCAGCGTGCCTTGGACCGAACACAGCGGGAGCTTGACCGAGAGCGAGTGAAACTAGAAAACCAGGAGAAGAAGCTGGTACAAGACATCAAGAAGAGTGCCAAGAATGGGCAAGTTGGAGCCTGCAAGATCCAGGCGAAGGACCTGGTCCGGACACGGAGGTCGGTTTCTCTTGATTGCTTACTGATGGCAGCATTGACTGATTGTATGGCGAGGAACAGATACATTCAGAAGTTCTATCAAATGCGCACGCAATTACAGGCTATTTCTCTACGCATCCAGGTAGGCGCACGCTCTCCTCCGCTACCCCTCTTAGTACCGCAATACGCTGACTATTGCTGCTTCCAAGACTGTCCGAAGCAATGAGCAGATGATGCAGTCGATGAAAGGAGCTACAATGCTTCTGGGTAGTATGAATAGACAGATGAATCTCCCGGCACTGCAACGGATCGCGATGGAATTTGAACGAGAAAATGACGTTATGGACCAACGGCAAGAGATGATGGATGATGCGATCGACGAGGCCACAGGAATGGAAGGTGAAGAAGAGGAAGGAGAAGATATCTTGAAGGAGGTTTTGGACGAGATTGGTGTCGATCTGAACCAGGCGGTTTGTTCCCCGGCCCCCAAACATCGGAAGTCAGACCCTGCGGACTAACATATTCCATCTACAGCTTGGTGAAACACCCGACCACATACAGAAAGCACCAGTGAATGAAACTCGAGTTGCACAGGCCATTGGAGGGGGAGGCAATACGAGTGATGATGACCTCCAAGCAAGACTGGACAGCCTTCGGCGATGATTACGACCTTCTCTGTTATACGCGATTGATGACAGTGATAATGCGACCTGCTATGTTGAGCCCTAATTGAGTTTACCGTTTACCTGCCTTGCTGTTATTATTAGCATACCCAAGATATTTTTGCAACCTTAGACCCGGCTTCTCCAGGACATTCCGTTTAAGAACATTGAAGGGTGCAGATGGCGAAATTTGCGCCGGGCTATCTCTACGGAGAATGGGCCCACATAATGTTGTAACCTACTGGATGGAATATGGATTGCAACCGGCCAATAAACCGTGGTGATTGGTTGAGAGGAGAGATATAGTTCGACATTCAATAGAATATTGATTTAGCAATTATGTTTAAATTCTAAAACATTGTAGTGTGATCATCGGCGTAGATCTATGGATGCTAGACCATTTAATATGATTCAACGTAGCCTTATTATCCCTAAACCCTTGAACTTGGTTAAAGGTTATACATAGAAAAGTCTCTTACAAAAAATGTGCTTTCGTTTCTTTTTCTACCGTCTACCTATAAAACTGAGAACTTGGCCGTGGCCGTGGGGGCGCGGTTCCCACGGTGGGTCCGCCCCCGGCTAGCCCGTGACCGCTGAAGAGCCTCTCATGGGCCAGTGGCCGCCTAGCCTAAGCCACCCTTCCGCTCCCTACAACCCATCATATATCATCCATTCTATCAATAGATAGACTAATGAATTATATTAATAATACCAAATTATATAGACGATATCAGTATTGACCTAGATGGTCTAGGCCCACTCCACTTAGAGGAACAGCCATACAGCTTTGTTTTCTTCTTTTTTCCTCTTTTTTCCTCTTTTTTTTTGCTTTTTTTTTTGCTTTTTTCAAGATCAATTAATTCCTCCTTCGGGCACTCCGGGACGTTGAAATATACTTAGAGCTAGAGGCTCCGGTTTATCTATTCTTTTTAAATGATGAAATGAAGAACACTGTCGGCTGTGAAGGGCCACTAATTCTCTCAATAATAAACTTGCATTACTAAAACACTATTCTGACTATAAAGGCAAAAGCCTTAAGATGATTCCTCTTGGAGGGATGAGCCTCCCTCGTATTGAGAGGGAGGTACTTCCTCATATTCATGATCATCAGATTCATCAGAATATGTAGAGTAGTCAGAAGAATCAGAAGAATATACAGAGGAACCAGAAGAATTATATCCCGGGCTATGAAGTATGGGGATTGACATACCATAGTCCACTGATATACTTGACCATGGGACACCTTTTCGGCCCTCCATACGGTTTTCATCATGAAATTCCTTGATAAAAGGTCTTTTCAAAGGACGACCAGACTCTAGTTCTTCAGCAGACCATCGAGAAAACCAAGGGAATGATGATAACTCTTCCAACGACGGCCGGTCGGACTTGGCTCTAGACAATGTGGTTTGTAACACATCCCTGCAGTCCTGTGAGAGTGTTTCGCTGATTACTACATCCTCGTTAATCATTCTCTTACGTCTGCATTTGACTGTGGGGTAGAACGGGTCATTGTAAGGACCATTATACCTCTCATGCCATCCCATACCTCTCGGGACTGGTTCAGGCTTATCCCAGGGCCAGAAGCCATGCAGAAACCCGTAAACTAGAGTTGAATATTTCCATATGCAAATTTCCCGCAGATCTATAGGTAAGTGGGCCATTTCGATGCCGACATCATCATGGCATGTATCCCTCCAAGTGTCGTACTTCTCTAGTTCGATGGCTCGCTCAGGCATCATCTGGTACTCATGATAGGGGATAAAGTGATCTTTCTTCAGTGTAAAACCCGAGTTCGTAAGCGAGAAGTGGTAAATTCCAAGATCGATCAGCTGGACGTTCAGGTTTTGGTCCATGAGATAGTTTGTCACCGACATATCACCGTGGTAGACGTGCATATCAGCCAACTCCACCATAGCCTGGAGAAGCTGGGAAGCAACTTTACAGCCTTCTATTTCTTCTAGTTGGGGCTCTTTGGTGGCGGACATGAGATAGCTGCCATCAAAAGCTGGAAACGGGGGGTATCTCTTTCGGATGCGCGGTATGGCCCCCTTTGACTTGATTCTGTCAAAATGACTCTCATCAATAGTTGATACGGCTTCATAGCTAGGATCAACACAGGGAGTCATAAGAATTGCTGTTAGCATACCATGAGTGTAGACCGAGTTGAGCTGCGGGAATCTGTTGCTATCATCGAGATACATCAGAAGGAGAGCTTCTTCTGGCATATACCGTTTTTTCCCGGTAGGCTCACGAAATGCCACCATATAAGATACGTTATCTTCTTTCATCTGCGTATACCGTGTTTTGTAGACTTGAGATTTGATTGCGTATTGTTCAAGATCCTCCAGGGAAGCACCAGTAGCGCCTCTCTCGCGTGCAATAAACGTGACACCATATGCTGTGATCTCAGTTAGCAATGTATATAAAAGATATTGGATGAAGGGAGGATAATGATCTTACTTCCTGCGCCTAGGAATCCATATATCTGCACTCGCTCTTGAAGGTCCGGACAAAGGCATACCGCCTTGGCAGTGGTCCTCCCCTCAGCACTCAAACGGATGAAATCTCCATAAGAAGTCTGGTTACCATTTTGGAACATTGAGCTGTCGCATCTGTAACCTAAATTATCCGGGCAACTACACCTCGAGTATTCCTCATTATTCCGTTTGCTAAATGCTACCCCTAGACGTTCCCGAAGAACCTGACTCAGTTGGGGATATCTTTGAGACAATTGGCTTGAAGGGTCTAACAAAGCCTCGACATTGTCATGGAAGCTAGTCTCGGGGCGTCGAGAGAGCGGCTGCAAGGGAGGGCGGTAGCTATGATTCCCTTTGATTGCGCCCAAGTCTCTGTCTAGGAGGTAATTAAAAGCGTAAGGATCCTGTGGGTCAATGCTGTGTTCAGTCATGGTATAGATTAATTAAGAGAAAAGTAGTGTGGGAAGTGAGGAAAGCTCAAGGAGTGAGGCTCAGTTATATACAATATTCAAAGAAATTCAATCTATTGTTCTCATAGACAAAGGTTCTATAAAAGGAAAACAATTCGAGTTAATTCCTACAAAGAGCCTCATGTTACCAAGGCTACCTGGAATTAGGCTGCTAAAGTTGCCTTTTATCAGATTCTCGTATTCGCCTAATATCTACATGAGCTACCCGGGTGAGTTAAAATATCAGGCGTTCGTCGATTTGGCCCCCACTGGGGCGTTTTCAGCCTCACACCCGGGCGAAAGAAGGTCAGATGAGATCTAGTACAAACAATGTATATAAACACTTAGAACTCCCCTGCTGAGTTCAAAGAATCATATAAGTGATTTCTCAAAGAAACCAACAAAGAGACTCTTCCAAACCAATGTCTGCCCTTAATGTCGACAATTCGGCACTCTGCAAAGACATCCCAACAAATCCATTGTCTCCGGTCGATCTTTCGCAATATGCCCAGAAAGATCCAGGCTCCCAATCACCGAGTATTATTTATGAGGGCTTCGCCTTTTCCAAGGCTATGCCCGAGGAAAGTGCTACCTGGACATGCGTGAAACGGACACCCATGCATCTGAATCAAGACGAGTACTCCAAACTGGTCCAGAAGAGGGCAAATAAGAAGTCCACAGCGCAGCAATACCAGGGCCTACCCTCTGATACCCAACGCGCTCATATCAATCAACTGATTGACGAACTAAAGCACAATAATCCACTTGTTGAGTGGAGCTTCGTCTATGTTAAAGAGCACACAAAGCTATCCAAGGCCCGACATACTCGTCGCCGTGACCATGAAATGGGCACCATGGATGTCATAGTCATGCAAACGCCCATGAGGGCCCAAGCATATTCCAGGCTTTGGTCGGATACAAATAATTCGCCTATATGGTCTCGTCACGGGCAGCATCCTCTACCGCCAGACCAAAATGGGAATATTTTGCGGCCTGTACTTCAACTGCTGCCCTCCCAACTGGCCCAAGCGATGATTCCTTTTGCACCTTTGAATGCAACTCAGGGCCCGGCCTTTCCGGATGGCCAGTTTGTAAATGCACATCCAGAGCTTGAGACAAGTCACTCAACAGCATCGCGAGACCAGTTGCGTGAATCTGCCAGGTCAAATGTAGCCAGCAACAGTGGACTAGCAGGTCCGGGCTTCAGTGTTACAAACAAGGGCAACATGAGTCTTGAGCATACTTCAGATTGTTCATCTGATAGTGACAGCGACTCAGATGATGCATCTATGCTCTCTGATCAATCAGATGACACATCTGCAACAGACGACCTAGAAAGCATGGAGACCGAGACCGAGACTGAGTGTCAAGAACCACAACTAAATCGGGCCTCTATCCGACAACAGAATGCCAGTCCTTATCGTCGCGAGTCGATTTATGGGCCTCATTCTCCTCGGAAGTCCCAAAGCCGTAGCCTTGACAGAAGACATGACAGGAATACCCGTCTCCGCGACCAATTTGAGGTGCCTCCAGCCAAGACTTTTAGCCCAAGACGGGCTGAGAACGCTCGATCAGGCTCAGTGCCCGGTAAAAGATATCGAATGCAGCTTATTAACGACAATGAGATTCGCAGCCGAATGCTTGATCACCGTGAAGCAAGCCTTGGACACCGGGAGAAATGGCTGAAGAAAACCATTTCTGAAGCGCGTCAGCTTGAGCGTCGTCAGCCAGTGAAGGATCAGCCAACAGTATGTCGCTGTACCTGCCGTTGTGCAATCAAGAAGAGTGAAGCTGCATGACAGATACATCATTTTACTTTGGATAGAGTTGGATAGTTTTGGATATGTATCGGGTATGTTTGGATATTGCTACTGGTTTCCTTTTCAATTGCGCAGTTACGTAGTTTGGAATAGTCAGATTGATACAGACTCGGGAATTTGATCAGTGTTAGGTATAAGACATCTTATATAAGACTATATATATTAAAAAATCTTACTAAAAGGCTGGTACTAGAAACAAACATTCCCCAGGTTCCTCCTCTACTGCTTATGATTGATCTTTCTCTTAGCTCACATTAATAGTTTTCTTTTCTTTTTGCCCTCTCTATATCTTTCATTTATATTAGTCTTTATTCTATTCTCTAACTGGCCAAGGTATTCATCCTGACAAGAATATAGCCTCAGCCATAAAAGATACCTTACTTTTTGCGAGTGGCTATGGCGCTACGCAAGAACTAAATATCCTTAACAAGACCCTCCCGAAAATTAGTTCATTCGTGAGCCTAGTACAGTCAAACCTCCATATAACGAACCTCTATATTACGAATTCCTCTATATAACGGATTAAAAATTTTCCCAAAATTGATTTCCCATATATATAACGAATAACCTCCTTTCTACGAACTTCGTTAATTCTCGCCACCCCCCCATACTAAAATCCGTTATACCCAGCCGACCTGGCCTGTGCGCACCTCACTTTGTCATCGTTTCCGAGATTCAATATGCCTCGCCGTGTAGCAATTTCTATCGAGCAAAAGCAAGCCCTACGAGCGCACCGGCGCGCCTTTCCTACCTTTCCAAACATCGAGCTTAAGCGCTGGTTCGAAGCCAAATACCAGCAGGTTATCTCAGCATCCTCGGTCTCCGAAATCCTCTCTGCGAAATATACCCACCTTGACAACCCAATCAATCGTACCCAGAGCCAGAAACGCTTCCGACAGGAGTTCTGGCCAGAGCTCGAAGACGCCCTCTTCCAGTGGATCCAACGTGCAGAGGCTACAATCACTATTTCGTCATATACGATCCGCGAGAAAGCCGAGTTTTTCTGGATGAATATACCCCAATACCAAGGGCTACCAATGCCTTCATTTAGCAATGGCTGGCTTCAAGGATTTCAATCCCGCCGAGGGATCGCGCACCGTATACAACATGGCGAGCTAAATAGCTCAGTCTCAGCACCCGCTGAAATGCAGTCTATCCGACAAGCTATCGCCCACTACGAACCAAGGGATATATATAACTGCGATGAGACTGGGCTTCTTTGGAAGCTAACCCCGGATCGTAGTCTATCTACACGTACAATCCCAGGCCGGAAGCGGGAGAAAGCCCGGGTTACAATCCATCTTTGTTGTAATATGGATGGCTCCGATAAAGTGCCTCTCTGGTTTATTGGACAAGCTCAGAAACCCCACGCCTTCCGTCGTACCAATATCAATATCCAGAACCTCGGGGTTTATTGGCGTGCTAATAAGAAGGCCTGGATGGTGAGCTCAATTATGGAAGAATGGCTTCGGTGGTTTGATCTTCGGATGGCTGGCCGTAAGGTTGTTCTTTTATTAGACAATTTTTCGGCCCATATATGCGCAGTCAATAAGATCAATTCAACCTTACCGTTACAAAATACCCTGATTATCTGGCTTCCGCCAAATTCAACTAGCGAATATCAACCGCTTGATCAGGGTATTATTCGTACGTGGAAGCACTATTGGCGAAGAGACTGGGTGCGGTATATGCTTCATGAATATGAAGCTGGACGGGACCCGTTATCTACAGTTGATATACTCCAAGCGATCCGGTGGGGTATTGCTGCGTGGGAGTTTCATTTGAAGATTACTACCATTAGTAATTGTTTCAATAAAGGATTATCACTTCGTGGTGCTGAGATTCCTATACAAGCCGAGGATACTACGATCTTAGATATTGAGGCTGGTTTACAAAGGCTCTCATTTATCTCTGCTATCGAGAACCCTATGGATATTCAGCACTTTCTTAATCCTGAAGAGGAGATTGTTACCGATAGCTCCGAGTCTATTGACCTACAAATCCTCGCTCAATTCCAGGCGCCTGATGATGAAGAGGAAGAAGAGGATCCTGAGGTTATGCCTAAAGTGTCATCGGCTAGTGCACTTGAAGCCGTGCAACTGCTACAGCTCTATCAGGAGCAACAGGAGGAGGGTGATATTAAGCTAATTCATACTCTGAATAAGCTTAGGATGGAGATCCAGGGGGGCATCGCCCAGAATCGCCAGCAGGGAGACATTCGTTCATATTTTAGTATTTAATATATGGTGTATTCTATATAACGGATCCCTGGTTATAACGAATAATTTCATTCCCAAAATTAATTCGTTATATAGAGGTTTGACTGTAGAGTCCTAGTGATGTGTTTCTCTTTGATGAACTTTGTATATAGAAAAGAGATTGAATATTAAAGTTGAGAGCAAAACCAAACGTATGATGTCTACCCCGGTTAAGGAACCCCCGGTGAGCCCCGAGGGTGACCGATGTCATAATTGACACCTAATAATTCAGGCAATAGAACAGCATGCCCCTCCATTTAACTAATACCAATTTACTTTCCCTTCTTCTTTCTCTTAGCTATCAACATCCCATACATTTCTCCTTTCCCTCTTCAATTCACATAATCTTTCAATATGCCTCGCCAATTCTTCGTCGGTGGTAACTTCAAGATGTATGTCATCTCGAGCTTCGCTACCCCGCGGTCTCAAATCCCTCAATTCTTTGCCTACTCGTTCCATGAAAGACCGCGAAATTGACACTATAAAGGAACGGTGTTGCTCAGAGCATCACCGAGATCGTGAAGAACCTCAATTCTGCCAAGCTCGACGACAGCACCGAGGTCGTCATCTCTCCCCCCGCCATCTACCTCGCTCTGACCCGCGAGCTCGCCGACCCCAAGATCGGCGTTGCTGCCCAGAACGTCTACGACAAGCCCAACGGTGCTTTCACCGGCGAGATCAGCGTTGAGCAGCTCCGCGATAACAAGATCAACTGGGCTGTCATCGGCCACAGCGAGCGCCGCGTGATCCTGAAGGAGTCTGATGAGGTATGCATACCCGCAGTCCCCCAATCATCCGTAAACACCACAGCCAAATGAAACGCAAACTAACGACCGCCCAATAGTTCATTGCCCGCAAGACCAAGGCCGCCATTGAGGGTGGTGTCTCTGTCATTTTCTGCATCGGAGAGACCCTTGAGGTACGTCATTCCCTACTCCGATTTCCCATTTTCGTCCCGATAGTGGGTCATCGGGTGAAGACCGGCTATATGTTTTCTGAATGCATCCCGCTCACACCCGATTTCTTATGCAGGAGCGTGAGGCCAACAAGACCATCGATGTCGTCACCCGCCAGCTTAACGCTGCCGCCAAGGAGCTGAGCCCAGAGCAGTGGGACAAGGTCGTCATTGCCTACGAGCCTGTCTGGTATGAACTTACCCCGTCGTCTCTATAGCAACATATCTCAGGACATAGCTGACATCTATCTGTAGGGCTATCGGCACCGGAAAGGTCGCTACCACTGAGCAGGCTCAGGACGTGCACGCCGCTATCCGCAAGTGGCTCGCCGACTCCATCTCTGCCCACGCCCAGGAGAGCGTTCGCATCATCTACGGTGGCTCTGTCAGCGAGAAGAACTGCCGCGAGCTCGCTACCCAGCCCGATGTTGACGGTTTCTTGGTTGGCGGTGCCAGCTTGAAGCCTGCCTGTAAGTCATCGGCACATGCCAATCTACCGAAACCATTCACCCAAAATTGGTACTAATCAACATCTGCAGTCGTCGACATCATCAACGCCCGCATCTAAGGGGTTTCCGAATGAAACTAATACCCCCATAGTGCCCCTATTATCAGAGTAAATAGCTCTGGCCTGTAGGCGTTAGTAGAAGACAAAAGCTTGGAATGTCAAGTATATTATCATGAATCTATGTACAATTCTGAAGTATATTTGGATATCACATAATCGTTGCTACCCCAGCGGAGCAGTTATATTCCTGGCCAACCAGACCATCCAATGATATGCGCCTAGACAACAAACGCGGTCATATATAGCATGTATCTTATGAAGAGTATAACACCGAAACCCCAACCCCACGCCAATACGACATCCCAGGAGCCCCGCCTCCACTTTGAGCCGAGCCGCTGGCTGAAGCCGAAGAAACAGAAGGCGATGATGAGAACGAACCCGGACCCAGCCCGACGCCCGCGCTCACCAGAAGCTCTTTGACACGGCCTTCCCAGAGAAGCCGCACATTCCAAGACTGATCAATGCGCAGCTTAATGACAGAGTCACTCGTTTCGGCCTCACTGTGAGAATTAGAACCCAAAGGGCCCTCGGGACGGGCCGGGTCCCCTAGCAGTGGGGAAGCCGGCGACCCAGGCAGGGAAACGCTAAAGTCATGCATGCGCATTTTGCGGCGTGCCCATTCGAGATCGTCGTCGCTGGACGAGCTAGATTTCTTGTTTTGACGCCATAGCTCGCAGCCAGCGACCATTTCGCTTTCCCAGCTGTAGACGTTAAAGCCGAAGCGAGAGCTGAAGGCGAGGTTGGGCGAGGCGCGGAGGGAGTATGTTGTTGATAAAGAGCCCACAATCGGTGCCAATGTTAGTGTTAGAGTGTATGGGAAGGTTGAAATGGGTGCTGGGATGCTGGAATGTGATGATGATGATGATGATGGCGGGACCTCCGTGGCTGCTGGTAATGTGGTGAATCGTAGGCCAGTTGACATGCCGATCAGCGATGATATGGGTGAATAGTATGCCTCTGCACCTGCTGAAAGGAGAGACAATGGTGGCGGGACGCCCTTACGAGGGTATCGAGGATCTGGGCCGAAGTTCCAGAGTCCGCGCCAACCGAATAGGGCGTTGTCTGTACTGAAGAGATACTCGTTGCTGTACTTGCCCGTGTCGTGGGATAGCTGGGTGAGGAATGAAGCCTGTGGTGCGGACTTTGATTGCGGTGGTCCTTGAGTTGAGCAGACAGCTAGGGACAGCTGCATATTGGTAGAGATTCTGCGTAGAAAGAGCGCATATAGAGTGGTGGGAGGTGGAAGATGGAGAGAAGCATGGAGGAGAGTAGCTTTCCGCTTTGTCTCATTCTCTCTGCTGTCTTCTCCATCTTTAAGATTTGTTTGTTCTGGGTGACTTCTGGCTTTGAGCCCGGGAATGCTCACGCTGTCTAATAGTGAGTCCGATCCCCATATCTGGATCGGGGCCGCGGGGGCCTGCACTTGGCGGTATCCCGGGGATATCTTTCGAAGCGGGATTGATGCGCTCCCACTTGGTAGGTTGTTGAATGGTACGGTGCTGAATAGGTATGACACAGATCCATCGAGTAATCCAACTGTGCCGAGTGTGTAACTGGTCGCAAAATGGGGAGTGGCCAGTGACGAAAGGTGAACGCGCAATCGTTCGGGGGTCGAGAATTCTAGGATCGCTGCATCAAATAGGTTAGACCAACCATATCCATATCACATAAAGAGACCTCCAGGGATAAGTTAATTGCATACATTGAGCGGTGGTGTTGAGTGACGAGTACGAGTTGTCGCGATTCCAGTGGGTCGCCTCCGCGAAGGATAGCTGGATGTAGTCCATAAAGTCCAGCATTGTCCGGACTAAGCCCCTGTAGGCGACAATATGACTAGCTCCGTAGAATCAAAGAAAATAGCGTTTAAAGCAAAGGCAATTGGAATGAACTGACAGTGAGAGATCCCAGCTGATTGCCCCATTCAGGTTAGCGCTGGATAAGCCCGGCAGTAGGTTAATCCGGTTATCAGCGAAGAAAAAATGTCTGTGGGGGAAACATCCAACCTTCTGTCTGAATTCATTGAACCACCAATTCTAAAATCATAATCCATCATGCCTCGTTCAAAGCGTGCGCGCGTCGTCCACGAGTCGAAGACTGCCAAGAAAGATCACAAGGAGCAGACCCGCCGGCTATTCGCCAACATTCGGGAATGTATCGAAGAATATGATCACCTTTTTGTCTTTGCGGTCGATAACATGCGGAACACCTACTTGAAGGATGTGCGCACTGAATTTTCCGACAGCCGGTAAGCATCATTACTCCAATCGGAATTTGCTTGAGATATTGAATCGGAAAAGCGCTTGAATACCAGCGGTGGATCCGATATCAAATATTGATATGCAAATCCTTCAACCAAGATCAGGTACCTAACAATATCATTATAGAGTTTTCTTCGGCAAGACCAAGGTTATGGGCAAGGCCCTTGGCTCTGATATCGAGAGCGAAGCTGCTCCCAACCTGCGCAAACTCACTCCTTTCCTCGCCGGCGCCGTTGGATTGCTCTTCACCTCTCGCACTCCGGAATCAGTGATCGAATACTTCGAGACCTTCCGCCCCCAGGATTTCGCCCGCGCTGGAACCGTGGCCACCCGCTCTTTCACCATTCCCAACGGTCTGGTTACCGCTCGGGCCGGCGAGATTCCTGCTGAGCAGGATGAGCCCGTCAGCCACACCATTGAGCCCGCGCTCCGCAAGCTCGGTGTCCCCACCCGTTTGGTGAAGGGCAAGGTCATGCTCGAGTTGATGGAGGGCCAGGAAAGCTACCCCGTATGCAAAGAGGGAGAGACTCTGGACTCACGACAGACTACGTTGATGAAGATGTTCGGTGTCACCTCGTCCGAGTTCAAGGTCGATCTCAAGGCCTACTGGACGCGGAGTACTGAGGAGGTCAAGCTTCTTGAGAGTGAGGGTGGAATGGATGTTGATGCATAGATGGGGATCTTCATATTTTTCCGTTTTTTATTACTTCTTCTCTTTCCCATTCGGCTTCCGTGTGGCCGAAAAAAAGAACTCTGCTGGGCATCTTATGGAGTTTGGTGAGGGCGCTTTCTTTGCAAATATATTGAAGACTTGTGTTTTTTATCTCTCTTTCTCTCATCCTTATATGGGGGGGGGCTTTCCCTCCTGCTGGATTATGAGCCTATGACAAGATTCGAATACCAGGTCGAAAAAAAGTCTACAAATTTACTTCGTTCTTGGGCATTGATCAAATGTAGTGCAGAACCGCTAGCTGTATTGCCTAGACTTTTATCTATCTAGCAAGATACCTGCCTTCAGTCATTTCACATGGTCCTTACCTGGTCTTACCTGATGGTTCACCAGATTCCGTTTCGCACGGAGGACCGACTAAAATACAGATACTTACCCCTGCAGAGTAAACGAAATTTCATTAGGGGCGAGGGGATGAAAAGGAAAAGAAAAGAAAGAGCATTGGAACACAAGTGAAGAAAGAAAACACCCAAGGGAAACAAATATAGAGAGAACGGGGGAATACAAGCACAATTCATGAGTCTCCATCTGCCAGGGAGTTTAGGTGGACCAAGCAGAGGATATGGAGAATAACCACATTGGCATCGAGTTTTGATGCTGATATCGCGGCATGAGGTGGAAAACATGGACGGTTGTGATCGTTACAATGGACCAAATTGCACATGGGTCAAATTCATGATTTACCCCCTTACCCTTGAGAAAGAGTGACGAAAACTGGGTAGATCAGTTATACCCACCAGCAAACCCAGACTTTGATCAGAAAGAGGTAGGATCCAGGGGATAAGTAAAGGCTTAGTACCTTCTCCTAGAACGAGGATCATCGTGTCCAGGTTCATCCTCACGGTTTCGCTTGCGTCCATAATCCTCCCGGCCGCCATCACGGCCACCATCGCGACCACCATCACGGCTGCCGCCGCCGCCATACCTGTCACCACCACGCTCACGATCCCGGTCCCGGAATCGGTCTCCTCCGTTTCTGTCTCCCATGCCTCGGTCTCCCATGCGGTCACGATCGCGATCTCTGTAACGGTCGTCGCGGTCATAGTCGCGGCGGTCACGGTCAGCAAAGCTGTCTCGAGGCCGCACAGGCTCTGAATTGCTGCCAGTTACACCACGGTCGAATCTGCCGGCGCCACCGCCGCGGTCACCACCACGATCACCGCCGAAGCCACCTCTGAAACCTCCGCTACGTCCACCGCCAGGGCCGGAGGGGGCGTTGGGGGGAGCCTGTCCACCGAAGCCGCCACGGTTACCCTGGTATCCGATACCACCGCGAGGACCACCAAAGCGATCACCACCAAAGCGATCACCGCCACCGCGGAAACCTCCACCACGGAAGCCACCACCTCCGCCTCGGCCACCGAAGCCTCCTCGGAATCCCCCTCCATACCCACCTGGTCCAGATGGTGCGTTGAAACCAGGGCCACCGGGGCGGGAAGGCATGGCCTTGGTGTATCCGCGCCCTCCGAGACCGCCACCAAAGCGACGAGGCTTCCATCCCTTGGTGGTGCGGCCGCGCTCGACATCTACCAGGACTCGTCGGTCTTTGATTCGGATGCCATCTGTTTCTTTGTAGGCCGCTGAAATTGGGGAAATAACTGGTGTTAGCATCATTTCTTACCACATGACGGAGTAGTTGAGTTGGGTTAGTGCCAAATGAATTGGCATGGTGATGATACCTTTCATATCCTTCTCGCGCTCATACACGATGAATGCATAGCCTTGGTGCGCTTTCTTTTTCTTCTCTGATACTGTATCTTTGACCAGTGTAATCTGCCAAACAATGTTAGCGCTCGTAGTTTTCAATAAGCATAAGAAAAGCAAGACATACTCTTTCAATGGGGCCAAATCGGCCAAATTCTCGTTCCAGGTCGGCCTCTTTGACTTCATAACTGAGGCGAGCAACAAAGAGAGTCTTGAATGGGTCACCTCGAGCTTGAGGATCTTTCTCCGGATTAACTATAAGACATATCAACGTTAGCATCTTGAAATGAAGATAAAAGTGAGGAGAAGATAAAGCGTACAGTTTTGCAGTCCATCCGCTATCTGCTTCTCCAGGCGCTCTTTCTTCTCAGTCTTCTGGCGCAATTTACGCTGCACCCAGCTTTCGGTTGCATTGTAGGGAACTTCATCGGCGAAAGTTTTAGCATCGGCAAGGAACTGGGCAACTCCAGAGATAGTGCTCTTTTGGCAGTCGTCTGGTGCGCGATCGGTTGGAGGCAGATATCGAAGGGGTGGACGAGGCTGGAATAGCGCCAAAAGCGGCGGTGGGAGCTTATCTGTCATAATGAGTTGTGAACCCAATGCAGACAAAGTCAGGACGTGGGGTAAAGACGATGTGTGGAAGTCGATCAGGAGTGAGAGAGCTTCGCGTCGCAGTTCTGGTCTTAGCGTCGAATGATGGAAGTTCACTGCACTTGCCATTGGTGCCACGAGCTCACCGCCCTTGTCAGTCACGTGCACCAGAAAATGCCCCGGAGAGCCATCGCGACTTGTAAACTACGACGATAATTATTGACTACCAGCACAATGCCTTTGCGCGGAATTAGAACGTCTACGGCGGCCAGGGTATGTGATCTCTAGATATATGATATGCAATTGCCGAACTGACTCAGGTGATCTGCTTAGAACGGCGCCGGTGCCTTCATCCTGCAATGCAAACGCCTTGACTTCCATTACTGCAACTGGGCGGGCAGCTCAAAGGGCATGGTGTAGGTATACCCTAAATGGTGTAATTTGCATTTCCAGAAACATCCGGACTGACATTAAATGTCGCAGTGCTTTCCTGGAGAAAAACCTCCCCGCCTTCGCCCGCGAAAACCCTCAGATTGAGATCCGTGTCTCTCCCCGACCCCAGAAGCACCCTCTGATCAAGGGCATCTACATCAACGGCCGTGAGAAGCCCGTATGTGTACGGAACTTGGATCCTAGCGAAATCCTGAAGAAGGCAAACCTACTCAAGGAAGCCAGTGGAGAGAAGTTGAAGCGGGTCAAGAAGCCAGTCACAAGTTTGAATGAGAGTGTGCGTGGTATCTGGTCACCGTACCACGGCGATCTTCGGGGTGTTTAGACGGGGGTGTTTTGTTCTTTTACGGTTCTTGTTCTCTCAGCGGTGGTGATTATCAGGTATCTCCACTGCAATCTACTGTACTATTGACCTGGGTTCTGTTTTATTTCTTCATTCTTGTCTATTTGCTACCTGGAAGCCAGTGGTGTTTTGAACCCATATTTTATGCATACCAAACTCAAGCCTGCATCAATTTGAAGACAGCAAGTCTGCAATGAACAATTCGTACTTCAAGATTAACGGTGATGATTCGAACCTTGCTGTGGCCATGGCACGTAGCGCTTTAACCTCAACAACAATTTCAGAGGTCCAGGCCCAGCTCTGGCAGGGCGCCAACGTCACTTGCGTGCTCAAATATGGCACCCAGGGATTGTTGCAGTCCTGCAGATACGGCGCTAGTACTTTGGCAAATATGTCCCAGCTAGCGGAGCCATTTCTGGCAGAGCTCCCGAGTGGCTATAACACTGGACTCTATGAGCAATTTATCCCTCGATTCAATTCGAGTGCTCAGTATGACACGCTTAGAGAGGAGGTGCACTGGGCCAGGCTAAATACCCGATAGACACTCATCGTCTCTTGACCATTCGATTTATCCATCACCCCAGCTACGACACACATGTCCAATTCTATTCGGAATTTGGGTCTTTTCTCCATTAAGTTGGGTTTAGCTCGAGATATGGACTGAAATCTCTCTATAGTTACTCAAATGACCAGCTACCACCTAATGAGCGGCTTGTAGATAGAAGCAATAAATTTATAATTGAATGGATGGCTTTTTAAGTGCAATATAAATGAGAGCTCGTATCCATGCAAGGCCCTCAAACCCCTATAAAAGTTGGGATCTAGATCGCGAATACTAACAGGCTGAGCTCGTGTGGTAAGCCAGCGACCAATATCAATGAAAAGGTAATAGAGAATAAACTAACCCTTGCTGTGACTTATTTCGGCTCATCATCGGCCATCTCGTCCCAAAAAGCCGCAGCACCGTCCTCCTTATGAGAGCGTTCCTTCTCGTAGCCCTTACTGAACCAATAACCTGCAACGTCATTCTCTTTAGGAGAGCGTTCCTCCTCGTAGGCCATCTCAGATTTTAAAGTGGCGACTGCTTCATTGGGCGAGCTAACGGGGACTGCAGCTACAAAGGAGGCAGAAAGCGCAACAAGAAAAGCAGATCGGAACCTCATTTTAACAGGGTGAGGGAGAAGATCTAGGTTTTGGTATTGTGTAAATTGGATAGAATGAAGAAGCAAATCGTGAGTAAAAGCGCAGGAAGTGGCCGGTCTTTATAGATATTTAGAAACCGACGCGTCTCAAGTCCCAGAAGCAACTACACTTACTGGAGTGATGCATCAATACCTAACTAGACGTATGTTCACGTTCCACCAATGTAACAATGCATGAGCATCAATTCCGATGACCCAGCATTGCCCCTAAACGGTAAGAGAAGCAATTACACACTTCTGAGATACGTCCGTATGTCCTTCGGTTTTATGGCTAGTGGCAGCTATGGATCCCACAGATAGATACCACCTTTGTACCGGGGTATCTGGCCAAATCTAGTATGGCAGAACCCTGTAAAACTTTCACTAAGTTCCTTTCCCAGAGCTTGTAATCGTGTCAGAGAACCAGCCGAAGCTATCAGCTCTTTCTTCACCCTATTCTATTCCAGTTACGTGTTTCCCAACACCACGGATTTACTAAGAAAAGGACGAAAATATCTGTTTCTTGAGCAAAAAGCAAAATGGTGGTCACGTCATCTAATATGAGGGTATCCCAGTCTCAGGAATACCTCTCATCAGAAGAACATGGAGAGCAAGATAACTTGCCTCTCATCGGGATAAAAAAGTCCCACATCCATCGACGTTGCTGCCAGGTGTTGTTCCTAACGGCAATGTATATTGTATTGTTTGGAGGGGCCTTCTTGCTGTTTACTGCATCGCTCACCATTCTTGCACCCAGTGACCTGAAATGTGCGATGCAGTTATCATCTTACTGTGGGTCCCAAGCTGCCTGATCGAGCGGCCCGGAACCATTGGCAGATCTGCTAATTGTAACCATCTTAGCCCCAATGCTAGAGGCAGTAGAATATTACGAGGTCGACTGGGCAAACGAGTTCTATCAGGAGTCCATCTATCGGGGATCGCCGACTCCAAAGTTAGAAATCGCATGGGATGGTCTTTGGAGACGTGTGTATTGTAGTAGATCTCAGTCTTCTTTGGCCAAGCCGCTAAATATGTATAGAAAATGATATCAACGTTCCTCTGAACAAGTTATCCTCGCTCAATCGATCGGCGAATACGAATTGGAAGCTAACACCCGCGCAATATGGTGGAGGCGCCGAAGCTAACGTAGAGGTGTTCCATCAGCTACATTGTCTGGTATGTGGATACCGCCCTACCTCGATATCTGAGTTGGGTGACTAATTTCAATTTCTGGTGTTAGAACATAATTCGACAGTACACCTACCTAGACTCATACGAAGTGCCACCAGAGGGATTACAGAGATCCTCAGAGATGTCTAGAACCCATGTTGATCACTGTATTGAGACGCTGCGTATTCATCTCATGTGTGCAGGAGATGTGACACCTGTGCTGGTGAGGCTGGATAACTCCACGCCGCTTGGGGCCGAGGCAGATTTCTCGACGCACCATAAATGTCGCCGATTTGATAAGTTGACTGAGTGGATGGAGATGCACGCTATACCCACAGAGGAGCATTAAAGATTCATCATAGATAATGCTGTTGTAGATGCATATTCGAAATTTCCGAACTACCAGCAGACTGTCACTTCTATCCACATTAGAACCCCTCTTATAAGCTATTTCTAACAAATACCTAAGTTTTACGCACAAATTTGTGTCAATTATTTCATCACGCATCAAATGTTTTCCCATCGCAGATTCCTGTGAGGTTCTAAACCCTTGCAGCCCAGATGGAAATGGGTCTGATTATATCAAAGTGGAGTCCATATTGACCAATGAAAGGCCGATTGGCCTCACTTAGAAGCTCCACCTGTTAGGTCCAGTTCCTTTCGGAATATCAGTTTCATAGAATGGAGTGATATTATATTCTTTTATATAGAACTTCTAGGCTAAGAGATATTTGTAAGGTATTATTAGCAGCCGTTTTACTGTGTCTTATTTGACTCATTATAACTGGATTTTACTCTCGGCAAGCTCTTTTATATAGTATCATCAATCCCTTATAGACCCGTGGACTGGAGGCTTAAAACCAGCACAAACCCATTCATACACATGAATTGACCAAACATCATTCCAATCGTCAACTCTGTGCCATTTTCTATGAGCCCTTGTGTCAGATAGGGAGGTCTGCCGGTGAATATACAAAAGAGAAACCTCAAAATACCAAACACGAACAGAAAGAGGGGCGTTACGAGTGAATCATACAATGATACCTCGGAGGTCCGGGGAACGTATTTTATCTCCGAGGTCTTAGTTGTCTTTCATAAAAGAGCCGCAGGTCTCAAATCTGACTCCAAATGTTCCTGTCATCTAGATCTAATAACCGCACATCTTAACTTAGCTTATATTCAAGATTACAAACCTAATGAGGCCGACCCCGGTAAGCTCTGAAATGTCATAGGTAATCTATTTGACCGGGGGCTTTTTGTTAGCATCGCAATCACTGGAAAGGAGCCCGTGTGACCAAGGCCATCCCCTGGTCTATCTCTGGAATGTTCTTTCCTCTCTTGCCTCTCTTCCATCTCTTCCATCTCTTGCCTCTCTTGCATCTCTTGCATTTCTTGCATTTCTTGCATTTCTTCTTCCATTTACATCTCTGACATTTCATCTGAATGCCTCTCTTGCGAGAAAAGTGAAGATGGAGTGTGGTATTTCTGCCGACACTCGTTTCGGACCACGAGTGCTGCCATGCCGTCGCGAGTTCGACTTTACCTTGCTCTTCGAGCAGGGGATTCTCGCTTTGGCTCCGGATCTCTTATTTCTTGCTGTATGCCTCTTTCGGTGGTGCCATTTGCCCGGAAGGCCCAAGAAAGTACACCTTGGTGCTGCTGGCACTTGGAAAATGGTAGGTCTTCCTCTTGCTTTTCTGTCCCCAAAGCTAAGTTTGCGAGCTAATGTAATTTTGAAATACCATGCAGGTACTATCCAACCTACTGCTCGTACTGAAGGTTGTTCTCCTCGTTTTGTGGTGTTTACCGCACTCTCCACGAACAAAGCTATCGATTCCGTCTGCTGCAATCGCGGTGAACAGCACCCTAGCATTGCTACTGCTATCATTCTATGAGCATACACGCTCACTGAGGCCTTCTAGCTTTATTTGCATTTATTTGCTGGGTAGCGCAATATTTGAAATCGCGCAGGTCCGGACTCTGTGGATGTTACATTCTGCAAACTACCCGATAGCAGCGACAGCCACAAGTGCACTCACAACCCGATCCCTGTTGCTTCTGCTGGAGACGACCAAAAAGAGAAAATATCTTATCCCACAATATGGTCATATCTCACCAGAAAGTTCAACCGGAATCTTCAGTCACAGTACCTATTGGTGGCTCAATCGGTTCTTCATTGGTGGCTTCCGAGGCAACCTATCCCTCGATAGTCTCTATCCCCTGGACGAAGAACTCTCTTCCAAGTCCACCGTCTCCCGCCATCATCAGCAATGGAAGAACAACGAAGGTGAATTTTCATATGATGTAAGACGGATAATGTTGATGCTAATTAAGACTTCCAGAAAAATGCACACGACGGCTCACACTGTTCTGTAACGTCATCTACGATTTGAAGTGGACAGTGGCAGCGGCAGTCATTCCTCGCCTTTGTTTGATCGGGTTCAAGTTCGCCCAGCCCTTTCTCATCAACGACCTTATTGGCTACGTTTCCAAGAATGGCTCCAGTGAATTATCTGGGGTCAAATATGGATACCTCGGCGCGACGGTGTTGATTTACGTCGGGATAGCAGTGAGCAAACCATAACTCTTTTGCTGGATTGATGGCTCGTATCCGCTAATGATTTTCATCCCCAAAATTCTAGGTAAGCACTGCTCTCTACCAGCGTCAAGCTGTCCGCATAATCACTATGACTCGCGGGTCGTTAGTTACAATGATATATGCAAAGATCCTTCGTCAAGCTTCAGACCCACGTCAAGAGGCTAGTTCGACCACGTTGATGAGCACCGATATCGATCGAATCGCCACCGGGCTATTAAACTTCCATGAGCTCTGGGCATCCCCAGTAGAGATTATGATTGCACTGGTGCTTTTGGGCAGATACATTGGATACCCCTCGGTGGCTGCTCTGGGTGTTGCTTTGGGTATGTGTTTATTAAACGTGGCAACGGAAATATATGCGAAAAAAGGAACTAATCAAAATACAGTGAGCGTTCTAGGATGCTCCTATCTCGCCCCACAGGCGCGCCAAATGCAAAAGGCCTGGGTACATGCTGTTCAGGAGAGAGTCAATTTTACTTCGGTAATCTTGAAGGAAATGCGCCAAATCAAGATGTTCGGTGTTGAATCCGACATGGCTTTCAAAATACACAGCCTTCGTCAATTGGAACTACATCGATCTAGGCCCTTCCGATCAATGGTTGTTGCCGTCAATGTTCTGGGTGCGATGTCGACTGCCATCGCCCCTGCTCTGACCATCGCCGTGTACGCTGCTACACAGCTGGACCTCGGGGTAGAGACACCCAACACTGATATTGCCTTCACATCTTTGTCCTTGATTTCTCTTTTGACAGAGCCCGTGGTGCTGTTATCTGCCTCGTTGACTAAATTCACATCGGCTATTGGCTGTTTTGATCGGGTTCAAGAATTTATCTGCAAGGAAAGCCGAGTGAACAAAGATCCATTTACTAATGAATATCTGGCACCCGAGAGCTTCTCAGGGATGGAACTTCAATTAGCATCGACTCAGTCCAAGGCTTTTGTCTGCATGACTGATTGCTGCTTTAGCTTGGGGTTAGATACCCCGGCAATACTCCGTGGGATAACGCTAAAGATACATCGCGCTTCATTTTCAGCCGTGACTGGCCCTATTGGCTCTGGCAAGTCATCCTTACTCAAAGCCATTCTGGGTGAAATGCACCGCACAGAAGGAATATTCTCTCTTGGCTCGGTGAAAACGGCGTATTGCCAGCAATCTCCATGGATATTTAATGGCACACTAAGAGCAAACATCATCGGAGAATCGCCCCTTGACGAAGAGTGGCTCAAGGAGGTGGTGTATGTATGTGCTCTGGAAGCTGACAGCACTACCCTTTCTCATGGCCTTGGCACAGTAGCTGGGAGCTCGGGAGCCCAGCTTAGTGGAGGACAGAAGCAGCGAGTGGTAAGAATACCGGTGACATCATTCCATCCCTGATGCTAACCTGGTTGATTTAGGCTCTGGCTAGAGCAATCTACGCAAGGCCATCTTTGCTGGTTTTTGATGACATATTCGGTGCCTTGGACGCAGTGACATCGAGGTCAATTTTCGAGCGGCTTCTGGGTCGTACTAGCCTAACCAGGAGGCTCAGCATCGCAACCATTCTCGTGACAACAGCTGGTTAGTCTAACTTTACCCCTTCAAATATTTACGGTGTTAACCTTTCCCCTTGTTTCACCAGTGATACATCTGAAAGAAGCCGATAATTTGATTGTTCTTTCAAAAGATGGTCGCATGGAAGGTCAAGGGTCTTTCGAGGAACTGACGAAGAAAAATCAGTACATACAGAGCCTTTCATGTTCCGCAGGTCCCGAAGACAGGGAGGCTGAAGAACAGAGCAAGCAAAGTGACTCCCAGCTCCGGCAAGCACAGAAAGCAAAGAAAAAACCGGAGAAACATGTGAAAGCGAGACACTTCCCAATATATCCCGGGGTGATGGTGACGTCTCGCTCTACACCTACTACATCAATTCGTTTGGTTGGTGGGTGCTTGGGCTGACGCTGCTATTCGCAGCCTTACACGTGTTTTGTATTGCTTTTCCGCGTGAGTATATATGTTAATGGACATATTCAAAGTCATTGTTACTAAACACCATGACAGAGGTCATACTTGGCTGGTGGTGTGGCTCAGTCCCTCCAAAAAACTATCTTTATCTTGGTTCCTACGTCGGGGTTTCTTCCATCGCCATCATTGCGATAGGAGCTTATATCGGGTATGTTCTAAGCACTACATATTCTCTATTTAAGGGCTATCTCACACATGCTAGGTTCTTTTTTGTCTGGGCTACTCCAAGATCGGCTGTTCACTTGCATAAAATCTTTCTGGACACGATAGTGAGGTTAGGAGAGGCTTCTTGAGTGTCAGACTGAAATTGTTGCTGATGAGCTTTTAGATCACCTTGGCCGAGCCTGGCCCGCATCGATACGGGCAGTTTGGTCAACAGGTGAACCAAATATCTAATGCATATCAGCGTTTAGATCTCAATGGATATAACTAACTTGAGAACTTTGAATATCTCCAGATTTAGCCAAGACATGTCTCTTCTCGATATGCAGCTTCCAGTTGCCTTCGCCATCACACTTCAGAGTGCGAAATCGCCTTTTCTCCAATGCTAAAAGATGATTAAATGCTGACTACCGAATAGCTTTGTTGACTTGTATTGCACAAGGGGCCTTAATCGCTACTGGATCAGGCTATATGGCTGCCGCAATTCCCTTCTGCATCCTTGCAGTATGGATAGTCCAGGCTTTCTACTTGCGTACCTCACGACAGATTCGACTGCTTGATCTGGAAGCAAAGGCTCCTCTTTACGCCCATTTCCTAGAGACAACAGAGGGACTCATTACTGTGCGTGCATTTCGTTGGCAACGTCAATTTGCAGATCGAAATACAGACCTTCTCAACACATCTCAGAAACCATTTTACACCATGTATTCCATTCAGCAGTGGTTGCACGTTGTTCTGGATTTACTCATTGCGGGAATTGCCACCGTTCTGGTTGCATTGGCTGTTTTCGTGACAAAGCAAAGTACCTCTGGGGCTGTCGGCGTTGCTCTTCTGAACTTGCTTACATTCAACTCAACGTTGACATTCTTGATCACTAACTGGACAGAGCTTGAAACTTCTTTGGGCGCAATTGCAAGAGTCAAACAATTTGTGAACGACCCGCAGCTACAGCCTATTGCTAGAAGAGAGATATATTGTCCGGAGGGTTGGCCTTGGGAAGGTCGAATGGAATTTCGAAGGGTTTCTGCATCCTATGGGTAAGTGCCTCCTGGAGAATCAAGCTTCAAAACAAATTGAGATGAATAAGAGGGCTAATGCTCCTAGGGAGCATGGTTCCGTTCCAGTTGTGCGGGATATCTCATTTACACTGCAGGGCGGACAGAAACTTGGTATTTGTGGACGAACCGGAAGGTAAAGAAGGACTAGGCAAGTTTTATTAGTGGTGTATGGCTAATAGGTCCAATAGTGGGAAGAGTTCTTTACTTGCTTGCATTCTCTCTCTGGCGACAATCACGTCTGGTGAAATCTACATCGACAACATCGACATCTCAACCATTCCCAAAGAGAAGCTCCATTCTGCATTGGTTCCAATCTCCCAAATTCCCCTGCTTCTTCCCGGCTCTGTCCGCGAAAATATTTCTCTAGGAATAGCATCCGCGATTGATGATTCGGAGATGATCTCTGCCCTGGAGGGAGTCGGGCTTTGGAATCAGATTCAAGAACACGGTGGCCTAAGCGCGAACATCGATTCAACTCATCTGTCCGATGGCCAAAAGCAGGTCTTCTGCATTGCCCGTGCTATCTTATCACCTGGTATAATTGTCATCATGGATGAACCTACCGGCGGGTTTGATGAACACACCGCGAAATTGACCATCGAACTTCTTCATGAGCGACTGAAAGGACGGACTATCATCTCAATTGCCCATCAAGTCAATACTTTGATGGACTTTGACTTAATCATGGTCATGAATGATGGTACAATTTCTGAGATGGGAGCACCGCAAGAACTCTTGGGTGAGAGGGGCATGTTCTGGGACTTTTTCCGGGAAAAGGTAACTTGAAATGGGTGTTTAATTTGAATTCAGAGAGGGGGAATTTCTTTATATTGTACTATTAGTCAAACAATAATATGAATTTATCCAATACAAAGTACAAGAGGTTCAGTAAATAGAGCTATCAGGTGGCTTGGAGAAATTAACACAATCCTACAGAAACCCCGAGGATCAGAGGTGGTTTTATACTAGTTTCCAGCTAGCCAATCAATACGTATTCGTGAACACTGTGTTAGGTAGGTTACGAGAATTCAAAATAACCTTAGAGAGACCCATTAGAAGCTCCACACCGGGCCGTCCCGCACCATATATTGTGGGTCCACCTACAGCAAACCTTGGAATATTCATACCACATACATAGTCTTGAACGCAGTCTGAGCCGTCTCACAAGTTTCATAAAATGTATATACCTTGGTCAACTTCGACATTTGTAGCAGCTTGGGTAAACCTTTCCCTGCAACAGCCCATATGCGATTCGGGCAGAGGTTGAGTTCCCTCGCTTTCTGGAATGCTTCCAGGACCTCATCACCATCCAGATTCACGGTATCGCCGCAACTTACTGTTTGGAGATGAGGTTTTGGTTTTTGGTATTTTTAGATCACGTCGGGTAGAATTCAATTTTGCGTATCAATTCGAATGGCCAGAACAAGATATTTCACAAGAGTGAAGTGGCCGCCAAACCTAGGTCGAACCTTCTTGTACATGAGCCAATTTGCATTATTGTAAGGCTGTAATTGCTCTGGTATCACTAATCGGTTACAATTGGGGCGTTCTAACAATATTTGAGTGTTTTGGGTAGAAGCTGATCTCCCATCCGACTGTAGCTCGAACTCCTGGTCGTGTAGCTCGAGCTGCTTCTTATGGCGGGCCAAATCTTCCCAGAGTTCACGTAAATGATTGAAAATAGGTAAACCAGCTTCGTTGCCGACGGTGCCTTGGTGGTCATCAACCCGTACGGGGACGGAACGGGCTCGAAGAGGTGGCAGCTCATGACTGTCTTTGGCAATTAAGCCAGTGAGATCCTGCTTAACGTTAGCCGTAGATAGAAGTGTGCATACTTGCGCTAGATAAAGCAACCATCGACTATCCTTTTTTACCTACTCGCAACCTATTTGCAAGTAACTATACAAGAATAGACGGCCGCGGTTGCGGCCTTGATGATATCCTTTTTGCAGTCCTCTCAGTAGTCCTTTTATATGTCTTTCTTTAAGATCTTTCCAGTTCTTTCAAGGTAGACGGCAGACAAAAGTGGAAGAAGCATAAGCCGTGCAGACAATGTTTCTAGTGTAACCTGGGCTAGTCAATTTAATAACGGTTGATTTAAATCAAGATCGACGATTTTCATACAAGATAATACCACTGTCATTAGTTAGTTTTGTAAGACTATTTGAGGTCAACATTGAAATACGGCGCTCGTTAAACCGTTTTTTGGAATACCATTACCATTCCTCCCTTAGTGCATCTATAGGTAAATGATGGTAAGAATCCCTGCCAATTATTCAAGTTTACCTGGCGGGTCAAGTTCTATCAATCAGGCTCCATGAAAATCAAAATGTAAGTAGTCAGTTGGTTGCGGGGTTACTATATCCATTAAGCAATGGAATCCATCTATAGATGAGCCACGAAACTTATATCCAATGTATAAGAGAGCCATGAGTGAATCTTAATTGAATATAAATCAATATTGAAATAAACGCCTGCCAGTTCCATGCATCTTGGGTATCGACGAAATGAGGAAAAAATAATGGCCAGAACACCAGAATGCAAATGAGTGCCCGCAAAAAAAGCTCAGGGTAAATCACAGATAGAGGTGATACATGGCGGTGGGGCTGCTTACAGGTTTATTACAACCTGCAACTTGGCACTTGGAGAACGGCTTTGTCTTGGAGGCAGTCTTCTTCGCCTTGGAGATGGACCGATTCGCAGCGCACTCGCCACAATAGACCTGACAACGTCGTTAGTGTTTGTAATGGAATTCATCCGCTGAAGATGGATAATACTCACATGGCCACATGGTTTTGCAATATGAATCTGTTGTTTCAGCCCTTCTCCGGTCCCCAGCTCTTCCTGGCAGTTCGGGCAGACAGGCACGTCATCTTCTGCCAAAAGCCGAGTAAATCCCTCCGGGGCCGGGCTGAGTCCTTTATATGATGATCGGCGGGGGCGGGGCGCAGGCTGACTAGGCTGAGCATAGCCAAAGCCAGGTACTCCAAAGTTAAGCGTTTCGGTCATCAACGAATAGAGGTCACTCCCGGCACGCCTGAGCGACATTTCCTCATCTCTGCTTGATCGTCCATGCCCCGATACTCTCGATGGCCGTATATGTGGAGGAAAGTGCATTGGAATACCATTGTTGTCCAAGAACCTTGGTTCTATTGGTCTTGGCCTGACCGAAGAAGACCCAATAATCTGAACATCCTCACTGTTCGGCGAAAGGTCTGCTGGATCAACCGTTGTCTCGGATTCTAGATCAATCACAGTGGGTTGGTCAGCCGTAGGCGTCGTGTGGTTCATCAGATCTCGGGGAAATCGCAATCTCGGACGGTGTGGGTGTGGGGTATGGAGAGGACCGGAAAATTGTGTCGCGTTTCCTCGAGGAGAGTCTGCATCATCGGTCAAGTCGATCACGACATTATCTCCAGGTGAAAGCATCACCGGCCGGCGGTAGTCGAATCCCTCTCGTCGTCTTCTGGGTGGCAACCGGGTGGATTCAGATCTAGCGTGGTCGGAGCGAGGGGGGTGGAAGTGCTGTTCCCAGGCGGCATCGCCGCTTCCATCGTTCTCTGTGGTCATCTCACGATGTGTTCGCTGAGAGGAATACTCTTATTAGCTGCGTTCTTGGTGATCTGATCAGGTGCCCCGCCCGTTTCACTACGGATAGAAGTTTACCTTGGTTCTGGCGCCCATAAACTGGACGCCAGAGTTTTCATTCATTTCAAGACGTAAGCCTGGAGTCAAGGAGTGATCTTTTGCGGAAAACGATGAAATTGAAGGCCACCAGCAAGGTGAAAGGCCAAGATTCAAATCCATCTTTGTTTCTAGGCCGAGGCAAAGGGCGGTCGAGCTCTGCCGGCACGACCCTATAAGGCGGTGTGGGCTCATAGTAAAGTTTGGTCCAAGTGCGGTTGCGAAGCATTCCAAGTTGGCGAGATCAAGTGGCTCTAGCAACAGATATTTAACTTGTTTCTGTAGATATTTGTCGCTATTAATTATGAGTATTTCAAACGCTTCATAGGAGGATTTGAGTCAAGTAAAACATAATGAATTCACGATGATCTTTCATTCATGACTACAATACATGTTTACATGTGAATATCCATGGATTGCTTGTGAATATCGTCACATCGAGAGCTGCAGTTTCCAAAATAAACACCATTGAAAGTCCAGAGAACAGCATGCTCTAATATTACAGTATTTTCCTGGCGATCATGACTGTGCCGCTAGCACTGTGACCACACCCGCCTCATTCAATGCCACAATACTCTGAGCAGCTGATCCCCAAGCAACTGAGATAGCAGGGACGGCACTCCGCAGAGGCTCGGACCACGCCTTGGATGCCTTGGAGTATTGCTGGACAGTCACTCCACTGGGCCCACCAGTCAAGAGGAATTGGCCAGTGTAGTCCCAGAAGATCGACTCAACCTGGCTTCCTGTGTCCAGTACCTTGGTTTCCTTGGAGCTGCGAAGATCCCAGATCGATACAGTGGTGGACTGCGCGGCCACCGCAGCCAGGTAAGTACCGTTCTCAGAGAAGAACAGGCATTTGACTGGGCCAGACATCGCATAGTCCGCAGCAGCGGCGCCCGTCTTGACATCGAAGATCTTGACTTTTCCATCTGCGCCACCTGCCGCAATCAAGTGACCATCGGGGTGGAAGTTGACAGACAATAGAGCTGAATTAAAGCGATTAGCATCGGGATTGGGTACATGTGTTCCATGGGGTGACTGCTTACCTGCATCGCAGAAAATCTGGGAAACCACAGTGTTTGTGGCGAGATCGTAAAGCACATAACTCTTATCGACACCAACAGAGGCAGCAATATCACCAGTAGCGTGAACTGTGACGGCTGTCACCTCACCAGCATGGGAGGCGAAGCTTGCAACTTCAGCGCCATTCTCAAAGACCTTGACGGAGCCAGTAGACGAGCCAATAACGGCCTTGTTTCCTGCCCATGTCGCCCCGGTGACTGCGCCATCTGTCTTGAGGGTCTGCACGACACTCTTCTGGGGCAGCGAGTAGACACCAACCACGCCGTCAACACCACCAACGAGAGCCAAGTCACCATTCGAGTTGATAGACAAAGCGCGGCCACCGGGGTAGAGAGGTTCGGAGGTCTCAGTTGGTTTGAATGTGGAAATAGTCTCACTCGAGGCCCATCCTTCAGGGACTGTGCGCTTACGCCGAGTCTTAGATAGCCTGTCCACTAGTTAGTCGTCCATCGAAAAATGCAATGTAGAAAGCACCAATTCCACGTACGCTGCTTGTGTGTTCTCAATCCGTTCCAACACTGCCTGGGGCAAGCCCGTAGAGTCCACCTGCATAGCCTCGCCAGTGGCACCGACGGAAACGTTCGAGAGTGCGTCACGGGCCTCATCCCTCTCCTTCGTCAGACGCGCGATCACTCGCACCGCAGCATCGTGCTGATAGAGCGCCGCACTTAGCTCGCGCCGCGTCTGTGCCAGATTTTGCTGCAAAGTGAAGGTTTCCAGAGCCAAAGCATCCCATTCTTCCTGGAAAACGCCGAGAAGAGACGGGATGGATGTGAGGGTAGGGGGTCGGGGTCGGACAATGCGTTGCGACTTGAGATCGATGAGATCGTCGGTGGTAAGCTCCTCGCCGTTCACGGGATCTTTGCCATGCTCGGCAATGTATGCCTCAATGAGGCGCTTTTCAAATACGCTGCCTGTTTAATTGTGAGTTTGATGTCGCGCGCGCAAGGTGATTTCGAGCACTTACCGCTCTTGGTAGAGACGACAGGCACTTGAGGTGCTTCTCCGGAGACTGTGGGAAAAGGCTAGTTAGACAACTTGTTTCAAAGATGAGCACAAAATTGTAATCAACGGGAGGCTACTTACTAGCACAAAGCATAGTTAATTGAGATTGGTTGATGAGACTTGATGAAGAGCACTTGACGCGGAACGGCTCCTTGGACTTTTCGATGTGTCCTAATACGGTTTAGCGCCTTGAGTTGGAAGGCGGTATAGTAGGGCGGAGTATTGCGACCAGCAGTGACGTAAGTCCTACAAATATTGCTGACAGAAAATATCTCACCTCTTCGGCTTTAATATATGAGGGTAGAAGGCGGTGGATAGAGCGGTGGATAGGGCGGTGGAAATGATAAGCCAATGAGACTCAGTAGATCATTGGTCGCAATACCCCACCGTACTGGCCATGCAGCTATCAACTTTGGAAGTTCACCAACTCTTTGCACATAGAGAGTACGCCGCTGTTTATTTTGATTGAACCAAATGAATTCTTCTCAATGACCTACAAAATAGGTAAAGGGAGTACAAGTACAAAGCTTCACTTGAAAGATAGCAAGCAAATATAGCATTCCCATCATGTCTAAAAACCCCAAGTTTGAATATGGTATGTCGCTTCACATCCTCGTAACATGTCAGGTCATTCTGATTTTGTATGCAGATGCAAAGCAACCTGCATTTCTCCAGAAGCTCCGGGGCCAGTATGGGGACAACAGCGGTCGCTTGGAGCGCCCTGCCTTACGACCGACCAGACTCAAGGTCAATGACGACGACGACGATGACGAGCCTACCTACCTCGACGAAGAAAGTAACGAAGTGATTTCCAAGGAGGAATACAAGGCATTGATTGGTGAAAGCGGCCCAAAAGAAGAGGACACGGCCGGCAACTCAAAGGACAAATCCACTGGCGATCAGGAGAAATCCCAAACAGAACATTCCACCGGGAAACAGAACAACCTCACTGAGGTTGGAGGCCAGAGGAAACGAAAACAAGCCAAGGTTGTGGGTGAAGACAATGCAGAAGCCGAAGAAGTCCAGCCCAAGGCGACTTCGAAGAAATCCAAGAAGCCCAAGAAGATCAAGCTCTCCTTCGATGAGGAATGAGAGTCTAGCAAGGCTGAGAAGTAGAGTATTTCTTTGCGCCAGCTTTTGGCCGTGGATACTTGACTCAGCACCAGGCGTTGAGGACTCATAATGAGTCAATAGAATCGGGATTACAAAATGGGGATTGTATAGCATCATAGGGTCACAAACTGTCAAGATGAATGTCAATCATGTATAAGAATAAATAGGTACTAATGTCAGTATTCAGTGTATATAAAACCACTCAGCTCAAGAATCGGAGTGAAATAATAATTGAAGTGCTGTTGAAGGGCTCGGCCAAGGGCGCATCTTTATCGGCAACTTTTTTGCAACTTTTTTTTTCCCTTGCGGGATCCAGTCGCCTTTCTTTTTACAACCTGCTCTTGGTCTCATTACCAGCCAAGATGCCTGTGGTTAATGTCGACCAGCTGGTCCGCTTACAGCGGAAGCCCGAGGACATAAGAAATGTGCGTGTGCCCCTCCATCCCACTCTAATGTCTGATGTCAGGGCTTTATACTAATCTCAGCCACCAGATCTGCATTTTGGCCCACGTTGTAAGTCAAAGAAATTCACATTAAAAAATATTCTGTGATTGAAATGCTCATCTTTTCTTGTGCGTTTTTAGGATCATGGTAAGACATCTTTGACAGATAGTCTCATTGCCACAAATGGCATCATTTCACCCAAGCTGGCCGGTAAGATCCGCTACCTGGACTCTCGTCCAGATGAGCAGCTTCGAGGTATCACGATGGAGTCATCAGCCATCTCACTGTTCTTCTCGATGCTCCGCCGTCCAAGCCCGGACGCAGCGCCTGTGCCCAAGGAGTATCTGATCAACCTAATCGATTCACCTGGTCATATCGATTTCAGCAGCGAGGTTTCAACCGCATCTCGTCTTTGTGACGGTGCGGTTGTTCTCGTTGACGCAGTCGAAGGTGTCTGTAGTCAGACTGTGACAGTGCTGCGCCAGACTTGGGTTGAGCAGTTGAAGCCGATCTTGGTTATTAACAAGATGGACCGCTTGGTAACAGAGCTGAAGATGAGCCCTGCTGAAGCTTTCTCGCATCTTAGTCGACTGTTAGAACAGGTTAATGCTGTCATCGGTAGTTTCTACCAAGGTGAACGCATGGAAGAAGATTTGCAGTGGCGTGAACGTATGGAAGACCGTGTCAACGCTGCTGCTGCTCGGGACCAAGGCAACAAAAAGTCGTCAGCCGACGACGAATCTGCAGCAAGCATCACTGAGGGAACTGAATTTGAGGAGCGCGACGACGAGGATCTTTACTTTGCACCTGAGAAAAATAACGTCATCTTCTGCAGTGCTGTCGATGGCTGGGCTTTCACAATCCGACAATTCGCGGCCATTTACGAGAAGAAACTCGGAATCAAGCGAACAGTTCTAGAGAAAGTGCTTTGGGGTGATTATTATCTAGACCCCAAAACCAAACGTGTCTTGGGCGCGAAGCATCTGAAGGGACGTGCTTTGAAGCCCATGTTCGTTCAATTGGTCTTAGATAGTATCTGGGCAGCTTATCAAGCCACCACAGGTGGTGACAAGGGCAAAGGGTAAGTTTTTGACAATGAACCTAACTATCGCGTCAACGCTGATATTGACCTTTACTAGTGACCCAGTGTTGCTGGAGAAGATCACCAAATCGCTCAACATTAACATTCCGGTATATATTCTGCGCGGACGTGATCCTAAGAACATTATGAACACACTGTTCTCTCAATGGCTACCGCTATCTACCGCCTTGCTGGTTTCTGTCATTGAATATCTCCCCAGTCCCCCCGCTGCGCAAGCCGCCCGACTACCGGAAATGATCAAAACATCCCCTGGCGCTGCTTTCATTGCCGATGATATCAAGACTGCCATGGTGGATTTCAAGACAGGACCCGAAGAGCCCGTCGTGGCATACGTCAGTAAGATGGTTGCCATCCCAGAGAGCGAGCTTCTGTCTAATAAGAGGCGTAACGAGGGTGCTATGACCTCGGGCGAAGCCATGGAACTCGCGCGCCGCAAGCGAGAGGAAATTGCAAAGATGCAGGCAGAAGCCCGCAGTAATGGACAAGAAGATGACTTTGAGCGTATGACATCAATCTTCGAAACCACCTCATTGATCACCGAGACGATCGATGAGCCAGAAGAGCTAGTGGAGAAGGACGATCCGGACCATCTTATTGGTTTCGCCCGACTCTATTCCGGAACCCTTACGGTTGGTGATGAGATCTATGTCCTCCCGCCCAAGTTCTCCCCGGCCCACCCGCACGCCAGCCCGGAGCCAAAGAAGGTCATAGTCACAGATCTGTACCTGATGATGGGCAGGGCTCTCGAGCCCCTCAAGTCTGTACCAGCCGGTGTGGTATTTGGAATTGGAGGTCTTGCAGGCCACGTACTGAAGACAGGCACTCTGTGCAGCCGACTTGAGGGAAGTATCAACTTGGCTGGTGTGTCGCTGAGCATGCCGCCCATCGTCCGGGTCGCACTAGAACCAGTCAACCCAGCAGACCTGAGCAAAATGGTCACCGGCTTGCGCTTGCTTGAACAGAGTGATCCTTGTGCGCAGTACGAAGTGCTCCCTAGCGGTGAGCACGTTATCCTCACAGCAGGTGAACTACACTTGGAGCGTTGTGTGACGGATCTGCGTGAGCGTTTCGCCCGTTGCGAAATCCAGACCGGTGAGGCTATCGTTCCTTACCGTGAAACCATTGTTCACGGTCCCGAGATGGCTGCACCCAAGAACCCCGAACTAGGACGTGGCACTATTTTGACAGTTTCTGCTTCCAAGCAAATGACCCTTCGTCTCCGTGTGATGCCGATGCCAGAGGCCGTGACGGAATTCCTGGCTAAACAAGTCGGCACTATCAAGCAGCTCCAATTGGAGAAGCGCTCAGAGGCTGAAGGCAAGACGGAGACCGAGAACGGAGCTGAAGCTGCTGCCGTTGATGGTACGGGCGAGGCGCCTGAAGGCAACATTCTCTCCAAGCAGGAGTTCCGCGAAGTACTAGATAAGTTGTTTGACGATGAGGTCATGGAAGACAAGGAGCTATGGAAGAACGTGGTCGACCGAATCACCGCTTTCGGGCCCCGACGAGTCGGACCAAACATTCTAGTTGATGCAACTGCAGTCAACACATGCGAGAAGTTGTGAGTATAGCAGTCAAAAAATAATGTGCCTATCGTTCGGATCTAACATATCTTTCTAGCTTGGTCGATGATGCCAAGAAACAGATCGATGGCGATAACCACCAAGCACTGCTCGTGCGCGATTTCAACGACAAGATCGCGTATGCCTTTCAGCTCGCAACCGGCCAAGGCCCTTTGTGCCAGGAGCCTATGCAAGGTGTGGCCGTGTTCCTGGAAGACCTATCTGTGCAGTCTAGCGCAGGCGACGAGCTTGACATGGGCCGCTTGACAGGCGAGTCAATCAGACTTGTCCGTGAAGGTATCTCGGCCGGTTTCCTGGACTGGAGTCCTCGCATCATGCTCGCAATGTACAGTTGCGAGATCCAAGCAACCAGTAAGTATTTCAGTCATTCCCTTCCTTCCTCTGACTTTCCCTTTACCTTCATTGTACCCAATATACCTCCACACCATCACATCCACCATACGTAAAACAAACCCCACAACTAACACACCATCTTCACCCCAACAGCTGAAGTCCTAGGCAAGGTCTACGCAGTAGTAACCCGCCGCCGAGGCCGCATCCAATCCGAAGTTATGAAAGAAGGAACGCCATTTTTCACTATCCTGGCGCTCCTCCCCGTAGCCGAGTCCTTCGGATTCGCCGAGGAGATCCGCAAGCGGACGTCCGGTGCTGCGCAACCGCAACTGATCTTCGCGGGCTTCGAAGCTCTCGACGAGGATCCATTCTGGGTTCCTGCTACCGAGGAAGAACTTGAGGATCTGGGTGAACTTGCCGATAAGCAGAATGTTGCTAAGCGGTATATGGATGCTGTGCGCAGTCGCAAGGGTCTGGTTGTTCAGGGACGGAAGTTGATTGACGCGGAAAAGCAGAAGACTTTGAAGAAATAAGGTCGGTGTATTATTTGATTAGAGTTCAAAATGGGAGATTTATTTTGCATTTTATTTGTATTTTATTTGTACGATTTAAAATAGGATATATTGATAGGGGATGTCACTCCGAAAACACCTGTCAAGTCGCACTGAGCAGACTTTGACATGACAGATGAATAATTGGAGGTTCACAGAAGATGAGAGTCCTCCGCTTGTCCTTCAAAAGAAAAACTTCAATCTTCCTCACTTGACAAACACAGTCCGACATGGCATAGGTCTCGACCGTGTATACTAAGGAGGGTTACCCAGTAGGGTCTACGAGTAGCGGCGTTGATGCCTCTCTACTTGGAAAGACGAGCGAGGAGAAAGCGACCACAGATGGCAGACTGCAGTCGAGGATCGAAGAAAAGGGAAAATCGGGAGTGACAAGATTTTTCAATCATGTCTCGGTTGGGTATCTTTATTCTGAAATCGTTATCAATGTCAATAACACATGTCCAGGGTACACATTGGCGTAATTGGATCGAGTCAAATGCGGGATGGTTCCCACTTCATGAGGCATGAAAGTCGTCATGCTCAAGCGGGATGCTGCTGCTTGAGAGCATGTAACACGTGTAGGAGCTTGAAGGGCATTCCTCGCAGTGAGGTTTGGGGAGTGTAGATTTGTTGACACTCATGGATCCCAGAGGTAGAAAGACAATGCTCTCAGGGGATAAGCTAGACCTGCCACGGACATTTGGGTGGATGGTGGCAGATTCTGCTTGATTATTGTTGGTTGAACCACTATGTGGTTAACAGTAGAGGTGGAGGGCACGAAGCAATTGGCCATTCAAAAAGAAAGCCAAAAGCCGCGCGAGGGGAGCCGAACAATTGCATGTTCTCAGAACGGTCTGGCGACCTTCCTCTGCTCACTAATTCCACTGACAGGATCTCTCATCTCCTTCCAGCTGACAGGGAACATCATATTGCCAGCCTCACTGCGAGCCATGACAACACCGAGAT